TTCAAGCCATAGGGCATGGTGTGTAGGGGTCATTCACTTCATTTACTCATTCCTTGCTGAGAACCAGCAAGTTATCTCAACTAGTTTTGCATGGTTTAGACTCTAAGACCTCGATACTTAGGTCGTTGGGCGGGTTACAGTGGGCAGGTGTTCACTCTGTGGCAACTCAGAGGGCTCAGCGCGCTCGAATTGCTGGCACGGGAAAAACCTATAAACAATGGTAGGCGCGGATACCTTGATGAAGGTAATCTCATTTTCTCCCAGCTAGAAACAAACACAGTTATGGCTGTGGGTCAAAATCCCGTACCCCCGGCGAACATCCCAATCCCCACTAAAATAGACTAAAATGGGTGGTGCACCTACCCCAAAATGGTACCCTTGGTTTTGACCCACAGATATGAAGACCGCACTTGCATGTCTTTGCAGTGCGGGGCTCGGCAGGGCGCGCGTTGCGCAAGAATTAGCATCAGAGTCGCTTCCTCGCGAACATGGAGATGGCCATAGGGTTTACCTTCGGTTTTTGCTTGGATGTTGGGACTTTAACTTGTCGCCAACTAATGGGTTTCCCATTAAACCACTAAAAGTTAAACTTGTAGCAGGGCAGCAGAAAGCAACCGAGTTACCCTGTCTATTTGTTTGTTATGTTACTCATAGTGTAGCAATCCCTCGTGAAAACAATGCACAGTCCAACACATACACCATCAATACTGCACAGTCTTTCCAATCGAGCTGCGCCATCAATCTGTAGCTTGCCTGGTCATGATGTGTCAGATATTTGGAGTATGCAACACTTGTGAATTTGGATGTGCCCAATACTCAGTGATCCCCCTCGGATTGTTTCAACCGGGAGGCTTCCAGGGAAGCAGCCGTTTGTGGAGCCATTCTAGGAACCTGATTGAACCAGGCCCAGACGAAACGGGCAGAAATCAAGGACATGGGTGTGGCTCAAAAAAAATTAGGGCTCCGGTTACGCAGGTTTTAGTCTTTGGCTCCATTTACCCGTCAGCCCAAAAGGGGTACGTTGGCGAGTACGCTGGTTTCATCCGGGTAGTAGGGTCTGCTTAAACCTGTGCACTGGAGCTATGGACTTCATACACGGCAACGTGGCATGCGCGATGTTGTTTTCAGGCGCACACATAGCTCACGAATTACGCGTTTTGTTCGGGTTCTACATAGGGTGGAGCCAGAGCTGCATCGTCCATACGCACACTGGAGATGGAGAGCAAGATCAAGACAACAAAGTGTTGATGCACTGTCTCATCGTGTGGCTGCTCCCCCCTCCGATTGTGCAACTCAAGCAAGGCTGACACTTGCTTCTTTTTGCGCAAGTGTTCTGCATATCAGGCGTCGAGCGAAATAGCATCATGAAATCCTCATTGGGCAGATCGTTTTAATGGCAAAACACAAATTATGGGTACTCTGAATCCCCCGACCAGGCAGGAAGTTAGTTGGATATTCCAACTTGTTGGTTTCAGGTTTGGTATGTGTTTTTGAGCCACAGCCACATGCCCACGTGCGTTGAATCCCCCTTTCTGAATCCACCTCGTTCAGGCAGCAATTACTGGGCCTCAGGCTCAGCATGTGCAGTTCGCCATGTGCCAGGGGGGGGTGGCTGAGGGGGGAAAGGCTTTGTTGGGTTAGTGTCTTTTTCTAATCCATTCTCTTCACCCATCGTTCTCTTTGGAAATCCCCTATTTTCCATGGATTTTGCCAATTTGTTGAAGAGAAGGATCCTTGAAGAGAACGGGGAGGGTAAGGCTTGGGGCGCAAGGGTGTTTCTGCATATGTCTTTGAGGTGTTTGGGGCTTTGCAGGTGCGCTTTCGGCCGCTTCCAGGAGAGCAGAATCTTTGGATCCACCTTATCGGATCGAAGCGACCTGATTCCCCAACATGCACAGCCCTGAGGCTGATACTTCTAGAGACCATAGTGCCTGGTTCTACCGCAGGTTTCGTGGGGTTTGCAGTAGGCCCATACCTTTGTATCCATTCCGGGGCCCAAGGTCCCCCAGTAGTGCCCTTTTACCCCTTTTTTGAGGGAGGCGTCCCCTACTAAAATCAACTACAGAAAGTAGTTGGTAGCCTTATTCCAACCTCTCTGCTGGAGGACCTAGCCAAAGTCAATGGGTTTGGGGCGCCCCATTCGCAGGTAGCGCCACTTTGCACCGTTGCCAAGGCCATGCGTCAGAGAATTAGCCGAGCTTCCGTGTTGGGCACAAAGCGCCGCGCGTGAAAAGATCTTCGTTGGGAAGGCGGCTCTCGGGCTCAGACGACGACGAGTTTTGGATGGTTCGGGCTTTATTTTGCCGGTCAGGGAATGGGGAAGGACCCTACCGCAAGGGTCCTGATAGAAGTTGGGGGGTCTCACTGCCACCCCCTTAGCTTTCTAGCTTTTGAGGGTTTGGTGGGAGTGTTCCATTTAACTTATTTAAGCCACAAGTGAAACTTTTAATTAGCAGTGGATCTGGGGACAGCCCAGAAAATATATGCCCCTTTGACACGGCAACTCGGGGTGTGGCATGGGTACTTCGGGGTCGTGGGTTCGGCAATTCAGCCCAGAAAAAGGGCCCTTGGGGTATGCGATCCCATCGGTTCTCTTACGATCCCGAGTTTGGGCTCATTCCAACGAAGCTCGGATTTGTCTCCCCTGAGCATCAAGCCATGGACGAACAAACCAAAAGTCTTTCCCAGCCCCTTCTTATGGGGGTTTGGACCGGTTGGTTTCAAAGGGAATCTGTCACACTACTGAACATATCTGTATTTTTCCAGGGGACGAGGACACCAACCCGTGACAATGTCCGCAGGGAGGGTTCCCCAACAGTTCGAGTAAGCCCTCCATGAGACATGCCCCATAGAATCAACCACGGGTTTATTCGTGTTGTCCTTTGGTACCTCTTCTTTTGGTTTTCGCGGGGAAACCAAGAGGAAAACCATTTACGCCCCAATGAAATGATTTCCTCTTGGCTTCCCCGGAAAATCACAAACATGAGGTCTCCGGAAGAAAAACGAACGATCCATCCCTCCCAGTAGGAGGTTTCACTTTGGCTCCCTCATTTCTTCTCGCCTGGCTTGCGGCAACGCTTTTGAGTGGTTCAAATGGAATGCGATATGGGCGTGTGTTGCCTGTTTTGAGGGAAGCTGGACCCTCAAACTACGCAAAAACAAAGGAGTTCTCCACGTAGTTTTGGGGCAGTCACTCATTGTAACGGAATTTTGAGGGTCCAGGTACCCTTTTCTGGTTCAATTGGAAACCTGAGGGACAACCACAATTTTGTATATCGCCATAGTTGACCCATACCTATATGGCTTTGAATTTGGAGGAAAACACCCTCACAAGTGGTTGGTGGATGCAAATCCCTATGTAACCAACAAATATATAATCCCCAATTGAGGCACAATCCAAACCCGGGTATGTCAAGGTTACTAAGGGACAGTCCCAGCCATAAATCGGTGCTGCCGCCTTTTGATTTCTGTTTCGATTGTGACTTGTAACCACCCAAGGATCTCCAAGTCGAATTCATCCAAGGATCCTCAAGTAGTTGACGTCCTGCGTCATGCGTAGAACTTGGAGACATGCCGATACTAGTGGCAGTTTGGGGGAACGAGATACGGATGGCTCCAGTTGGCCCATGGAACGATGGCTATGAATTTTCAGACTTGGACCCTCCTCAAAAGTGGGGACTGGTGAACATGAATCCCGACCGATTTCTGTCCACCAGAGAGCCCAAAAGGGACCTATGAAAGTTCGCAGCATGATCTTACGAAGCGTAAGGTGTGGCACGAGCACTCACTCCCATTCGATGCTCGCATAGAATCCAGGATCGAGAAGGCAATACTGTGGATGGTTGCGATATCCATTTCGCACCACCTAAGAAACCATGGTTGAAACCATTGTTTGGTTTGTATTTACAGGGAAATCGACTCATTACAGGGCTTCTTAGGTGGTGCCGAATGGATTTTGTGCATCCACTGGATGTCCAAACCTTTCGCATTCTACATGGAAGATGTCATGCCGGTTCCCTGAATTGGATCAAAGCGGTCCCTGATTTTGATGCTCACCCACAAAAAGACTAGGTCTTCCAGTAGTGCCCTTTTACCCGGTTCCCCTACTAAAATAGACTGCAGAAAACAGGGTACCCTTATTCTAACCTCTCTACTGCAGGACCTAGAAGAGGTGGACTTGACGGTAGCCAAAAACGCCCAAAAAAGTGCTGAGATGAGACTGGATCACTCCTCCGAACCTACTGCGAAATCCATTTCGCACCAACTAAAAAACCCAAAGGAATGAGTCGATTCCCCCGTAAATACCAACAAACAATGGCTTCCTATGGTTTCATAGTGGTGCGAAGTGGATTTCGTTCATCCACAGTATGTCATGTTTTTTGGGCAGACCAAATATGAAGCATAAGCTGAAGATATTGTTTTCTTAGTACCCCGGGCCAAGATGTGGCGTGTGTGTGTGTGTGTGTGTGTGTGTACGGCAGCTCTTGAGGAGGCAGGGTGCAAGCATGCACTCTGCAATCACATCCTGGTGGAATCCTTGTAACAGATGTATCTTGAGTGAAAGTAAACAGCAAAATTCCCCCATTTGGGTTTACTCATCCTTTTACAGTCCCATCCGCAAACATGGAACCTGACTGGAGGACCAGTAGTGAAGGAATCTCCGACATCGCCGCTTTCAGGCTCAAAGGAGGCACGCCAACATGTATGGCTTCTCAAAAGATACAACTTGGGGCATTCAAACCAAGACCTTTTCCACCAGCCAAGATTCCACGTAGAATTTTGAGGTAATGTTCCAGTGGATAAGCACCCCTGGCGGATGAGTATTGGCTGTTGCTTCTGGCCCAAAGACAGCAAGATAGAAACCATGCCTCCATGCAATGTCGGTGCGTGCATCATTGGCATGAGCTCGGCACGTGACAGAGCCCAAACATCAATCACGTGACCCCGGCATCCTTTCCACGCTCGCGACAACAACCAAACAAACCATCACAAAATTCGAGCGGGCCGCCAAATCGAGTACGGAGCTACTTAAACCGGCCGAATCTGCAATGGAGACGGCGGTTCAGGCGCGGTCGTCGTCCATTGCAGTGGACGGTTTTTCATGCACGACGGCATGTTGTCATCCTCCCTTCCATTATGGCTGGTCTTTTGTGTCACCCTGGGGAGACTTTTTTGAACCAACTCGCTTTTCCATTCAAACCCGAAAAGGTGAGCGACCTTTTTTGCGCACGGCTTGCAGCAACCTGGCCATGAAGCTACTCAAGCAGCACCCGTCAGCCCAAAAGGGGTACGTTGGCGAGTACGCTGGTTTCATCCGGGTAATAGGGTCTGCTTAAACCTGTGCACTGGAGCTATGGACTTCATACACGGCAACGTGGCATGCGCGATGTTGTTTTCAGGCGCACACATAGCTTACGAATTACGTGTTTTGTTCGGGTTCTACATAGGGTGGAGCCAGAGCTGCATCGTCCATACGCACACTGGAGATGGAGAGCAAGATCAAGACAACGAAGTGTTGATGCACTGTCTCATCGTGTGGCTGTTCCCCCCTTCCGATTGTGCAGCTCAAGCAAGGCTGACACTTGCTTCTTTTTGCGCAAGTGTTCTGCATATCAGGCGTCGAGCGAAATAGCATCATGAAATCCTCATTGGGCAGATCGTTTTAATGGCAAAACACAAATTGTGGGTACTCCCAACTTGTTGGTTTCGTCTTGCTAGCCCAAGACGCTAAACACGAGTGCCTTTGGCCAAAAACCTCATACATGAGGTTTGCGCATGGAAAACACATCAAGTCAGGCACAAGCTGGATTTCGGTGGTTAGTAACTTGTAGTTTTTATAGGGTTTCATCCAAGTAACTGCTGCAACTCGGAGATTTTGTCCATCCACAGTAGGGATTGGCCACAACTGTGCGATCCGTGTCGTACTGTGGATGGACGAATTCCTGCACCACTTTGAGAAACCACGCGGAACCATTGTTTGCTTGGTATTTACAAGGGAATCATCAATCCAGGGTTTCGTAAGTGGTGCGAAATGGATTTCGTATCTTGCATTTGGCAGCATCCAGGCGCGCACCAAGCGGGCGAGGATCCGAGAAGTGGAGGACAGGGAGCTCCTCGCATCGTCGGTTGAGGGTCACCCAGTTGTTCAAGTCCAAGAAGCCATCTCCAGGAATTTCGCGAGCAAATCAGCAAAGTACCCCCCCTCCAACTAACATAGCACCAGACATGGGGTCCCTTGAGGAAACCAATCTTCCAGGTACCCTCCCAGAGGTGCCATGTTAGTGGAAGGGAGGGTAACATAAACAAAAACAAGGGGTTGGGCTAGCTTCCTGGATAATTTCCTGGAGATGGTTTCTTAGATCAATGGCGGCCTAAACAGGCTCCAACAAACGCTTTCCAGATGCGCAGGACAATCATGGGTGTAGCATCCTGGAGCCCAGTTGTTAGAGCCCATTCAGCTTGGTGGTTCCCAGATGTTCCCAACCATCCCCTTAAGTTTTCAGGTTTTTAGTGCTTAGTGGGGATTTTTGACTTGACCCGCCAAAGGTTGAACGTTCAGCAGGGGATCTGAGGACAGCCCAGTTAATGTTGACCCAGGATTAATAAACCCGTCCCATTATTAAGGGGGTGTTCCCTCCAAAAGTGATTACTGAAAGAGGACACCCCTATTAATCAACCAGGGGTGATGTAATCCGGGGTTAACATTAAACCATCCAACAGCTGGTTTCCTGTAAGGGGACCAAAGCCTGGGTTCATTCCCACATTCCCGAGCACGGATTGATACCCTTTTGGATTGACCCGTTCCTCACGAAGAAGTGAGTCGCAGCGTGTAAGTGTCGTGGGATCCGCGGCTTTGAGGCTGCGTTTAGGTGGCTCTTCCCAGGTCCCTTGCTAGGACCCCCGGCAATTGGTGCCACCTTTTACCGTTTCTTTTTTTCCGGGAGGGTTCCCCGTGTCTAACATAGACTACAGAAAAAAAAGAAAAAAAGTTGGTACCCTTATTCTAACCTCTCTACTGGAGGACCGGACCGCTTGGATTCCCTTGGGTCTGTGACTGGCTTCCATTTGCGGAAAAGAGCATGCTTTCCCGGTGGGAATGATAGGATCCTAGAGTCTCCATGACCCCTAGAAAAAGGGGTCATAACTCATGGAGACTCTAGGTACTGGATTTGTTATATTTTCTAGGGGACTTAATTAAGCAAATATCTTGTAGTGATTCGCTCAGAGGGTGAGTTGAGTGACGGTCGGTCCCCGAACCGATTGTCATGGGGGAAACAGGGCTGGGGGATGGAGCACGTTGCTACTGGTGAGTGATTCGGCTGAAATTGATATCCTCAGGGTTTTGTGGAGAAAATATCCCAAATTGCTGGGGTCTCAAGAGCACCTATTTTCAGGGTCCACCATTCATCTTGGGGTATTATCGACAATCCGCCAGGCCTGTCGCGTTCGCGGTTGAATTTGGATGGTTTGTTCGGGGAAAGGTGCTTGTCACGGGCAAGGGCCCCCGAAAAGCACGACACTGACTGTCTCACTGACTCGTCGATGCTTCTTGTTGCGAAGATGGACATGTCATACCAACTCGAAAAGAGGACAACGCCGGGTATTTCGGGTTATTCGAAATCACTCCTTAATCCATATGCTGGATGATCGTGGCTTCGTTTGTGGTGGTGTGCCACAATGGATCACGGATCAGGATTGGGCAAGCCAGATTGACCACTTTCCAACCGGCTGCTTGATTCCTTTTGGTTTGGGTTGGTTCCACTTACGGAAGCCTGGGAGCTACCCTAGTAGGGAGTGTACTCCCCTTCGGGTCCTTCCCTAGGGGACTCCAACTAACCCTCACCCAAATGCACCATAAACAAAAAAAGTGGAACCGGACCCTGAGAATGGGTGCTTTCCCTTGAATTTCTCCGAAACCAACCCCACAAGGGTACCTTGAAAAAACATCCACCCAGGTGAAACACCGGGTTTTGGTACCAAATTAAATTGGGTTTGATGACACAACTCCGTGTTTTGTTTGTTATTGCAGAACCTGTGCCAAACCCAAATATGGCTGTGGGTCGAAACCAAAGGTACCAATGGTACCATTTTGGGGTAGGTGCACCACCCATTTTAGTCTATTTTAGTGGGGATTGGGACCCATGGCCATATTTAATTCGTACTTAGCCCGTATTGAACCCTACCTTTTCCCCCCCAAGCGCTGGAAGCTATGGGGTCTCTGCCCCAGGCTCGGCTCGAGGGTGGTGGTGAGCAGCTTTCAGGGAGGGGTCCTTTCCGGAGTTCCAGAGATGGGGGATATCGCCAGGTTTTGTTTTGTTTTTCCTAGGTCCCCCAGTACTGCCCTTCTCTCCCCCTTTTTGGGGGAGGGTTCCCCAACTAATATAGACTACAGGAAAAAGGGCACCCTTAGTCTAACCTCTCTACTGGAGGACCTAGCTTTTTTGTTTGGGGGGGACTCCTTTGATCAGGATACCCTTTTGTGGTTTGGATTGGTTTTTGTTTGTTTGGGGGGGACCCTTTCAACAGGTGAGCCACTTGCTCACAACCCGGGGAGTGATGAAGGTTAGTAAGGGAGAATCCCCTTGCCAGAAACAGCTGCGGACATCCGCCTTCTTGATTCTTGAAGCATGGTTCTGGGTAGACACGACCATTTTAGTACCGGGTATTGATTTTGACGCAGGTTACCCTTTTGTGGTTTGGATTCGGGGGTTGAACCTCATCTAAGGGAAGCCACCTGAATTTCGAGAACAGCCAGAGGGCCTTAGGGCCTTAGGTTTCGGTTTTCTTCAGGATGTCGCAGTGGTGGAGGCGCGTGGCGCCCGCGTCGCAAGAGGGCTGAGTTGTTTTCCCCGAATTGTGGGCCCAAGGTGAACACTTCAACTGGGGTCTCCAAAAGTCTTTTATAGGGTTTAGCTAAATTTGGAGAACATGTGTTTCCTTTTACCCCAGATGTGGGCCAAGTCAAGGAGTAGTGCTTCAGGAGGATAATTTCAGACTTTGTATTTTGCTGGATGTTTGGTAGATGCATCGGTACATTCTTCAGGAAATTGTGAAGAAGGGTACTTTATGGTGTGCGCGTGCAGCAGACGCAGAGCAAGTCCGGTCGTGGAAAAGGAGTGTGTGAGGTCTCTCTCCTTTCCAGGATGGCATCTTCTTTTGTCGCAGGTGTCTCTGACTCTGGATAATGCTCTAGACTCGGTCACATGAGATGGGAGGGTCGACATGGAAGCTTGTCCGACGCGTAGGCACGACTTGGTTTGAAGGAGAAGACATAGGATATGTCCTTTGTTTGCCACGTGAGTGTGGGGAGAATGTACCCAACGAGAAGGGACAAAGAAGCTGCGAGTATTGAAAAGGGTGACAAGCTGATTGTTTCGACTGCTGCCTGTGGGGTATGTTGGTTGGAGAAGATTTCGTCTGTGTGGAGCTGCTCTTTTGTATGAGACATGTCACGTGGAGCGGCTGACATGCCAAGTTGACACACGGACTTCTATGATCCAACACATGACGGACATGCCTTAGCTTGGGTCTTCGGCATTTCAAGCGACATCAGTTTCACAGTCTGCCCAGCACCATATTGTTGCTTAATTGGGCCTTGTGCTGGTTCGGGGGGGTTGATCCTTATGTTTAAGACAGACGGGGGGCTGATGGTCATTCGACAGAGACCAGAGTTGGTTGAGGAAAAGCAACTACAGGTAAAAATAACTTCAGGAAAAACAACTACAACGTCGTGTCTACTTTTCTGAGACCTGTTTTGAGAGGATCAGATTCTAGATATGGACCAGAATCCAAAACATATTCTTGGCTGGGGGCGAACAGCTGAGGCAGTTTTTGTTGTTTTGGACATCACCTCTTTGGCCAAGCATTATCGGGATCTGTGAGGCCCAGTTTGCATGTCGTCCGGAACGGGAGGTCAAGCAGTGTTCTAGGTGTGTCTTAAGATAGCGGCCCGTGCAGTTTTCTTGTTGTTTCCTTTGACCCCGCAAACCGGGGTACCCTCAAAAATGATGCCACCCCACATTGGTTTTCTGTTTGGAATCCTGGAAGGAGGGGTCAGATAGGCGCTTGCGACCAGCCTTACAAGGGGGTCAGAAGCAGCCTTACTGAGTGGTCAGAAGGTTGGCAAGTCCACGACGTCACGTTTCAGAATTTGCAACGTCACCCATCAAGGTTTCGTTGATGATGCCTATAGAACTTCCAGGTGAACTATATAGTGATTGGTTCAGATTGAGTTGGTCGTATGAAGGGTCACTCGGAGGGATCACCAGATCGCTGGTGGGGCCCCTGCAAAGCTTGATTTCGGTTCCACATCAAATGCCTCTTGACCGATCTTCTTGGGCGGTCATGATCCAGGGAAGTGTTTGAACAAAAATACAGTGTCGGGCAGGTCAATGGTTTTCCTCTCTAAACGGGCTACCTGATAGGACCAAACATGAACCAACGGTGGTAACAAGCTACTGATCGGTTTGGAGATAGTCCAAACTTGTTTGAAGGCAAGAGAAAACATGTGGCCGTGGCTCAAAAAGGTGTACCCAACATGGCCCCTAGGCAAATGGAAACAAAGACCAAACCCTGCGGTTGGCCCTAGCTTTAAAAAAAATGAGCCACACCCATGTGTAAACAACTGGTATGGGGTTATCTTCCTGTGAAAGCTGTAATGATTTTCTCTTTGAGGTTCCTTTTGAAACCTGGCCCGAAGAGGGCGTTTCTTGTAGCTCTCCTAAGAACCAGTCAAAACGAGGGGGCCCCATTTTCACCTTGGTCCCCATTTTCACCTCACTCACTCGTTTAGGTCTGCCACTTGTCTCGGGTCAAAAGGACGCCTCAGATTCGAAGGCCGCTGCGGCCGCTGCTCCATCTGCGCAGCAGGCAGGGGGCGCAGGCCGAAGAAGCCCTCAGTTTCATGTTCCTTGCTTGGGGATTTCTTGTTTCAGGTTTGTGAATCGGTACTTGGCCCGGATTTGTGCGGTCTGGATGAATGATAATGCTTCATGCAAAGCTCGGATTTCTAGAATCCACCGTGAAGCATGCCAGCTGTTGGCAGTGGCTTGAAAGAAGACCAAGGGCCACCAGACGTCACGCATCCAAAGTGCGAGTTGCTAGAATCCAGAGTTCACCATCTAGGTCCCCGAGTCGTGCCCTTTTACCCTTTTTTGGGGGAGGGTTCCCCTACTAAAATAGACTGCAGAAAACAGAAACGGTACCCTTATTCTAACCTCTCTACTCTAGCCATGACAGGCGGTTTGCAGTTTGAAAGCAACCCAAGGGCAAGCGCCAGAGTGATATTGGCAAATTGAGTTCCTCCGCAGGTAGTAGAGGCCGACGAGGCCAACGATGAGCCCGGCATCACCAAGGTGCTGGGGGCTTCGATTGCAGGTGACCCGAAAGAAAGTTTGAAGACACCTCGACAGTTTCAGCAGGACACCCTTGTGAGTTTCTGGACCTTAGACCTGAAATGTGAAGATCAGTCCATTTGACAGTGACATTCTAAAGAGTACTGCAGAGCAACCAGCGCGCTTTTCTTGCCTTTTCTTTTGTGTGTAGCTGTCGCATTGCCCTTTGCTCGCACAAAGATCAGTTGAGTGCTATTCCGCAGAGTCCTTTTGGGCTTGGTCTGATCAAGCCACATAGGAAGTGTGGTGCATCGGCGCATACCCAAGAACAAAAATTTGAAACTTGCGGAATGTGGGGTGCAGTTTTGGGGTTGACTAGGTCCCCCAGTAGTGCCCTTTCACCCTTTTTGGGGGAGGGTTCCCCTACTAAAATAGACTGCAGAAAAAAGGGTACCCTTATTCTAACCTCTCTACTGGAGGACCTAGTTGTGCTTGGGCCAGCCTACGCGGCAATGGTTTGGCTGTTTGCTTATAATTGAAGCTCGCCATTTCGCAGGCCAGGTTATCCATTTGACGACAAATTGATTTGAGTCTGTCTTTGTTTAGGGGTCATTACTCCTTTTGACCTTGTTTTAAAGGAAGCCCAAAGAAATCGTGCTTGTTTTGTTGGCGGTCTTCTAGAAAGAGACAAAACCAGTTGGTCAGGAAAACGGCCACTGAGTTGACTTGTCAACAGCTGGGAGTCGCCGACTCCGGAGTTGCCGACTCGCTGCTCTGTGCGACCGTGGACGCCGGGGACGAGGCCATGAAACAGGTCGGGTCAGGAACAGTCCTGGGTCCCGCGCCGTCAACGAGCAGGGGATCACACCCGGAGCCGACGAGCAGGTGGCCTGGTTCGAGGGCGTGGCAACCTGACCATAGACTTGGTCCTGATCATACAAAATCTCGTCTGAGTCCCCTGGGTTCGAATCCCCAAAGCACCAATCCAACCACCACCATCTAGGGTTAACTTGATATGTTATGGGGTGAACTACTTATGAAACAGACTCGACTACTTATGTTTTTGTATGCCCCTTTTTTGTGGGCCAAGTCTTCTGGAGGGTACCCTTTGCGTTTGGATACCAACACAAAATCACCCATTTGCGGCGGGCTCCCTCAGTTGTTCAAAGCCGGCCTTGTTTAACGCACTCTTCGTCTACCTGGACCCTCAAACTTCCCATCAAAATGGGAGTTCACCCCATAATTTCGGGGCTACAACCCATGTTTACTTTGGTGCATTTTGCTTGGCTGTTAGGACTTCAACTTTTTGCAAACTAATGGGTTTTCCACTAAACCACTAAAAGTTATTCACTTTTAGCAGGGGAGCAGATTTCGCAACCGAGAAATTTGGGTTGGGGCCAGCAAAAAAACTGATTTCCGTGTGGTTTTTTCTTTAAACAGCCGGAGATTAAGTTGGAATTTTGAGGATCCAGGTTGCCAAAGAACCTTTCGTTTCCGGGTCCTTGAGGCATAGTCTCAAAGCCTGGCTTTCGCTTTCGATCGGTCTCCGCGCTCGTGACTGTGTCCCGGACCCCACTGTCAGGCTATGTCTTAGGCTTTGGAGCCCCTACAAATCGCGGTACTCCTGGTTTCCTTCAAACCAAGAGTGCAAAGGCTAGCCTAACATGCTTAGTCCTTTAGTTCCTGGACTTGAAACTTTTTGGGAAGAACATGTCAGTGGTAAATGAAAACAAGTTGTATTTGTGTTAACCAATCCACTCAGGAAGTGAGCAAAATTACACACCGAAACAGGCATTTACCAGGGGAAACACCTCCTTAGTCGAGGGTTGACATGCCCTACCCGTCAGCTGCCCAGTGGTGTTGTTTTTTTCTTCGTTTTTTTGTGGAAGGTTCCCCTTTAAAGTCAACTAACCAAAAAAAAGATGCCCCTTTTTTCCATGAAAATCCACTGGGCATTTGAGACCATACCCCGAAAAGCACGTGGCGCGGTGTCCCACGACTGGGCCACACCGCAGCGACTTCGTTGCAGTTGGAGCGCCTCTGTGCCACGGTGGACCAAAAGGGCGCCGGCCTCTCCAAGGTGCGGTTCCGGGAACCAAGAACGCGCTCGGAAAGCGCTGAATAGCCCATATCGTCTAGGTCTTCCAGTAGTGCCAACTTTTAGCGTTTCTTTTTTTGGGGAAGGGTTTTCCTAGTAAAATAGACTACAGAAAAGATTGGGTACCCTTATTCAAACCGCTCTACTGGAGGACCTAGCTATGGCTGTGTGTCTTTTGCTAAGGGACTCCCCAAAGACTGGTTTCCTGTTGGCGTGCCTTTAAACCAAGCCAAAAAAGGGCACCGAGCCTCAAAACAGCATGAGGCACCCATAGGAATATGTTTGTTCGTCTTGTCTAAAGAACACCGGGGGTGAAGATGTTGAAAAGTTGAACTTCCAGACCCCTGTTTAGCATCCAGTGCGCAGGTAGAGAAGTTCGCAACATTACCTTTGGGCAGTTTTCCTTTTTACCACCAGTTGACTATTTATTTTTGCGGGCGTTACTTCAATGGACCTTGGTTGCGTTGCCCATTTCCGAAATAACCTTTACACCTATTGAGCCATGACTGTTTGCCAAGTTTGCCCACTAACATGAATGGTCGCGTCTGATGGGCTTCATCTTGCAATTCGGGCACTGTGATGCCACTAAATCCTGCACCAGTTGGTAGGTGGTTTATCAACCGGTATTCATGGGGCCCGCAGTATGGAGGTTACATACCAAAATAAAAATTCGGGGTACATGCTGCCTTGAAAATGCGCTTGAAAATGCCCTATCAGTTTCCGGTGTTTGCTCTCGCTGGTAGGGCACTCATTTCACTGCAGGCCTTCCCTTTCGGCGTAACGTGGTTTGATCGCCACCTTGGTCACCCGCCGACGGGGTTGACTCCACTTCAGAGGTTAGCAAGAGGCCACTTGGGGTTTGTTTCCGCCAGGTGAGTAAGTGGGGATCTGGCAACAAAAAAAAACCGAACGCATTCAGAGGGGGGAAGTATCAACAACTTTCACCTTCCCGGGGGTCCTTTGCCCAGCCATCCGGCTCAACAAGCTGTTTGGTTTTTGCTGGTCTTGGCTCTTCCCAGCCATCCGGTCCCTTAGTCTTTTTGGTTTTTAGTTGGCTTAGTGATGTAATGCTTTTGTTTTGTAAGCAAAACCTATTTGAAATAAAGCAAACTATATATTGGTAGTTTCCCTAGGTCCCCCAGTGCCCTTCTCTCCCCTTTTTTGGATGGGAGGGTTCCCCTACTAAAATAGACTGCAGAACAAAGAAACGGTACCCTTATTCTAACCTCTCAAATCTGGAGGACCTAGTTCCATTAAACCCACCAGTTTTCGACTTTCGCGTCTGAGGAAAGCCCAGAGTCCCATGTCGCCGTGGTTGTCAAAACCAATGGGATCCCATTTTGGGGTAGGTGAATTCACCACCCATTCATGGTTGTTGTTGGGAAACATTTTACATTTTTGCTTATTGTGGGTTAGTGGGAAATCTTCACTTGACTGCTATTTTTTTTGCTCCCCTTCCAACGTCAACCAAGCATTTTAGAACCTATTTTAGTGGTTGGATTGGTATGTTCACTGGGGGTACGATTTGGGTTTTGACCCATAGCCATGTCAGCTTGGGCTAAGCCAAAGTTGACAGTGGCCTTGGCCGAAATCTTGGCGGTTCCCAGATGTCCCCTTAGACTTTTAGGTTCTTCGGGTTCAGTGCGGGTTTCCATATAACCCACCAAAGGTTAAACTTTTAACTTCCAGGACATTTGGGAATGAACCTAGGGGTTCCCTTAAAGGAAACCATAGGGGACAGTTTACAGGGGTCGTTCCAACTCATTCACTGCCGATCGAACCAGCAAGATTTATCCGATGGCCCAACATGCTTGCAAAGCTATCTTGAACGAGGGTTCCGACTTCAACAAAAAAAAAAAAACAGTTTGAACTCACCCATGATGAGCTCCCAATGGTTGACAGGTCTAGAAGAGTGTTGTTTGGGTCAAAGGTTGGTACCATTTTTTAAGTTGATGAATGAACCAACAAAACATTCAAGTACTAGGTGAAGGGTTGAACATTGACCAAATTCTATTCTAAACACTTGCTGAGTTCCTCCGACTATTCTCGCAAGAAAACATGGGGAAACAAGCAGTCGTCGCTGGGGCCTTTTCAATCTTCTAAGTATATGTTATATTTAGGGTCAACTAAATACAGAACAAATTCACCACACATTATTATGTTCAGTGTACGGAATCAGGCTCTTTACCAGCACAGAGTCATACAAAGTATATCTAGTTTCCCCAAATCTTCCAAAAACTCGGCTAAACTAGTTTCCCCAAATGCTTTGCCCCTTGTTTCAGGTGCTTTTGTGGGCGATATGGGTTTCGTAGCCTTTGGTGACAAAATGTGCCAAACCGGGCGCAGGCGGACCTGAACGCCCTGCTGGATCACGGGATCCATTGCGCCGCGCACCGAGCGATGGAGATCTCCGAAGTCGCCGCTCCGGGGCGCGAGGGATGAACTGTGGCGGTCTTCCGCATGCACGAGCCGCTTTTTTGGAACTTGCTCCCTGGGTTCAGCCTCCCCGGGTGGTTTGTGGCCGAATCGGTGGTTTGGTGGTGGTTGGGGTTTTGGTGGCACAGCCCATTCACCCTCAAGAAGCAGGGCTTCAATTACTAAAACCACCAATGAAGGGTAACCTGATGAGTTTCTGAACTTTATACTTTTTAGGGAAGACCATTTAGAGGGAAATAAACAGTTTGGTTGCCCTCGCACAATCGACTCAGTGACTTGGCCCTTCGCGGGGCCCCCATTTGACACATATCCAATTCTTGTCTTCAAGAAGCCAGCAAAAATGGGACATCCTACATGACAGCAACTTGTGTTTGGTGGTTGGCAAATTTGCTGAACTTCCTATAGCTGAATTCTATGATGATTGTTTTAGCGGGGCTGAGACCTTTAATTGTCCATGGTCAAAAGACCCTTTACTTGCGTTAATCTGGTAGTAATCAGGATCCTCAATATCGGTAAAAGTTATAATGATTCCTCACCCTTACTGTCATTTTGTGAAAGGTTTTTGACCTACCCCTCAATGTGCTGAGTGTGGTGCTGACAACTGCAATCCTAGTCATGTCTTTTGGGATTGCCGGTTTTGGCAGGATGAGCGAAGCTCTTGCATCTTTCCTTGAGCCAGTTGGCAATCGTGGCCTTCTTGCTCTCAAAAGTTAGTTGTGTGTTCTGAGTTCTTCGAATCAGTGATGAGCTAAAGTCTGCCTGGGACCAAATCCAAGTAGTTTATGTCCACTTTTTTATTAAATGGGAAAGTTGAACTAGGGATCTGAGATTCATTGACCTCAAGGGCCAGGCTGAAATCACTAGTAGACTCTCCGCACAGCCCCGACCTCCACAACAATTCGCCGAGCGTCAAATCGCCTGGTACAATTGCTGCGGTTGTTGCATAGAGAGATTGCAATACATCACCATCAATGACAACTTTCGGTATTGTAGAGATTCCATGGATAAATGGGGTGGGCATCCTGACGACCTTGTCATCAAATCCACACTTGAGAGTGCCGTCTTCGTCACCCTGATCAATGCACCGGAAGGGGACCCGCCTGGTTTGAACTTTTCTTTGGCGCATTTTGCTTGGATGTTGGGACTTTAACTTTTCGCCAACTAATGGGTTTTCCATCAAACCACTAAAAGTTAAACTTTTAGCAGGGGAGCAGAAAGCAAGCGAGTTGTGCTTCTCATGTTGCTAATGACGGGTCGACGTGCTCTTTTTCTGAAACGCGTTCGGTCCTTGAAAGATGCACAGCGGTGCGTGCAGCCGCTTGGAATTGCAGCCGCTTCGGTTTCAGACTCTTCCGGCCGAAGCCTCACTATACAGAATCATTGTATCAGACTCTTCCCATCGTGGCCTGGGTTGCCCCTTTTGCACCCGGTGCGGCAACTACCAGTACTAGTTCATCTTCGGTTGTAGATTGCTTTGGACCTTATCGTTGATTTGAATACCGGCCAGTTCTTGAATGGCGCCGAAACGCGTAAGCTTGGCGATCGAGTCTTAAGTTCAAAGCCTTAGCCTGCTCTTTGTGCGGCTTGAGGCTTCTCGACCCAATATGACTTGATGCGGCCGCGAGAGGTGCAAACTGATTCCCATCAAGAAAAGCGTGGCCCAATCGGCCATACAGGTATGGGTCAACATCAAACCAACATGTTTGCACATTTGTTTGACCCACACCAATATAAGCACTTTTGAACATGACTTTTTCGCCAACACATGGAAGAGTGCTCGTGCCACACACCTTGTAGGTGGTTCCACTAACAGGCTGCTTCGAGGTTATATTGAATGTGGGTGTGTCTGTTCTTGACGCAGGGAAATCAAGGGAGGTCAAAAGTGGAGAAGCCCTCTTTGAGGGGGTCTCCTGAGAAAGCACTTAGTTTCTCCACATAGTTGTGATGTGTTTTTGGGTTTTTCTAGAGTTGGCACCGCTTTCTGTCGTTGTACCCAGTGGTTCCCGGCTATAGTAGGCAACCAGTTGTTCCGTTTAATTTGAATATCGGTGACAAGCCCCTGGATATCTACTATACGGGTAAATTAATCCTCTATAGGCTAAAGGAACACCACAGAGAAACCACCAAAGACATACTGTGGATGGACGAAAACCTGCACCACTTAAGAATCCATCGAATGATGATTCCCCTGTAAGTACCAACAAACAATGATTTCCCGTGGATTCAAAGTGGTGCGAACGCATTTCGTGTATCCACAGTGGTTCCCTTCAAAAACATCCTTGGGAGTTCTGAGAAACCGTAAGGAAACTTTTTGGATCTGGAGGTATTGGTCACGAAAGACCCATGGGTTTCATCAAAAGTTTGGCGAGGTCTTGAAATCCAAGACCCCGTAGACAAAGCCCAAGTCGGTGTGCCTATTTTTTGGGGTAACCCTTGTTTGGGTGGTTTTAAGAGGAAACCAAAAGGAGAACCACTTAATTCGGAGGGGTCCCCTACTGTTTGAAACCATGGTTGAAACCATGGTTGAAACCATTGTTTGTTGGTATTTGTAGGTGAATCGACTCATTCCTTTGGGTTTCTTCCGGGTGCGAAATGGATTTCGTCCATCCACAGTAGGGGACCCCTCCGAATTAAGTGGTTCTCCTTTTAGTTTCCTCTTAACACCACCCAAACAAGGGCTACCCGCAAACATAGGCACCCCTATCAAACAGGCACCCCCGAAGTGTTGTCCGCAAGTCCCCGAACCGCCGCAGAGACCTTCGCGGTCTAGGTTGAGACCATCGCCTTCATGCCACAGCGGAAGCTGACGGGGCCTCGGCGACCGGCGACGGTTTCATCTGACAATCTAAGCCTGGGGATTGATAAAGGTAGGTCAGGGACGATCCCCTTGCCAGGACGATTCCCTTGCCATAAATAGCATCGGAATTCCGCCTTCTTGACTCTTGAAGCATGGTTCTGGGTGAGCCATGCTTGTACCGGGTTTTCATTATGACTCATCTGGAGGTTGAGGGGCATTGCGCTATACCAACAAAGACACTGTCCCCCTTCAGAAGTTGTGAGAAACGAAAATGAAACTTTTCGACCAGGAAACGGTCCCTCAACAAGACTCATGGGCTTCAAAAACGTCTGGAAATCCAAGTCCCCGTTTTGTAGACAAAGCCCCTACTGTTGAGCCACAGCAAATTGGAAGTCCCAACCACTTAGTGTTTCTCCCCATTTGTTTTTGGCTTCCTTTTGTTCCATCTTTGATTGGATAAACTGCCCCAATGAAGGTGCCGATTCTTTTGCTCCGTGGACATCCACTGCAGGACCTGGTCCGGCAATCTGAAGTCAACACTTCACACCTTTGCTGGTTCTTTGCGCGCATTGAATGGCTTACGCCTTATACGCCTTTCAGTGACCAATGCGCCCGAAGCGAAGTCTGCTAACCTTTTGCGGTAATGTACGGGGCTAAACAATTGCTAATGGGGGCGGAAGGCTTGCGGGGTCATGGTTCCCTAGTCATCAGAAACCCGTCCCTATAGTCCCCGTTTGGTGGGTTTAAACATCACCGTCCCCGTTTTGGTGGGTTTGAACATCGTTTGGGTCTTTGGGAGCCCAACCCTGACGCAGCATCGTGATCCGTTCCTCTTCGAACGGGATCACGATTGGGATTGGCACCCCCATGTGGATCAACCCAGGCGGAATCCCTGCTTGGGTGTTCGTCCAACCTAGAAAACCCCCACACAGCTCAGCCAGGTAGGCTTCTAAAGCATTTAGCAACGGAAAATCCCCAGAGGGGCCCAGCCAGTGCCAAACCGAAAGCTCAGGAACCCGACGAAAACCACTTGGTCGCCTGCTCATTGGCGCAAAATGGGTCTTTAAAAGCCTGGCTTGGGACCCACTTCCTTGGAAAAAACAACCTGGAGCAAAGTTCTGGGCAACGAATTCCCCTGGCTTTCGCACGAAGAATTTGGGCAGTGACGTGCAGTTTTACTCTTCGATTCATGGCTATTCCGATGGAAGCCCTTGGCTGTCATTTGAATTAGAATGGGGCTGTTTTGGCACTTGAATCCAAATTAATTATCTGTTGAGGGTATCCTGTTTTTGTGGTTTCAAAAGCAAAACCAACAAGACAACCACCATTTGGGGGGTACTTGTACTGTGGACGAACAAAATCCTGCACCGCTTTGAAACCATGGTTGAAACCATTTTTCGTTGGTATGTACAGGGGAATCGACTCATTCCAGGGTTTCTGAACGACGGTGCGAAGTGCATATCGCCCATCCGCAATGTGTCTTTTATGGCATTTTTGTGGTGTTCCTTTAACCCAGTGAATCCATTTGACGTATAATTAGTACCATGAGTCTCCATGACCCTTTAAAAATGGGGTCATGACCCCATTATTTTGCGGGGTCAGAAGGAGACTCCAGGTAGGTAACCGGTGTTCTTGTTGTTTTTGGTGGTGTTCCTTTATCTCAGTGAATCCAGTTACCCGTATGGTAAGTAACCAAGGGCCGGACCCTCTCTAGACGCCCATCACTCCCGATGGCGACTGCCCACGCCTAGGTGCGAAGTCAAGGGCATTGGCGAGCAGAAGGCAGGCCGAATCGCGGCTTTGGTTCAGCTGTGTCTTCTACATGCCTGGACCCTCAACTAGGTCCCCCAGTAGTGCCCTTTTACCAACTTTTTTGGTTGGGAGGGTTCCCCTACTAAAATAGACTACAGCAAAAAAGGTACCCTTATTCTATCCTCTCTACTGGAGGGCCTAGGTCAAACTACCCATTGAAAAGGGAGCTCACCCCACAATTTGGGGATATAACCCATTTTGAAGGGGGCTCACCCCGCAATTTTTGTGTGTTATACCCCATCAAAAAGGGAGCTCATCAACCAACATTTTGAGATAGAACCTTTTAAACTGAAATATTAAGGGTCCCATATGCGCGAATTTGAAGGGAGCCTCTTTTCGGGTGTGATACTGTGGATAGTTGCGAAACCCGTTCGCACCACCCAAGAAGCCATGGTTGAAACCATAACGTTCGTTGGTATTTACAGGGGAATCATCCTTCCAGGGTTTCTTAGGTGGTGCAGGATTTCGTCCATCCACAGTATAATCTTGTTCGTGTGGTGTCAGGCAACCTTTCTTGGGGTTCGGCCAAGGCGATTCTGCCATGGTCAAAACGCTTGGTTGCTTTGGCTTAGTAGGCATGGTCTTGCATGATTTACTCTGGCAAATGTTTGGATTCAATTGAAACGCAACCGAAACCGCATCTTTGACATCCCAGTGCACGAGGTGGGGAGCATACCCCCAATGAAGCTCAAACATGTGTGTGTGTGTGTTTTTGTTTTGGGATCCCCCAAATGGGGTGGTTCTCCTGTTGGTTTCCCTTTAAAACCACGAACAAAAAGGTACCCTCACAACAAGACACGCTTACGTTTGCCCAGAGGAAAGAAACTCACCCTAAGATTGGGAGCAGGCGGCCCGGATCTACGCTGCTGCCAAGCAACTGGTGCCCATGCGCATGGTGGGAGGCTGAGAGTGGCAAGTTGGGATAGACACGTGGGTTTGCGCGCACTTCTTTCCAACTGGGAAGGGTTTCCCTCGACAGTCAATTAATTGAAAAAAGGCAGGCCAGGTTTTTCAAGCCTTGGGGTGGGTGGCACCCTTTGGTAGCCCATGTTGCTGGCTGTTTTTGGGAGAGCGTGCATTGTTTTGTTAGATCCATGGACGTCCCCCTAGGTCTGGGTCTGAAACTCCATGCCCCACTCGGATGTGCGGCCGTTCCCTCCGTCAGCCCAGCGCTGGTGCCGATTTAAGCTGATCCGGTGCGTTTGCAGATCGGCCGGCCTGAAGTGGGCCCGGGTTCTTCCAAGAGGGTTGACTCCACTTCGGGGACGTGACAAAGCCAAGTGTGTTATACCGCGGGTTTCCATCTTGGCAGGTGAGGCAACTTCGTGGGTTCCACTTCGGGGTAAGAATTTATTCGAACTTGGCCGCAGGCAGTTGCTGTTTTCGCAGGTGCGAGTACTGAACATTGCCCACCTCAATGAGTTCCCTTTGGGTGGTTTGACTCCGCGTTTTGGGCAGTTTGCTTCAGTTTCTTTCTGGGGGTGACGTTTTAAGAGGTACTTTGGTGTTCGGCGAAGTTAATAAGTTGTTTGAATCTCGGGTTATATCCCACTTAAACGCCCCCGTAAGTAGGGGTTAACCCTATTATAGTGGGTTGGAACCCAAGTGGCTAACCACTTGCTTGGCCACGAAAATGCAGGAGCTCAGGTGGATGGACAAAATCCGTTCGCACCACTTTGAAACCACGGTTGAAACCATAACGTTTGTTGTTTGTTTTTTCGGGGTGAATCGACTCAGTCCTTTGGGTTTCTGAACGGTGGTGCGAGAAGCGGATTTCGCGTCCATCCACAGTATTGCGCTAGCACCCGGGGTTTTTCTTGAGGCCTCGCCTGGGTTTGGCTTCGGAAAAACCAAAGGTTCCCATGGCATTTGGCTGTGGCTCAGAAAACTGGAATTCCAAAATGGGTTGCCCTGGTAAGTGGAAACATGGACCAAAACCTGCGTAACCCCTCCTGGTTAATTTTGAGCCACACCCATTTGGAAATCCCATACAAATATCAACTGCGTGGAAGCTCAAGCTACCCCAAAAAACAGGGATAAAAACCCCAGAATGTTGGCAGTCACACATTGTTAAGGGACTTTTGAGGGTCCCCCAGTAGTGCCCTTTTTACCCCTTTTTTTGGCGGAGGGTTCCCCTACTAAAAAAATGACTACAGGAAAAAGGGAACCCTTATTCTATCCTCTCTACTGGAGGACCTAGTAAAGGAACCACCTAGCGACACGAGTCGAGCCTCAACCCGTCCAATCGGCGAAACAAGGCGCGAATCGCTTCCCAGGTCAGCGCTGCAGAGATGCTGCAGCTGCGCAGGAACATGGCCCGAAGCACCCAGAGCTATCCGAGTGATTGCATCGGGCAGTTTCGACACCAAGCCCGAAGCCTGAAATTCAGGCCAACCAGCAATAAAGCAACTCCTAATTACTTTTAACTATTAAAAAAAACAGGCAAAAGCTCTAAACAATGGTTGGGTTAATGTCATCACCACAACGTTTGCCGTTCAGGATTGTCGTCATCTCAGGAGCCCTTGACTTCAGCAACGCGCGATTTTTCAACGACCAGGTGTTGGAAGAGCGGCGCTACGCGTTGCTCGAAGCGATCATGCCAGCTCCCTGCGCCGGAAGCCAGAAGCCTTACATGGCCATGGTTTTAGTGAGTTGAAGCCCAGGGAAAAATGGTGGTGTTCCATTTGGTTTCCATTTAAAAGCCAACACAACTCGGGCTGGTTGTACCACCTTAACAGACTAGGTCCCCCAGCTAGGTGTCCGTTTCCCCCAACTTTTTTGGTTGGGAGGGTTCCCCTAGTAACGTAGACTACGGAACAAAGTTGGTAGCCTTGTTCTAGCCTCTCTGGAGGACGGGGATAGCAGCATGCCCCAGGTCTTGTTCGCTTAGAGCTAGATGGGATTCGCTGAATTAGATTGGTTTTGTGTTTGCCAGGCAAACCCGGGTAAGAGAAGGTCACCTATAGGCATCCCCTACCTGTCACATGACACCTCCTCTTTGGTACGCCTTGAGTGGCGTTGGCTCGCCTTTCACTCGGGCAGGTCCCCGCCCAAAGCGGAGAGCAACGGTTTATTTTTTTGTTTGAGAAGATCCACAAGGCGGTCAACTACTGTGGATGGTTGCGAAATCCATTTCGCACCACGAAATGAATCCATGGTGGAAACCTTTGGGTATTTGCAGGGCAATCAAATCATTCCAGGGTTTCTTGGGTGCAGGCTTTTGTCCATGAACAGCAAGGGTCTAGCGATGTCATGTGTAAAGTTGTAGCCCTTTTTTCAGCCCCAAAGGCTATCAAGTCAGCTAATCGAGGCTTTTTTTAATCTCGCCCTCGGTTTCCTGAACAGAAACGATCCATGTTTGGCTTAGCTGGGCTAAAGAAGACAACTTTGTTTTTTGTTGGAAATGTCAACTAGGTCCCCCAGTAGTGCCCTTTTTACCCTTTTTTGGGGGAGTGTTCCATTTGAGTGGACGACTCAAAGTTTGGGCAAGCCCACGCAGGATTGGAGGTGCAGGTATCGGCAATGTGTGCAGACGACTCAAGGTTCAGATCACTAGAGGTCACTCTAATTTGTACAGTACTTGGTTTGGTTTTTAAGTGTTTATTTCTGTGCCATACTCAGGTAACCATTTGTTTGGGATTGATGACTTGGGGATTTGCCCCTGGTTCTTGTAGTGCGTAAATGAGGTTTCCCACCCCATACCTCCAAACACGGGGCTCCCAATTGCTTTTTTTTTGAGGAAAGCTGACATACCACTTGGGTGTTCGGCAAAGCATGCAATTGTTGGTAAACTAGGTTATAACCCATTTGTAAGTCCCTCGTTCAGGGAGGTTAACTCTGTTAGGGTAATAACCGCGAGTGGCTAACCACTGACCAACCTGGCCGAACATCCAAGTAGGAAAAGGACACCCTTTTTGAGACTGACCATTTCTGGAGGGGACCCCAGCAAACAACAAGGGAAACTATGCAACCGGCTGGAAATCCCTTTCCCCCTGGCCGAACATCCAAGCAAGGCTTGTGAGCCATAATCAAAACCCGGGTAGATGAAGGTTAGCAAGGGGCAGTCGCAGCCAGAGTTATAGTTGCCGAGATCCGCCTTCTTAATTCTTGAAGCATTCTTTCTATTTCGGTGCCTGTGTGATTATGCCCCAGGTGCTTTTTTGTGGACTTTGGGGGGTTGAACCCCATAAGGAAGCCACAGGCTTTTGAGCAAGTGCCTCGAGTCGACGCGCGCGAGGTTCAGATCACCACCGGCTCCGCGAAGCTGGATCACCTGCTGCGGGGCGGCGTGGAGCCACGCCGGCCTCTTGTCGGAGCCACGATGGCTGGGCGATTTTTGTTTGTTTTTTTGGGCGGGGAAGGGAGCCACCTGACAGGTGAGCCAGAATCAAAACCCGGGTGAAGGTTAGTAAGGGACGATCCCAGCCAGAAATAGTTGCAGCCGCCTTCTGAATTCTTGGCATGGTTCTGGGTCGACCATTTTTGTACCAGGTTTTGATTACGACTCAGGTGGGGACGGGGTGCATGAATCGATCCGAATGGGTGTGTCTTTTTTTTTTGGGGGGGGGGAAACCATCATGACGCCAACCGGTTTTGGGGGGGGGCCGATTCCAAGAACAGACGCACAGGAAGACATGTCCAAGTGAAGAGGCGCGTCGGCTTCTTGTTCCATGGGCTTAATGGGTTTTCCACTTGGGGTTTCACTTCCGAAACCCAACCCAAAAAGAATAGCTCCCTATGATAAGAACCAGCTACAGGATAATTTGTAGGACACCTTGTTTTTGTGGGTATGTGGCCGACTTCCTGTAGCTGTTTTCTATGAGCTCCCCTTTTTCAGTGGAACCGGTCACTCGTTGCAACTGGGAGCCATGTGGAACTCCTGTCGCATTTGAAAACTGCCAGGACCGGCCAAATCACCGAGGCTGCCTGGGAAGGGAGGAAGGATTGCGTTCTTCCTTCCCTCCTTCCACCTTTGTTCCTTGCTTCCTTCCTTCCTTGCTTCCTTCCTTCCTTCCTTCCTTCCTTCCTTGAGGGCTGTTTCTTGAAGATGTCTTCAAGAAGATGAACCAGTCTGAGATCTGATTTTTATTCAGGTTTCGGGGGTTCCTGCTTGGACCTGAGGTTGGGTCAGCCCAGAGCTCTGTCATCCCAATCTCTCATTTTGGTTTGGAGCATTTTCCCTTCGAACAAAGAGCGCCCTTTTGTTCTCCTACTCCGGAGGTCTGACCTAAATGGTTTCCCGCAAAGTTTCAACTTGAAACAAACCTTACTTCTAGTGTGCGCTTTGTGAATTAAAGCTGCTTGAAGTAGGTTGTGCATCATTAGTTCTAATTGAAGCTCATGGCTCTCCACATTTTATTATACAGCCTCAGCGTGCCATCGATTGTGTCAATGGTTTTTCAAGACAAAAAGCTGGAAGCCTCTGACCAACTCGTTCCCTATTAAACTTACGAGTGAGGCTTATAATTTCTTACTCATCTGGGTGAATGATAACGACCTCACACGACCTCACCCGAAATGGTGGTTTGTGTGGGGGATGTCCCTCCAACCACCTTATTTCAGGCTGGTGAAATATTTTGATTCGCCTAGTATCATCATGTCAGCAGCACATATTTTAATCAGTACAGTGAGTGCTGTTGCATCTCGGATTACACCACATCATGTGGAAGCGTGATCGCATCAATCAGCGTCAGGACATCACATTGGGAACCTGTCCTCCCTAGTTGCCGTGCTTGATGTCAAAACCACATGAACTACAATCAACGCCAAGGTGGAAGGTGCGCGTTGTTGGGTACTGCTTTCCCACCAAGTTGTGATCATCAACTTCTGGTTTTTTGGTGGTTGCCTTGCAGATGGAACCCCAATCAACAAATGGCCCTTGTCCCCTTTTTCCAGGGGTACCTTCCCCATTCTTTCCAGGGATCCAGGGAAAGCGGCTGGTTTTTGAAAAGAAGGTTGGTTGGAAAAAGAATGGGGAAGCAACCCCAGACTTTTGGTTTGCTTTCGCTTGTGGAGGTCTTCGGAGAGTTCCGCTGTGGCAAGACTCAGCTGTGCTCCACGCTTAGCTTGTGACCGGAGTGGCTTGTGGTTTCCTACACGACGGGTTTGTCTTGTGCCTGAAAGGAAAATGAGGGACCCACAAGTGTTTGGGGTTGTACCCTTCGTAGCGACAGGGGACCCGGGAAACCCATGAATGGGAAACAACACAACGGTTTTGTCCTTGTCCAAACCACAAGTGCCCTCCAAAGTACTTGAAGAGAGGGCAGTGTCCCCAGCGCGTGTGTTTTCATACAAAACCACTGTTTTTCAATTATGCGATTTCTGGACTTGAAATACGCAGGACCGAACCAGAAGAATCGGCAACCATGGGAAACCATTCAAAAAAGTAAAGGCGGGATAATCCCTGGTTTCCCACTTCGGATGATTAATCGAAGGATTGTGACGAGGAACTCCCCCAACATTGTGGCCATTGGACAGCAATTGCGGGTCCCTGCACGGTGTTTCTTGTTTGAGAGTACTCTCCAAGGGAAACGATGTGTTGAAGGGAGAGCCGTCGACTTTCGCAGTGATGTTAATCAAGAGGAGTCGAACCACCATATTTCTTTTCTTTGGGGGGGAGGGGGGGGGGTACTTTGTATTGCCAGTAAGCCAACCACACTAAACTTGCATTGTTTAGGGCACCGTACCCTTGAACAACGACTGGAAGTATTTGCTCATTTTTGCCAGGGACAAAAGCTCGGGGTAGGGCCAATAGACTGGACAACCCCTTCCCCTGACCTGCCAAAGTCATGCCGCTGCAGGCCATCGATCTTACTGGCAGCGTTCTGTTTTCAGGGGCATTGTTCTTTCCCTACAACCATCATTCTTTCCCCAGGGCCATCGTTCTTTCCCCAACAACCATCATTATGTCCCTTCTTTCCCCACCCCATCATTCTGTCCCCCAGCATCGTTCTTTCGATCAAAGATCAGTGTGTCCCTGTTATTTGTTTTTCGCTGTTGCATCTGTTTTGGGTGAAAATTTGAAAACCAGAAAGAATGGGGAAGTATTGTATGCCATATTTTCGGTTAAACCCCATTCTTTCCAAGCATCCAGTTTTCTAGGATTTCCGGTCTTTCCTCCCGAAAGTGATGACAACTGCTGCGTGGGCTGCTGCGTGGGCGCCCATTGAAAGAATGAGGAAGTGAATGGGAAGCTTGTTGAAAATTGGATCGCGGGCACCACTTTGGTGGGTTGGCTGATGAGGGGCCCGCGGTGCCATCAGGAGGATGCTTCAATGCTTGCCGTGAAGCCACGGGCTTTATGTTTGCCAGTGTCGCATGGCAATGATTCATGACATGGATGTGGGCAAAGCAAGAAGGGCAAGGCTGACCGCCCCGGCTTGGGAGAGGCCTGGTGGGCTGCTGGGAGTCGGCAAAGGGAGAGAATGGGAACAGTTGAGTTTTAGCCTTGCTTGGGTGGACTGCTTCGATGGCAATTGTTGTTGCATCCATTTTGGGGGATAGTTGGGATAGCTCTTCAGAATGGGGTGGTGTGGCTTAGAAGTATCTGTTTTGAGAGGTCAAGATTCACCATTGTCTACATAAACCACTCACCAAAAACACAGTCACTGGGTGTAAAAGGCAAATCTGAAATATCCCGAAATTTGGGGCACTCAACTGGTAGGTGGTGGGTTTGGGTGCCTCGCAGAAGTCCAAAAAGGCGCCCAAAGCTTCGGTCCGGGCAACTCGACACTTGCAAGTTGTTGGTTTGGTTTTTGGTTTGTCCGATTTTGAGGGACGGATCGCAAACGAGAAGGACATGGATGACCATTTGCCCACATGGCTGTGGCTCAAAATTAAACAGGAGGGGTTACGCAGGTTTTGGTCCATGTTTCCACTTGCCAGGGTGCCATTTTATTTTGATACCGGTCTTTTGAGCCACAGCCACATCTCTCTCTCTCTCTCTTTCTCTCGCTCTCTCTCTCTCTCTCTCTCTCTCTCTCTCTCTCTCTCTCTCTCTCTCTCTCTCTCTCTTTCTCTCGCTCTTCACATCGGCTTCGAGTCATGACATGACGCGCCTGCATGAATTCACACTCAGCCCCTCAAGCACAATCGTGTGGAGGGCTATTTGAATGGAGCGACTGTACAAAAAGCCGCGATTTACCTGATTCCAGTCACCGGTCAGCTGTTGGTTTGCCTCATAAGCCTGGATTAGACCTCGTGCTGTCCTGGGGTGTCGGGCTGAACAACAGTGGTCTGAATCCCCACGAAATGGGGACTCCCCCATCTCTCAACAACAAACCAGTCCCATCAATATGTTTTTCTTTTGGCGGGTACCCTTTTCGGGGTGGGTTTAAATAAGAAGAAAAAAGACCGACCATTTTTGGGTGTCCCCCTACCGCCCTTGGGACAAGCCACCCGTTTCCGATTTCCTCTCGGAGTGGCGCTCAGGTCACACCTTGTGCGTCGCCGCCCAGCTGCCCATCAGCAAAGGAGGCGGCGAGAGTAAGGCGCTGGGGCGGGCGCTTCGCCACTTCGCTTGGCAGGGCGCCTTGTGGCAGTGGCTCCAGTGGATCCTGCCACGGGTATCCAGTTACCAAGTTTACATCCGGAGTTCTGTGGGTTCTCCTGCCAAACTCGGTGGGTTTCCCAAAGAGTCGGGTTTCAAGAATGATTCGGTAGTGACGTCCCTAGTGGGTGTTTATTTCTTTGGGGGTACCCCTTTCTTTGGTGGTTTTAAATGCAACTGAAGCCATTTTGTTTGGGGGGGGGTGTCCGACCTTAAAACGGACACGACCAAATGGGGTGGATTGGCGAATGGCGGTTGCCCCGACTCAACGATTCGGGTAGATTAGCAAGGGCCACGCCCTGAGTTCATGGAGTTTAGTCAGTGTGGTGGCCTTATTTTTGCGGTAAACAAACAGTTTAGGAGAAGGGCTGGGCCAAAGGCAGCACGTGTATTGAAACCACGATTCAAACGATGGGGCTTAATACAATTCTGGTTGCCAAATCAGGTGTCGTTAAGACAATTGGGTCATCCATTCTTTATTGGGGGGGGTTGAAAGCCTGAATTCGTTATCAGGATGTACAGAATTCGAATGTATAAAGTGACATGAAGTCAGATTGACTTCTACAGAATCCACCACTCAAATGTGTTCCAGAAGAGCGCCCGCGTGATCCGCAGAAGGCCTAGGGGCACTTGCGGGGGAACCAGCCGAAACAACGCGACGCAGGTGCAAAACGAAGAGCCTAAATGTGGTTGGTTTCGTGCGCGAAGAGCTCCCCAGCCCTTCTTCAACCTCCTCCCAAGAAAAACAAAAAAACAAAAAAAGGTGGGGCCCTCAAACAGCCAGGTTTTGAGACCCCAAACACTTTTTGCGTGTCCAATGAAGGGGTCTGGGTCTTCCATTGAAAGCCGCAGCCCGGAGCCTCCAGGGTATTTCTATATGGGGATTGATCAAAAGGTCCCATAAACATGAGATGACCACTAAGAATATGATATCCTGGGCCTTCAAACGTACCTGAAATTTCTGTCTCCCCTGTCAATCGGCTGGCTTTTGCAATTCGTGCCTTGTTTTTTTGGATTGACCTCTTTTTTGGACCTCGAGCAGTTTTTGGAGGCATGTGGGCTGTCAGGTCTTAACATGACCTACTCGAGCAGAAATGGTGTGCAAAAACGCCCGCAACGGCCCGCAAAACGAGCGCACAACCCCGCAAACGAGCGCAAATTTGAAAAGTGCTCGTTTGAAAATATAACCTCGGGCACTTTTTGATTGCTCGGGCAGAAATTTCGTTGGCTTTGTTCAGATGGTGAAGAGCTCCCTCCCTTTGGCGAAAGCCAGCTGGTGGACCCCCAAAGCACCCCCCCCCCCCTTTTTTTCCGCCTTTGACCCGTAAAAAGCGGTACTTAAAGGCAGAAAAACAAGAGGTCCTTTGGGTGTCCCGGTCGCGAATCGTACCCCTTGCCGGGTCGGGTCCTCGGGTCTGCCAGGCCTTGTACATCGACACGGAAGCCTGGGCCTCCGCTGAATCCGCCGATCGGATCGAGCGGATCTAGTGACCGAGGGGGGGGTGTTGTTGACCCCGGATGAATCAACTTGGTTAATAAGGGGTGCTTTTCCCTGGGGATAGTGGGGGACCACACTTGGAGGGGAACGCCCCCTATTAATACACCGCTTAGACAAGCAAGCTGGAGTGCATCAATACTTAGAACTGGGACCTCCACAATAAGAGTGATCAACCCTACCATTCGTCCCTTAAGTGGACTGTATGAAGGCCTTCCCAGTTACTGAATCCCTGGGGTTCAACCCCCATTAACGATGATGACAATCCTTAGGGAAGCACGGAGACACGGGGTTCTTAGCGACCCATGTCCGCAGTCGGACCATTCTTTTCTTCAGCCGAAAGGTGAAGACGTGGTTGAGCAAGATGACAGTCGCCCACCCTGGCTGGCGCTTTCTTGCAATTGCAGAATCCACTGGGCTGAAAACGTGAGGCACCAATTTTGATGGCATTCACGCTTCTAGATGTTGTACTGATGCCTGTGTTGTTCGCCGTATTATGTGCTGCAAAGCGCTACTGTATGTGTACGCCATCGCTTTCCTGGTATGTTGGATGTTCGATTCACCAAGCACGTGGTTCGCCATGAGGGCTAAAACCCTCTTGTAACAAGGTCAACCCCACGGGGTACTTAGTGGGCTATAGCCGAAGGGTTGCCAACAACTTGCGTAAACTTGGTGGATCGAACATGGACCAAGCACATGAGCTGATGCGCGGTTGATTCGGAAAGCTCCCTGGGTCGATACCTTATGGAGTTGAGGAGTCGGAGTCAGCAGCGAGGTCTCATGGTCTTTGGGCTTTCCTGAGAGCAGAAAAGCAGAAGCAATTGGAATAACGTGCAGGTTGATGCTAGCAAAGCTGGGGCTGCAAAAGCCGCCTTTTTTTCCCGTCTATCGAAGGTCAAAAAGGCAGCTCCCGTTGGTATAAAGCGGAACACACGGACCAAAACCACCACTTTCGGGGTCCGCTGTTTTGACACATGCCGCAGTCTTGGGTGTCACCTGGGCTGTTTTGTGTGCCTGAACCGGTCCTTTGCGCAGCGAGGGCACTTTCCGCCCAGAGCGGCTGGCGGATATTGCCCGGCGCTACGGGCTCAACGAGGAGGCCTGGGTGAGACGCTTCAAATCAGCGGTCTTAATCCTGAGTTCGCACTAGCAAGAACAGACAAGACCAAACCTGGAGTCTCCTTCTGACGCTTGAAAAATGGTTGGTCATTACCCAAAAATAAGCGGTTCTGACCCTTTCACTAGGGGTCATGGAGACTCCAGGTACACATTAAAATAAGCAATATGAATCAAGAACAGGCATATCAGTGAGTAAGCAGATACATCAATAGAAAATCAACAAATTCAATGAAGCAAAATTCATACAAAAACAGCAACATAATATATAGAAATACATCAAACAACCTAGGAACTCCGTCAACACCCATGAGCTCCACGGTTGCGGAACTCCGCGGTCCACGTTCTGGCATTTGCTTGCCCACAGCGAATCGACCTTGTGACCTTTCAGTTTCACTTTTTTGGTACACGTTTAGTCGTTGCACCAAAAAGCGAACTTTAAATGTCTCGCTCTTTCGGGCAACTGAGGTTATGAGTATGTTAGCATGTGTGAGTGTGAGTGTGAGTGTGTGTGTTTTGGGTCCTCCTGCAAAGAAAGTTTGTTGCTAACATGCCAAGGGTTGAGAAGATGTTGTTTTCGCTAGCTGGAGTTATTTGATAGACCCAGTGGATCCCAGATACCACTATGATGAGTAACCAGTCATTGTCCTTTTGGTTGCTATATCGGGTGATTTCCTTGGTTACCCACCAATGAATATGGAACCTGACGTTCGGGTGTCCCTTTAAAAGGACAATGGGCCAACCCAGGAACCCCTGTCAGGTTCCATGTTGATTGGTATGGTGGTACCCACTATACAAATCTTGGTGGTTCCCAGCCATCCGGTTCCTTAGCTTTTCAGCCTTTAGTGTTTAGTGGTTGGATTTCTATTGAACCCACGAAAAGTAAAAAAAAAAGAAAGAAAAAGCGGGAGATCTGAGGACAGCCCAGAGAGAAATGGTTCCAGGTAAAGACAAAATGGACTGCCGAGGTCCCGCGGCCTTTCAATTGAGTTTAGGGAATCAAAGGTTCGGTATGCGAGAGGTGCGCGGGCAAGGCTTCGGGTATTTAGACGATTGTTTGTTTTTGGCTATGGACACATGCGATGTAGAATATATTTGTTTGTATATTCACCTTCATTACCAGAATGAGGTTGATTTAAGATAGGCATTGTGTGATGTACAGGTGGAGTTGGAATACTTGGTAGTTTATTTTGCATTTTGTCTCAGACAATTGTCCAGCATCCTCAGTCCAATGTTTTCGCTGTTCCTGGGACAAGTGAACAAGACACCTGCTGCGAGCTTCTTTCGCACAGTAAGCCAACATCAAAACCTTGAAGATCAAAACCTTAAAACCAAAATCAAACCTTCCAACCTAAGCCTACAACCAAACCCAACACCTGAAAGCCTAAACTCAATACACATCCCAAACGTTGAACCCCCACCTGAACCCGAGACCCCAGCCCGTCCTACCCCATGCAGGCATGCGAACTTTGGCGAGGAAACATGACCCCCGAGGTACCCAGATGGTGCATCCACCCAGGTGAAACACCGGGTTTTGGTACCAAAGTAAATCGGGTTTGATGACACAACTCCGTGGTTTGTTTGTTATTGCAGAACCTGTGCCAAACCCATATGGCTGTGGGTCAACACCAATGGTACCGTTTTGGGGTAGGTGAAATCACCGCCCATTTTAGAACCAATTTTAGTGGGGATTGAATCGGATGTTCATTGGGGGTACGGGGTTTTGACCCATGGCCAAATGTCTTGTACATGCTTTGCGGGTTTTGTCGTGTATTTCATTACTTCCTCCTTTGGATATTGAGCCTCGGTTATGTTTGGTGTTGGAAGCAAAGAACATTCGGTGTTGGTTTGCAAAGTTTCTGAGATCTGAAGTAGGCCTTTCCGCTTCTCATGAATGCAAGATATTCAGATCTTCCCAAGCTCATACTAGCTTGGAGGTTCCAGCCGTCCGGTTACGGAATCTTTCTGGTGTGTAGGGTTTAGCGGTAGTCCCATTTAACCCACTAAAAGTTGAGCTTTTAGCGGGAGATCTGAGGAAGCCAATTAAATGGGTGTGAATGACCATGCACGGAGCACCCTAGGGGAGAAGTCTGGGGTCCGTTCCATGCCGGTATGTTGAAAGCAAAAGTCAAGGGAGGAGCATGCCCGTACTGTATTTATGTGATCCTTTAGGTTGCCGCCTGTTGTTTTGTGCCGGGGGGGGGGGAACATGAGGTTTAAGATGAGTTTCTTCAGGTAGGATGCTAGTGACATATATTTTACTGAGGTCTCAGTAGGGCTTCCCCTACCCTCTGTTCGGACTCATTGGGGCTATCAACCACCTGGCCCCACAGGACGTGCTGGAGAACGTCACCTATGCTCGCGCCTACAATGCGGAGCACCAGGACAGGATAAGGCTTCAGGTGTTGTTTTTTGTTCTCCAAGGTTAGACCCCCATGATTGCGTTTCTTTGGTTTCCCTTTAAAACCACAAACAATACGCCAGCATAGATTTCAGAGAGCGAAAAACATGGCGACAATTGTACACCAGCACCTCCAACAGCACCCCCCGCAGAGCGCCCCAAACAGCGTCCGGCCGTCAATCTCGCAGAAATGCGCCCGCGCCGTCACTACCACCTCCAACAGCGCCCCAAAGAGCACTGCATGCCGCTTCTCCTCGGAAAAAATGGCGAGGAGATGGAGATTCCATTTTTGGGTCTAAGCTCACTTACCACTTGGACAGATCACTTTTGGTTTTGGGTCGTCATCCGAGTGGTCAACAAGTTTGTGTACCTCAACTCAGGAAATGGGTTTCGTTCTCGGAGTCAGTGCTCCTTTTGTTTGTGGTTTTGTTGTTCAAGGAAAGCTCTAAGGAGCAGCGAAGCCTTGTGCGGGGTCCGATTCAGACACATCCATTTCAGAATATTCCTTTGCCAACACTCCCTTTTTATACTCAACTTAAGGCTGCATTTTGGAAATAAGGCCTTAACAAAGGGTTGTATAGAGTGTTTTGAAAGACTTAGCACATATTCGAGTATGCGCCAAAAGAGGGAGACCCCTAAAATGTGCTTGTTCCTTTTGCTTTCCTTTAAAACCATCCTTATCGCACCTTCAAAGAGCACATTTCTAAGGGTTGATTCCCCATTCCTTTCAACCATCGTTCTTTCAAAAGCCGGCCTTTTCCCCGGGTTTTTGATGGTTTCCTGAAAAGATTCGGATCCCTGGGTTCAGACTGGAATTGGAAGGTACCCCTAGAACTTCCATGCCTTTTGGACAGCGGCGGACAAATCGACCCAGAAGATGGAGGGGGTTGTCTCTAAATGGATCTACGTGGCACAACCCCCATGCCGTATGTTTCATGTAGTTTCCTTAAAAGCACCCCTAGAACATTCCTTTGGCTGTGAGGACCGGCTTCTAGTGGAGGCCGCCAGCGTCTTCTGCGAGTCCCGCTATGCGCGAACCTTGGATGCTCGGATGCGCTGGGCTCCGGCCACATGCTTCAACGAGGTCCCCCGCTTCTCTCCCCTTTTTTGGGGGAGGGTTCCCCTGCCAAAATAGACAGAGAAAACAAAAAACACAAAAAATTGTACCCTTGTTCTAACCTCTCTACTGCAGGACCTAGTCAACTTGGAAGTAGGTTGGTAACCCCGGGTAGTCACCCAATGCCCACTTTTTTTCAGGGAATGATAGAGTATGATGGCAACCCTTGGCTGAGAAACAAGAGGTTTTACGATGGGAAACCTGCTTATTTGGAGCAGGTTGTTGTTTTCAAGTTGACTAAGCCTGACATGCATCCTGAAATGTTTAAAGTGTACCCCAGGTTGGGGCCAAGAAATGTGGTTGCTTGAACGTGGGTCCTAGCACATGAACTATGCAACTGGGATCTCTTTGCACAAGAGTTTACATTTCGAGTTTTACTGAGTATTGGGATGGGCAAAATCCATTTCAGATCAGATGGCATGCCACCGAATTCTTGGTGGTGCAGGAGTTTTTCCACAGTACTATTTGTGGCCAAGGGAATCAATCGCAACATATGGGCGGGTGTTTGTGAGGCTACCCTGTTTGCAGTGGTTTTAAAAAGAACCACAAGGACACATCCCGTCTTCTTGAGTCCTCTATTTCAAGACACACCCATATGAGCGTGTTTGTTCGAGAATGCCATTGAATGGCTTTTATTGCGGGGGGGGGGAGGGCGGCTCTAGGAAACACGATGGCAGTCACTTAGGGGGTTCCCCCACTTGAAGACACACCCACTGTAGACACGGCTCGCCATAGTGCCATTTGATGCACCGATGCTGCGCAAGAAGTAATTCCAAGTTTTGTCCGTCGGTTTTATTGTGACCAAATCTCTCAGATCTTCTATTTATTACCTGCTCTTCACTTACCTCATCAAAAACAATTAATAATAATAATAAACTCTATCGTTCCATCTTGGAATCCTGAATTGGAGCATAATACGACTTGAAGGCTTCAGCTGGTACGCACTTCTGGGCAAGGGCAATGTTTGAAGATGGACTATGGCCAACACATCAGAGGTAGTTGACCGCTTCCATTTGCTTAAGATTTGTTTTGTAGTTTCCCCTGTTGGTTTGAAGGGAATCTATCACTATTAAAAAATATGTTTAAATTTCCTGGGGGCTTAAGCAAATGGAGGATTGTCGGGTACCCTAGCTGGTTGATTGGCATTGCAAATTGCCATGGCCACCGTGTCAGCCACTAGTACCATTGTTGAAACTTCCATTTGCCTGAGTCAAGACATCACTTCGTGCCCGGCTTATGCGGCCACTATAGGGGCCACAGGCCGGATGTCCGCAAAACCGCTTTTGGGAGCTGAAGACAAACCCATACTGTGCATGGACGAAATCCTGCACCTAAGAAGCCCTTAGGGTTTGTAGGGTGCAGGGACTGTGAACCCAACGGAATTCATGTGCTCGCTTACTTGGGAATCCGATAATTGTGGTAGACACCATACGAACAACGAGGTCGGCCAGCTCTCTCATACATGCCTTTCTACAAGGCCGCAGCTGACGGGTACTCTCTATGCGAGACCCCCTGCCTCACTGGTGAGACGGCCACCGTTTACGGCAGGTCCTGCCCGGGGAGAAATTTCATTCACATGCCCAGGAGCGTCAGGACCACCCCTCCTGACGAGTGAGGGATAGTTTATCGGCATGAACATTGGATGCGCCAACAAGGCAACGCCAGGCTCGAAAGCAAAGCCCCGGCAGGAATGTTCGTCAATCAAGGCGAGCTTGACTGGAAGCTGTGTGCGCCGGGCCTCTTCCCGCACAGGCTTACCACCGGCCAGAGAATTGTCCCATCTAACCAGCTGATGTGCCCGATCCAATCACGGCGGCACAAAGATGATGCTGTTCATTCAAAACTCGGCTAATAGAAGGTTAGTTAGGGACAAGCACAATCAACATTGGGTGTGCGCCGCCTCTTAGCCTCTTTGAATTGGCTTGGGAAAACCATTCCAGTACGTGACTCGCCGATTTCTTGGATGCTTGTCTTGCGAGTCTGTCGGAATTACGTACCTGCCGGCTTCCTGCGGCGAAAACTTGTAGGTCTAGAGATAACGCAAACTAACCCGAGGGTCCAAGGCTGTACCTAGGGGAGTAACATGCGTCAAACATAATTTGAAGGTATGTTCTGGGAATTTGTGGGGCAATCTTGTCAAAGCCGATTAGCTGGCGTACTGAAGCTTGGGTAAGAATATCACACAATAACAGATAGCTGTTAGCTATTATAATGAGGCAGTCGGCAGTTGAGTCTGTTTTCAATGAACATACCGGTTCGGTTTTGTTTCAAGTTTTAACCTGGTCTACTTTGGGTTTGCTTGGGTGCTTCCTTTGTTTTAGGTTTGGAAGGCTACAGACCTCTTGGATATAAGAAGCCGGGTTCCTAGGTAATTTTATTGACCCTTTTTGGTGGTAAACTGCAAGTTTGTTCCTTTTTGGCCAACCCCCTCAGGAAGAGAGAACATACAGTATATACAGTATATCCCTTTTTAAATGAGAACCAAAGTGTTTCAACTCTATTGGAAAGACCTCCAAGTAAGCCATGATTAAAAAATCAGGTTGACCTCGGCAAAAAAAAAAAAGCCCTTGCCCTTAGTGCCCTTTTACCCCTTTTTTTAGGGAGGGTTCCCCTACTAAAATAGACTACACAAAAAAGGGTACCCTAACCTCTATCCTCTCTACTGGAGGACCTAGCCTTTTAGTGGGACTCCGGATCACTTTATCGTTTTTGACGTGCCACTCGGTGCGCAGAAGCCGAGGCGGTTCTCATCGTAGACAGCGCCACTGGGCTCTTCCGCACCGACTATAGCGGAAGGTGGGCTTTGGGAGGGCCGGGCTGGCTCCTCCAAGACGGTTCTGTGTGCTCTCCCAGCGAATCATTTGGTTCCTGAGGCTCTTGGTGGCTTTTAGTTGGTTGAGTGGGTTTCCAGCTAGGCCGCAGCTTAAACTTTTCATTAGGAGGGAATCTGAGGACAGCCCAGTATCAATGGGTAGATTAGATACGAAACAGAATCAGTACGTATGATTTTCTTTGTAGCCCTTTTTTTGTGGGCCGAATCTTGGAGATGTTTGTAATCTCCGCCCCGGGGGTAAAACCACCGAACACTCATGAAGCCCACTGGGAGAGGGGGGGGGGGGAACTGGGGTTTGGCTTGTTTGGGGTTTGCCCTTGCTACGATAGAAGGCCCTGCCAGATTGCAAGGGGAACATTCGGCAAGCCTCTAATTTACCCCTGATATACCAGGCGTTTGCGGTTGAGTATGGCTGGTTTACTTGCAATATTGGGTTGGCATCCACCGTCAAGGTGTGTTTTTTCCAGGGCGAGGCTGTGCCCCATCAACCTAGCTCGCTCGCCCCAAGCGTTTGGTTTTCCCACGTCGGCGTCTGGTTAAAGGGGTCAAAAGATTAACCATGCTACCCTCGAGGGGGGTCAGCTTGATGGTAAAAACATGGGCCAGGTTCAAATTCGCAATTCAAGACGAGCTCACCGAGGGGGCGTGAACGAAGGCCCTTTTCTTGGGGATCCCTTTTGTTTCCTTTTGTCAGGTGGATTGCTGGTGGGGGCCCAACAAAAAGCAATGCTCCCGGTGTTGTTTTCCGCTACTTGCATGCCCGGCCAAGTTTGTAAGTGGTGAGCCACCTGGGTTATAACCCGCTAACAACAAGGCTAAGTCCACTTAGGGGGCTTGTAAGCGGGTTAGAACCTAGGCCCAAGACTTGCGGAATTTTGCTTGCGGGTGTGGAGGGTTGCTCAAACCATGGTGATGTGCGGAGCAAACAGCTTCACCTCTGGGGGTTGAAGCCTGCTCAAGTTTTGTTTCATGGCCACTAGCACTAGTCGACCTCTAGGGTCCCCCCCTTTTTCCCAGAGTCACTGACCAAAAAGGAACGAGTTGCCAACGGTTTTCCTTCAGCCAGCGGTTTCCCTTTCCAGGGCCCAGAGCAACTCTGTTCACCTCGAGAAGTAAAATCATGGGGTGTGCCATCAAATGGGTCTGTCTTTTTTTGGGGGACCCCCCAAACAGGTGATTTTCTGTTTTTTTTTTTTTTTTTTTTCCGCTCAAAACCACCAAAAGGTACCCTCAACACCTCCAAATTAGACACGTCTTCTTCCCGTCCGAGTTACAGGGGTCAGCATTCACCTGTGTGAGGGTGGGAAAGTTGGCCTCACATGATATGTATGATATGTTTTTGTTTTTGTTTTTTTTGTGATCTGATATGATATGTATGATATGAAATGACATGTTTTTATATCATATGTATGATATGATATATTTTGTGATCCGCATGATGTTTTTTGCTTTTGCTGCGGATCTCTTGGCTCACTCCCTGAGTCTGGGACGCTCGTCTTCTCGGGAATGCCATTTGGGCGACCAAAAGTTCCCCAGGAAGTGAGGCAGTGGCAGTTTCCTCAGTTGTTCAGTGGCTCCAATTCTGTTTCTTTTTTCGTTTTGTTTTTTTTATTCCGTGGCTGCCCCACTAAAATGGTCCAAGCCCAAAAAAGGGTTCCAATTCTTTTTTTTCATGGTCACTGAACAACTGAGTTTCCTTAGGGAATCCAAGTTGGGCAGGGTGCCCAGCTTGCGGGGTTTCGAAGGCAACTCAGCCTCGGGCTCGCTTCATCTCGGCTGCTTGGTTACTTCTCGCACGGGGGCAATGGCCGCACAGGGGATCTGCCGCATGCTCCTGGAACGGATGTTGAAGGAGAAGTATTTCTACACTGCGCCCCTTTTTGCGCGAACAAGCTTGGCTCTCGCGATCTCCCGCCCCGCGCACCAGGCTCAGAAGGCTGGTATTTCGGAGGGATGCTCATGGACACTACCTGGAGTCTCCATGACACTAAATCCATGGGGTCATGATCCCAAGATTTTGGGTAATGACCCACCATTTTTATGGGGTCAGAAGGAGACGCCAGGTATAGACAAAATTAGACCAATGGTAAGGGTTGCCATGGGTTTCCCTTGGTCTCCCTTTCATGAGGCATGGGCGCCGAGGGAGCCCAATCACGCCCTTGCGAGTTTCGGCTTGCGTCCCTTGAGCGGCCGAAAGGGAAGCTACCAATTGGTGGGGTATGAGACAGACCCGACCCCAGCTCTTGTTGCAAAATCGTTTGTCGAGCTTCTCGAAGATGTTTTTCGCCTCACGGCCCTCACGGACGCACCAAGTTTTGAGTGGACAGGGGTGAGCTGGCCGAGCGGCAGCAGGCGCCTTCGTCCGGGGTTGGGCCCCGGAATATGTTCTCAAAAGTTACGGAGTCACAGTTGGCTGGGTTCAAGGGACGGATCGCAACCGAGCAGGATGGATGACCATTTACCCACTTACCAACGATCAAACGAGCAAAATGGAGGTCTCAAATCCAGCTAAGGGGGATCAGCGGGTGGGTAGTTGAGAGCCGTAGGGTTTTCTAGGGTTCCCTTGAAAACGCTCGGGTTCCTAACGGAACGCTCCCCCCCCCTCGGACCAAACGGTTGGTTGGGAAAGCAAAAGGAGATCAAACAATTCTAGGAGACTTCGAGAAACACCCATTTCATTTGATTATTACTCTGCCCAAGATCTCGCAGTGCTTTTTAAGGTTGACACATTGTGAACACGCATTCTGGAAAGATGGTGTGTAGAATACCCCAGGTTGGGGCCAATGGGTTTGGTTGCTGGGTTGAAACTTGGCCATAGCACATGAACCGCGCAACTGGGATCTTTGGACATGATTCTAGGGCTTGATTCCCCATTATTTTCAACCATCGTCCTTTTCAAAAACCAGCCGTTTTCCCCGGGATCCTGGATATTTTCTAGAAAGAAGGATCTCCGGAAAGAATGGAATTGGAATACCCCTGCGGGTGGACAAAATCCACTTCGCGATGAAACCCAGGCAAAGGCACGGAAATCCAACACGGGGGCGGGGTTATCTCAACTAGAAGTATCTCTGCGGACATCCGCCCTTTCATTTCTTTCCATGTTGAGGGGTCGGGCACTTGAGTACAGCGTTGTTTTTGTGAACCCCTGGAGGAGGAAACACCCATATACAGAAATGATGACCCCGCTCATTTGACGTCGGAGGGGTTGCAACTCCATGAAGGATCCCCTGTTGGAGAATGCCCCGGTGAATCACGCAGGAGTTGTTTGTTCATGGTTTCCAATTGTCCAGCGTTCTTCACAAGTTGAATTGAGTTCCGGCGGGCTTGGAAAATCTTGAAGAAGTAATGTGTTCTACCTAGTTGTCTTCCATGTGCTTAAGGATATTGTTGATTTCCCCTGTCGGGTTTTAAGGGAATCTATCACTATCGGATATATTTCAGAGGGCTCGACTGCGAATAGAGGTTGTTGTTCGTAGTTTTGGTGGGTGCTGGTTGAGGCCGCATTGTTCCGAATAGCTTTGCGCTGGGATTTGGGGTTTGGCAGGGCTTGGTGGTATGAGGGGCCAAATCCTTGATTCTGACTAAATATGTTTATTTGTTCCCCCATAGTTGTTTAGGTTTTCAGGATTTAGTGGGGATTTTGCATTTAACGCACTAAAGTTTTTTTTCAGGGCATCTGAGGACAGCCCAGTTTAAAGTACCCCCACAACCTCAGTGAAACTATTTGGGCCCTTAGATTAGGCTTTAGTAGAATTGAGTGAGCTTTGGTAGGTCTTGGTTGATATGTCATGCAGGTGCCACCGAAGGCTGGTCCAAGCTGCACCCAATCAACCGCCTCACTCTTCACCCACCATGTGGCTATGCTTTTGTGTATTCGAGCTTATTTGGGGGTAAAACGAGCTAGTTGGTGAAATTCCGAGCTCAAAGCCGTTCTCAGGGGTACCTTGCCCCACTAGGGTATGTTTTGAGTGGCGCAACCCTGAAACAGCTGTGAAGATATGGGGTGGTCATATACCAAAACGGTGGAGCCCGACAGGACACCAACTGAAGGCCACTAGTGGGATGCACTCCATGTCCAATGCCTTCTTCTTTGTGTTTTTCCAGTGGACTCGAACGGACCCTTTCGGCATCACTTGGCATTTTGGAAAAATGTGTCACGCGTGTGGCAGAGACTTTCCCCGAAAAGAAACCTGCACGGTTCACCGGTACGCAAAAGAACCTGAGACAAGAATCGCAGCAGGAAGCACAGGATGTTCATCATGGCTGGCTCGGTGGAGCTGAATAGATCGAGTTTGCCCCAGTTGTTCAGTGGCGCCCTGTTTCCTTTCACTGAAGATGCCTCAATTTTGAGACACACCCTAACCCACTCGTGGGGTTTTATCCCTATTTTGGACATGTTTGGAACATACTGTGGATGGACAAAATCCTGCCCCACTTTCAATCCATGGTTCAAACCAGTTTTTGTTGGTGTTTACAGGTGAATCATCAGTCCAGCCAGGGTTTTTTAGTTGGTGCGAAATGGACTTCGTCCATCAGTATGTTGGGCATTCGACAGGTGGCTATGGGGCAAATTTCAAGAGCTAGGGTTACGCGGTTTTAGTCTTTGGTTCCATTTACCAAGGGGGCCATTTTGGTACATGTATTTGAGCCACAGCCAGGTATGGGCGGGGTTTTGCCTCGGGGTTCCTTCGCGTGAGGCCTTGAACCGCTACCTCCGGAAGCTCCAGCGCATCGCGGATGAGCACGGGGTAGCGGTGGTCATCACCAACCAGGCGCGGAACCAGTCTGCCCCCAGCCGTGTGTCTCCTTGGTGTCGGTTGAAAGGAAAACCAACCAAATGAGTTTGGTTCTTTTCTGAAGGAAGCTTTTTAGGCTTTTAGTGGTTTTTAGTGGTTGGATTTCCATTTAACTCACTAAAAGTTAAAGCCCAGAAAAGAGAGACACCGGTGATATCTGCTTTCTGCGCGTTTAGTTCGAACCGTTGTTTTTGTTTTTTCCCCCCCAACAGCTGAAAGCTTTGGGGCTCAGCCCAGATAGGCTCCGGGGTGGTCCGCGGCGGCCCTGAGGTAAGGTTTCACGAGGGTTCCACGAGGTTCTGCGAGGGCTGCGGGGTGGCGCGAGCACCAAAAAGAGCACCGTATGCTGTTGGGGATACCTGAGCTTATTTTTGTCCAGTGGATGCATCCTGAAAAGGTTTGCCCAAGGGTGGACCTCGCACCCTGAAGCAAGTTGGTGCTCGTTTTTTGCGGCTTGGCACGCGCTTGTGCGGGGTGTCGAATTCATTGAAAGGGTTGATGCCGGTGGCTTTTCAGGATTGGGTAGAAATTTACCCGGCTTCCAATGGTTTAGATTGTTTTCATTCCAAGGGCCATGGATATTTCCAAAAAATAACCTATGGTTGATTCCCCATTCTCTTCACCCATCCTTCTCTTTATTAAAACCACACATCTTCAGGGGATGTTCGCCCATGTGTTGAGAGAAAGGTCCCTGAGAACATGGGTTTCAACCAGAGCCTCAGTGGCGCCAGGCCCCGTTTCCGTATTATTTGAGGTTTCTTCTTGTTGAAACCTATCCAACAAATTGATATTCTGCGAGGCTAATACAAACCGAGGGTTTCTTCTGGTTGCCCGGTTTTCAAGCATGGAGATCAATACCGGGAGTTCTGGGGTGGCTAACAGTAAGTTTCTGCACCAGAAGACACCCCAGGAGAATCGCTGTCGAAGAGCCCCTAGGTGCTAAAGAACCTATAGCTCAGTTGTTCAGTGGCTCCCTTTTCCCTGTTTTTTTTGGTGGCTGCCCCACTAAAATGGTCCAAGCCCCAAAAAGGGTTCCCTTTTTTTTTCCAGGGTCACTGAACTGAACAACTGGGATAAGGTTTAGTTTCACCTGGAGGGCGCCACCTGAGATTTTGATCATTTTTGCTGTGGCTCAAAAAAACGGTACCAAAATGGAACCCTGGCAAGTGGAAACATGGACCAACACCTGTCTAACCCCTCTTGCTTAATTTTGAGCCACGCCCATTTTTGCATTTTAAACTTTACCCGGGAGGGTTAGGAAGCCTTGGGCCCGGTTCTCGTAGATGCACCGCCCTGACGCGTTTGAGCCTACCTTTGTAATAGAAAAATGGAACCCTGCCAGGGTTGGTACCGTCACCAAACCACTCCAACAGAGTCTTTGATTTGCTCAAGAAGATACCCTGCCAGGGTTGGTACCGTCACCAAAGCACTCCGTGTTGTTCTTCCCTGTAGAGTTTACGGGGAGTCGATCACTCCTGCGTCGATCACTCCTGCGCATATGTTCCCTCATGTTTCCCAGCCGCAAGAACGTGTTTCATACTGTATCTTGGTGGTTCCCAGCCATCCCCTTAGGTGTTCATGCTTTTAGGGCTTAGCCGGGGTTTCCATTCAACCCACGAAAAGACAAACCGGATCTGAGAACCGCCCAGGTATGAAGGATCCTGTACGTTGCAACAGTTTTTTGTCCCCAGCCTCACCAAACGGTGTCGAGGTCATGTCTTCTCCGGACAGCGGCCCGGCCGCCTACATGGGACCGCAGGCCGGGGGGTCGGCGAGAAAGCCGGCGTTCCTTCGCTGCGATCAGAAGGGCTTGGAGGTGTGGAGGTGGCATACCACTTATAAGGGTTATACATAATGTATAACATGTATATACTATAATGTAACATAGCGACTACAATATAATAGAATGTAATTATATTATAGTATAATGTAATATAATATAGTAATATATAGTATATGCTACACTGTATATACACTGGCAAGTTACTACGTTTCAACCTCATGTGGTGGTATATCAGCAGCTACCTTCAAAACAGACACCTGAAAATACCCAACAATGTTTGAGTTGCCCCAAAGGTGACCTCTCTTTTTGTTTGGACCCTTACTTTGCACCAGTAACCCACTACAAGGAGTTGTTGTTTTGTTGGTTGCCGTTTACACAAGGTAAGACAGAACAAAAACCACGCCCGTGTGCGGGAGCCCATTTGACAGCCATTGGGGGCCTGGTATTTGAAGCTTAGGGTAAAGCGCCCGTGGGCAAGCATCTGCTGCCTGGAAAGATCCAGAAGCATGCGCTAGCCATACGTTGGAAGTCTGGGACAGCGAAGCGGTAAGTAGCTGTTATTGTATGACCCACCTAGGGGACTTTACAATGGCAAGTAGGTAGCCAGATCTACGAACCACTGAGCGATTTGTCCCGGACCATTTTCGGGCACTGGCCAGACTATACCCAGACCACATCCCTGAAGGGAAAATCCCAATTCACCCCGGCATAGGTGCTATTTGGGCTAGGTTCAAGGTGTCGTTAGACATTTGCCAGGGCTTTGCTTAAGTGACGTGTGCTCCAATGATAGGGCCAATTTGCTTTGGAATGCCGAAGAAAGCTGCCAGCTTTGCACCAGTAGCACAGCGATTTTTGCAGTGCCAAGCCAGCACACAGCCACCCCCTCAAGCCCCAAAAGACTTAAGCTCCATTTATTCGTATCCTGTTCAAGCATGTGATGGCTTGGCAAGATCAGATGATCATGGTACCCCACTCTTGAGTGCCCAGCCAGAAATAATGTTGGTCCCCATGGCAGAAAAAGTTGTTTGCCGTTTGGGCCGCAACTTATGAGCTCAAGCAATACTAAATCAAACATTGCAACAATACCAAATCAAATCAAATTTGAAGGACATCTTCAGCAATAGATTGCAAGGAAAGCCAAGTCCCTCAATAAGTCAATTGGATGCTCAAGTCTACATCTAAAAAATGGAAGCTCCGGCAATGCAAAATCAAATGGACACCGACATCCAACAATACTACATCAAACAGCATGAAAGCTCAAGTCAAATTCGAAAGAAGGCTTCAGCAATACTAGATCAATCGAAAGTCAAATCCTCCAATGCTAAGTCAAATGGATACTCAAATCTACATCTCAAAAGTGAAGCTTCTTTTGGAATCGTCTGGAATCCTCATTCCCAAATCAAAAGTAGTATTGCCACGTACTAAAGTAGCATTGTCAGATTCTAAAGTAGCCTTGCCCAATACTAAACTAGCCTTGACCACTCGGATTTGTTTCAGTGCCAACGTCTGATATTTGGAGGTTCTGTCCTTCTCGACCTTCATGTCAACATGACCAGCCATTGCTTGACCTGGATTGTGCCCATAGTATTTCTCCATGGCCCTTTGAAATTGGGACACGACCCAAAAGAAGTGGGTCATGGCCATGTCCTTTTTAGGGTGGTTTGGTGAAAAATACATGGGTTCCTGTGATTTAGCTTGGCTTTTTGCCCTCCATTTTCCCGTAAACATGGATTTCTCGTCCAACAGGCCTGCCCCACATCTGAAGCTGATTCCGGGCCCCGGGACCGCAGGTGAAGCCCATCGGCGGGCACATCATCGGCCACGCCAGCCAGACGCGGCTCTACTTCCGGAAGGGCAAGGCGCTTCGGCGCCATGTCGGAGTTCGGCGGATTTCGGCTCGCGAGCCGAAAAACTTTTCACCGCGGTTCTTCAAAACAGGGGTCCCTAGATTTCCCTTTTTCGGGGTTTTAAACATCACCTTTTTGGCCCATGAAAGGCGAGTGCCCCTTTGTGGCGGTGTTGTTTTAAGGCATCTGTAATGAACCTGTTCCTAATACTTAGGAACTTCCTAAGGGAAGTCCACGTGATGGTTTTGTTTTTTCCTTGGTTTCAATAGAATCTTCAGTGAAAAGCTTCATTATGGGGAGGCATCCCGACTGTGGAAAACCCTGCTTTACCCTTTTAGGTGCCCTTGTGTAGGCGGATGAAACACCTGGACTTCCTGTTGTGGATGAACAAAATCCATCCGCACCACGTTGAATCCATGGTTGCAACCATTGTTTGTTGGTAATTACGCTGGAGGGCTTCTTAGGTGGTGCGAAATGGATTGCGCCCATCCTTTTCCTGGGAAGTGCATTTGTTTCACCTATACCTATGGCGCCTAAAAGGATAAAGCAGGTCTTTCCCACCAACAGGTGGTTGGATTTCCATTGAACCCACTGGGGGGGGTGAGGACCGTCCAGTTTCGGTTTTCCCCGTTGGTCCACTTTTATTAAATGGTCCCAAGAGGGCAGTGGTGGCGATCCCTTGTTCGCCCATTTGCTGGACTGAATGAAATTGGATCTTCCTGGGCTGGATGCTTTCGGGATGTCCAAAACTATATGATATCTTAGGGTCTAAATATGAAAAAGACTCAGATATGTTTTGTGCTGAACTCAGATGTGGACTAAGGAACTCTCTGGTGAACCAACCAAACATGTGTGTGGGTTCCTTGCAAGTCAGCCGCTTTGGTCTTGTCTCTTGGGCGGGCTCCCTTTGAGTTTCCTTTAAAGGGTTACTCTCCTGTCAAGTAACATGGAACCTGACTGGGTCCCCCAGTAGTGCCCTTTTACGCTTTTTCGGGGAGGGTTCCCCTACTAAAATAGACTATAGAAAAAAAGGGTCTTATTCTAACCTCTCTACTGGAGGACCTAGCTAACTGAGGGGTTCTGGAAGACCATTTTCCTGTGAAATTCACTGTTGGTGGACAGGAGGCTAAGGTTAAAGTGGTTTAAGAGTGGTACGAAAGAGGCAAACATCATATTGACCAAAGCACCCGTTTGCTTTAGTCGTTTGAAGCTGCGGGTCTAATTTAAACCCTCAAGGTTGTGTTGGAAATGGTTGTGGTCTTGGGCTTAGTTCTCCTTGTAGATTGTGATTGAAATGGTCAACTTTCTGTGCAAAGGGATCCCGTTGAATATTTGCATGCCTCATACGCTACATTGGGTCGAGATGGGTCGAGCAAGGAACATGAATGGGAAACCACTCATTTGGGGAATATGTTCGGAGACAAAAGTCATATTGCTTAAGGTGTTCACTTGTTGTGCGGTGGTCCTTTTCAGGCTACTTTCGCGGAAGCATATATGGCCTACAGGACAGGTTCACTTTTGGAGGTATGCCGAATTAGTCCCAATGAAAAGGACCAAGGATTTCAGGACCACCCGTGCCCTCTTGAGTACTAAGTACCAAGCGGGGCTCGGAGAGAGCCATGGCGTTTGCACTGCTTTTTCTGTTTCCTTCGCACATGGGTGCTTGCTGACCTGAGAAGGCTCAGGAATCCGTTTGAGATGTGGAAGTGGCGCGAGTCTTGTGTTTTAGTGGCAAATGTGCGGGGGAGATTCGTTTTCCTCGGAATCGAGGAGGCTCCCTGGTGGTTTCCCGCAAACGCACCACCTTGGAGCTGGTCATCCAGTGGAGCCTTGTCCAACCGCGCTGCACTTGTGGCGAATCCGCGAATCCGCCAGGGAGAGACGCGGATCTGCAAAATCTATGACTCGCCTGGGTCTCGGCCAATCGCAGGGCTGCGACCAATTGTGACTCCCGCCCTTTCCCGCAATAAAAAACAACAACAACCGCACTCTTGCAAGTTGATTTGGGAAAAATATGCTGGATCAAAAACAATGTATGCAAGAGATGATCCATATCAGCCGTCAAATTGTGGGTTTCTTGGCTACTAGGCACACAGTTGGTCACCTGCGCATTTCCCAGGCAGCTCCTGTATTTCACCCCCCCCACGTTTTTTTGTTTAATGATCAATGGGTTTTGGCCTTAGCCTTGTTTTGCCCAGCTCAACCAACCCATCAAGTCAATCAGATTCTTGGCTAGCTTTTGGTCTCTTCTCTACCTGGAGCCTCCATGACCCCTTAAAAAAGGGGGTCATTACCCAAAATAGTGGGGTCATGACCCCATTTATAAAGGGTCAGAGGGACTCCAGGTACTTCATGTTTGCTTGTTTTATGATGCAGCAGCAAGCCTGTTTTCCATGGCAACTACCATCCTTTTGTAGACAAGGGTTCACATGATACCCGAAGTGCTTTCCCAAGGAGGAGCATCCCAAGGATCTTGGAAGCGCTTGCTATTCCCCCCTCACCCACAAAGACGGGCTCCTGTTCATGGCCCTTGAAATGCTCATCGCAGAATTGTTTTGTGTAAGCCCCCTACTCCAAATATCCATTCTTTTTAGAGAATCATGTCACCCTTGTACTGAAAAAGGAGGCACTTACCACGGTAAAAAACTATTTTTTTTCATATCATACCCTGAGCAACGGGTTATGTGGAGTAGGGGCAGCTTGACTAAATATGAAGCACAATCTGGGAATATGTGTTTTGTAGGTGGGCTAATGGACCAAAGGCTGAGGACTGCCCACAGTTTCCATTGGGGTTTGATGGTCCTTGAGTGGTCCGACTCTTCTTAATTTGGCCAGATACGTTTCCCTGCCTTGTTACCACCGTTGTTTGCCGTTCAGGATTGTCACCATCTAAACTCGGTCTTGGGCCATTTGATTGGGCGCGAATCGGAACCCCAAGGGGTGAGAAGAGGAAGATCTGGGTCTAAAACTCGATTCCTTCTGGCGCCCAAAAGGACCCTCACACCATCCATTTCTGCCATGTGAGCCACTTGCTCTTTTACCCGGGGATGGATGAAGCTTAGGGGACCATCCCCTTGCCCTAAATCATTGCGGACATCCGGCTTCTTAATTCTTTACATGGTTCTGGGTAGACCATTTTAATACCGGGTTTTGATTCTGACTCATGTGAACCCTGGGGAACACTCATGGAAGCTGAGAGTTGAAAGCCTCAGCTCTTGACATGGCCCCCTGATTGGCGGGGAGTTTGGGAACCTGTGATTCAGACATTTCAGAGACTTGTCCAAACAAGCGTGAGTTGAACCATCACCTTCTGGTCCATTGATCATTTCCTCACAAGTGAGACCTAACTTTCCATTTTGCTACTAGTGATTGTTTTGTGTTTCCTCTGGATTTTGAAGGGAGTCTATCATTACAGTTCTGGAGATAGACAAAATGTGGCCAGGCATTCCAGGGGACGTAGCCGCACAGGGACAGTCTTTTTCTTTCTAGGCCCAGCCTGCCGGAGGGGGAGGCGATGTTTGCTATCGACGCAGGCGGGGACGAGAGGTTTTTCGATGCAACGGGCGAATGAGCCGTTGCGACGTTCGGATCTTAAGCCCCAAACGTACGCTTTAATTGGCCAAAGGGTAACCATTAAATGGTGTCTCGTTTGAAGGCTACAGAGAAATGGTCCCTTTGAAGGAAACTAGTCTCGCAGGACCCCCTCAATCAGGTTGAACGTTCGTGGACAGGAGGGTACCTAGAGTCTCCATGACCCCCAGAAAAAGGATGAAAAGGATGAAAAAGGGGTCATAACCCCTTAATTTTGAGACCAAGCATTTTTAAAGGGTCAGAAGGAGACTCCGGGGCTGTACAGGGGACACCACCCCTTTCGGGGGGGGTTCCCTGTATTTTGAGACAGACCCCTTCTGATGCCTTGTCTTTCGGTGAGACCCGAGATAAGGCAAAATGTGTTTTTGATTGGAAAGTCAATCTCTGTGCCAAAGGTCACTGGCCATTATGATGCGTTGCTTGCCCGCTTCTTGATGTTAAGGCTAGTTATTTGTTTTTGCAGGGTGGCAGTTTGACCAATCCACATGCTTTACGCCCTACTCCAAATACCAGAAGACAATTATATAGTATAAATACATTTTTCTGTCACAGTTTGACATCAAACGAAAGCTTCGGTACAGGACATTTTACAGGATTCCCCTGTTGGCTGATTTTACCCTGTCCTGAGACTGCAGTTTTCCCATACTGCATGGATACGTTTTTTTCAGCGAAGGTGGTGCGCGGCTTGAACGATCCCACCCAGAACAGCGCGGACGGAAGATTCTGAACGAAGCCATAGCGCCGGGAAATTGATAGGCCATTTGAATCCACTACGGCTACTTCCATTTACTTAAGAATATGATTTATTTTCCCTTGTCGGATTTGAAGGGAATCTATCACTACTGCACACATTTCTATTTTTCGCGGGGGCTTAAGCAAATAGAAGGCTACATTTTCAGACGGGGCTTTTTGGTGGAGTTGGGGTTTTATGTCCATCACCATCAAGGTGGTTCAATACATCATAGCCATTTCGGGATGCGAAAGCCTGCCCAGTCGAACGGAGCTAAAAACAATAGCGAGCGGAAAGCATTGCAGGTGGAGCCAGAAAACGAAGCCGAGGGTTCCCCATTTCGCCCTCTCATCAACTTGCTTTGGTGTGAGTAAACTGGCGAGTTTCCTGTTGTTTTCGCGGGGCCGGCCCAAATCTCTATTCCTCCTCACTGTTCTTTACCCGTGTTTCGTTGGTTTTCGTTGGTTATGTTGATTGTTAGTCGGGGGCTGCGACAAAGACACACGGCTTTAAATAACCATAATGTTGACCCCATATGAATCAACCCCAGTTTATTTATAGGGGGTGTCCCCGGGTTTAGTGGGGATTCAGCACTTTTGGAGGGGAACATCCACATATTCATAAACTGGGTTGATTAATATGACTAGGTCCCCCAGTAATGCCCTTTTACCCCTTTTTTGGGGAGGGCTCCCCTACTAAAACAGACTACAGAGAAAAGGGTACCCTTATTCTGACCTCTCTACTGGAGAACCCAGATGACGTCAACATTACCGAGGTTTTCGTGAAACCGGTCTTTGGAGTAATCCCGCTCGCTCAGGTGGCATCATCGACGCCCCCGACAGATGAGCCGCAGAGCGCTCGCTCGCGCCGGGCGTGCTGTCGGCAATCCTCAGCTCTCCCGCGCCGCGCACCGCGCGTTGCTCGAACCGTACTCGGCAGAAAGAGAAGGTGGCTCCGTCTCTTTTTGAGGGCACCTGGCAAAACCAAGAGGAACACCACCATTTTTGGGAGTCCCCTAAAAAGCACGTGTCACACACCCACAGAGTGTAAATCCGCGGCAGCCTCTCAATCTGAATGTCTGATAGATCCGGAGAACCATGCGGATCAATCGAAGTTAACAGTACGTCGGGGGTACCCAACTGAACAAAGTCTACTGGGCCCCAATAAGGGGCTGTCCCGGTACAGACTTCCTAGTGGGCACAAGCACAATCGGGAGGGATCTTTTTCCGAGTTGGATTGAAGACATGCCTTGATGAGTACTTCCATTTGCTTAATAGTACATGGCTGTGGGTCAAAACCAATGGTAGCATTTCGGGGTAGTGCACCACCCATTTTAGTCTATTTTAGTGGTTGAATTGGGATGTTCACCGGGGGTACGGGCTTTTGACCCATGGCCATATATCTTGTACCTTCCCCTGTTGGGTCATCACGGAGCGTTCCTCTTGTATGCGTGTGGTTTGTCTTATGTATATGGAATGCACTGTCTGTAACATGTTTTTCATTCAGTACTGCGGGCGAAAACCTGCACCAGTTGGTAGGTGGTTTACTCCGGACAGGGCTTCAGCCAGCCCAACTGGTGCAGGATTTGTTCCATCCACAGTATTATTATCGTTCCATTATATCGATGGTTATTTGCCTGTGGCTCCAACAATAGTACGCAACATGGCCCCTTGGTAAATGGAAAGAAAGGCCAAAAAAACCTGCGCAATCCTGACTCTTTTTTCATTTTGAGCCACGCCCATATGGCGCATCCAGGTGCGAAATGTGTTTTTTTTGCACAGTATCATACTCTTTACATTATATCAATGGTTGTTTGGCGGCTTGGTTTTCTATGGCGGCTTACCATCCCATTGCTCTCGTTCTTTTTGTTTTTCTCCGCCACTTAGACGACAGTCGCCAGGCTTCGAACACCTCCTGCTTGCGGGTGAGAGTTTGATTAAGCCTCCCGCTTGGTGAAGAGCTGAAGGAAACCACGACATGGGAATGTCACCTGAAGGGCCTCAAGGATTGGGTTATGTGGTTGGCTTAGGTTACGGGGGCATGCGGATCGAATGAAACAATACATATATATATAATATACATTTCAGGATGAAACAAACAGTCTTTCAGGATCAAAAAACAAAAAAGCGTTTAAAAGCACACACATACCGATTATGTGTTGGGTTATGTGTTTGCCTTGAACTGGGTGAGTGTCCTTTTCCCTCTGCGACACACTTGTGACAATTCCCAGCATGGACCGGCACGGACGCAACGAGTCGGATGAGTAGAACACGCCCATCACAAGCCACCCGCCATGTGACACATCACGCCCTGTGAAGCACCTGATTTCTCGGCATGAGCAACTAATTCGAAGAAAGAGGCGTGATTTGGCGACCTACCGCAGAGATTCCGCAGAGGCTGGGCCGAATAGATGTGTCAGGCTGCATGTACGTTCCCATCATTCTCACGCAACACAGTCAGATTCAGCACTCTCCTTTTTCCATTGCGACTGCATCACGACATATGGAGTACAGCGCGCGCTTTTTGCGGCGCATGGGGAAGAACCCGGCCTCTGCATTTCACGCCGGGGTTAGGGCATCCCAATGGGATGCCCGTCGGGTCTTGGGTATGCTACTCGTGTGGTGTTGGTCCTCTCATTGGGGAACGCCCCTAACAAAAACCTCATGTTTTCTTGGCTGGTCAGTCACCCCATTTGACATATAGGTTTGTCTTTCTTAGGGGACCTCTCCGAACAAAAAAAACACACGGTGGTTTGCCGTTGTTTTTCGTTCGCCCACCAAAGAGGGGTTCACCAAAGACACCCTTCCGGCAAAGTCACCTGAGTGGTCTGAGGGTGAACCCCAACAGGCCTACCGAACTGGAACTGGGTACCCTCCCAAGAACATGGAATCTGAATGCATCCAGCTTGAGTTTATTGCTTTTGCCCCCCATGTTGGTTTTAAAAAGGAATCTATCACTGGATGTCTGTTTCCAGAAAGCTGCAATTGGAAAGACCCGGGTTTGGACCATTTCCCGCCGCCCCTCTTTCAGGTTGCTGGTTTGTCTAAGAGATATGTAGCTCAAATCCCCTAACCGGATGGGTATTCTATGAGTTCCGGGGGTTTCCCATTTAGGAAGTCCTGAAATCCGTTTGGGGCCGCCCCGTGTCAACCCGTCGGGCCAGAGGCGAAGTCAACGCTTTTAACCAGGCGAAGTCAACGCTTTTGTTGGCAACGAAGACTCACATCTGAAAAGTTGTTGTCCTCCAGACCCCGAGGCTCATTGTAGATCGTTTGCCTACTTGGATGTTCGATTCGCCAAGTTAGCAAGTGGTCCCCTTGTAACAAGTTGTTCACCCCACGGAACCCAGGACTCAAAAGTATATAGGTTATAGCCTAGGTTCGTGGTGATCGTGATTTGGGGAGTTCACTCCCTTATAACAAGTTGTTCCCCCACGGAACCGGGGACTTACCAGCAGCAACTTACTAACTTGGCCAAACGCCCAAGTATTTGCCAAGCATTACCGCTGAAAGTTGTTTCACGTGGGCAAATGTCACATTCACACACAGATAGAGCCCCAGGGCTGATAAGGACGCGTGAGTTTGGGCTGCACCACATGCGAACACTATCCAATCGGAAGAAATGCATCAGTCAACACGCATTGACACTCATGTTTCGTTTGTCCCAGAGTTGCTCCCAACCACTCACACAAAATGCCCACCACCTTCCCACAAGCAGAACATATTCCACGAAGCAGAAATGCTACTTGTCTCCTGCGTGTTTCTTTCACACAATCCTGACCATGGTCTCATAGTCTTTAGTTTTACTTCTTCACCAGGTCTCAGTGGCATAGATTTCGTCATGATGCCAGGTAAATGCACGTGAAAGAACGGGTCGCCAGTTTCTTTTGGAGGGAATCCCCTAGTGACAAAGCAGCCGTGGATGCTCCACTTTGGCAGTACAGAATCGCGTCCTTCGACTTGGGGATAAGGTAGGGCTCCCAAGACCCTGCATGCATCAGCAGGGGGCTGCAAGTTGTTTTCTAGTTCTCGGAGGAGAAAAGCGGCTCCTTCTTCGGTCGCTTCACGGAATCTCATTTTGGTGGGCCGATTGATAGGGTCGGGAAAGGCGCGTTAGGATGATTTGCGACACTTGTTTGAGGCTCGGCATTGAACAAATACATGTCCAGTGGTCCATTTGTGGGCTTCTTAGGAGTTGGATTCCCCCAAAATGGCGCAACGGGTTGTCCTTTTGGTTTTCCTTTACGACCCCCAAAAGAACGGGGACCAGCTCCCTGAGGCCCGGGGGACTTCCGACTTGGGAAGACCATGTTGGTGCAAAGCAAAACGTAAAAAAAACAATGGTTTGGCCAATCCACGGAAGTGAGAAAGCTACATTATGTTTTAGGATAGACATTATCATGAAGCATACTTTGCAGAGATGATGTTTTGTCATGTTTTGGGTCGGGGCTTTGCCATTCACATCGATTTGGCGAATGTGAATCGACACCAATTGGTCCGTTGCAATGTCCATGGGAGGGATGAACACGTAGTTTCTCTTGGGCTTCTTCACTTTTCTTGGGATGTTTTTTGGTTTTGGGGTTCTGTTCATTTTTTGGGGGGCTGCAAACAACAACGTTTCTAGCGACCACACCAAAGATTGTATCAATGCCTGCTGCAACTGAGGCCGCGCACAAGTATACTGCCAGTCCTGGCCACCTTAACCGGCACAGAGTTGTCCTGTCTAAGGCAACCGCTTCATAGCCTCTTCATTTGGGGGGTATCTTTCTTGGCGGTTCCCAGCTACCCGTGTAAAGTTGTAGCGGTGAAGCCACAAAAAGTAAGACTGTTAGCAGGAGATCTGAGGACGGCCCAGCTTGTGAAAGGGCACTGTTTGCTGCGGAACATGATCGGCAAAAGGAATTGAGCCAGCATTTTGGTTATTATTCTGTTTATTCTGCTTGTTCGCGATTTGTTTAGATTTGCCTTGCATAATGTGTTAGATGTGTTTAGATGTGTTTAGACTCTTAGACTGACTTTGCTAGATCCCCAAGTGTTTCTAGAAGTGTGTCCTAGAAAATACAATCAAGGGCCAGAGTTCTAACTAGTTTTGGGAGCTAATTTTTGTTTGCAGCACTTTGAATTGTCTATTATCCTTGTTTTCAGGCTGCCCCCAGCGAAGAAGGAAGAAACAGGGTGCCAAGTTTGTCCTATGCTCCTGTGAAGACTTTCCCGTAAAATTAAACTGGAGAGGTACTCTCCTCTTATACAAGCCTAAACATGCGCCCACACAGGGTGACCATTGTGGGCTTCGATTCAATGTTGAATAGGGGTGTATTTGTAGCTGGTTACGTGGTTTCATATTATGTGTTCAATAAGACCTCTTTGTGGCAAGTGGAGGCCAATAGGAACCAATTAACATGCGTTAATTGGAGCCTGTTCCTGGGCGTTAAAAAGCACATGTTGTCAATTAATTGCGTCGGATGGAGAGTAGAGTTCTACTAGTTTTCAGATCCCCTATGCCTCACTTCCTGAGCTCCTGGACTTTAAACATTTTGGGAATACCAGCTTAGTGGCAAGCAAACAAATCGGACTTGTTCTGGCCAATCCACTCTGGAAGCTGCGAACCTTCGATGGGGGATCTATTGCCCAAGGAGATATGGCGAAGGTCTGTCTTAAGATGAACGCAGCTTCCGTGTTATGTGTATACATGCAAGTGGAATATATGGATGGAAGGATGGATGGATGGATGGATGGATGGCTGGCTGGATGGATGGATGGATGGATGGATGGATGGATGGATGGATGGATGGATGGATGGATGGATGGATGGATGGATGGAGCGATGGATGGATGGATGGATGGATGGATGGAAGGATGGATAGATGGATAGGTGGATGGAGGGATGGAGGGATGGAGGGATGGAGGGATGGAGGGATGGAGGGAGGGAGGGATGGAGGGAGGGATGGAGGGAGGGAGGGATGGAGGGAGGGATGGAGGGATGGAGGGATGGAGGGAGGGATGGAGGGATGGAGGGATGGAGGGATGGAGGGATGGAGGGATGGAGGGATGGAGGGAGGGATGGAGGGATGGAGGGATGGAGGGATGGAGGGATGGAGGGATGGAGGGATGGAGGGATGGAGGGAGGGATGGAGGGAGGGAGGGAGGGATGGAGGGAGGGAGGGAGGGATGGAGGGATGGAGGGATGGAGGGATGGAGGGATGGAGGGATGAGGGATGGATGGAGCAATGGAGCGATGGAGCGATGGATGGATGGAAGGATGGATGGATGGATGGATGGATAGATGGATAGGTGGATGGTGGATGGGTGGATGGGTGGATGGATGTATGGACGGATTGATGCATGGATGGATGGATGGATGCAAAAATTCCATCAAAGCACTGTTGGATAGACGGATAGACAGACGGACCGACAGATAGATAGATAGATAGACAGATAGATAGATAGATAGACAGATAGATAGACAGATAGATAGATATATAGATATATAGATAGAGGAGCACAAATACATGAGATGACCCCATAGATATGACCCCTCCCCCCCCCACACTTGGGCAGTCGTTTGGGAAAGTGCCGCTCGCAGCTTTAGCTCGTGATGAGCGATGCCTCAGTGGCCGCCAAAGAGCCCCTACCGCACGAGCCAAGCAGCCGACGACTCAAACAGCCAGCTTTGCGGATGCCGCTTGAAGACGCATCTGGGTGTTTTTTTTCTGTGCCAGTCGCGGACCCCGCATAAAAAAAAGCCACACTTTAAAGCCCAGTCACAGCCCGCAGGTTTTGGTCCATGTTTCCCTTTGCCACGGTTTGGTTTTGGGTACCTATTCTTGACCCACGGCCATTTTGCCATTGCCATGATCGCGCGATCGCGCCTGGCGCCGGCATCAGCCTTTTCTCGCTGCTTCTCTGCGGGAGGACTGCGGAGATTGCCGGCCAATCTGCCCAAGTCATTCAAACAAATACCCAAGTAATTAAGATTTCTGTTTGCGCACGCCAAACTTGCAGAACACGCTTTGGATGCCCAGTTGTGCGAACCCTCGGCCTGGCGACCCCACAGCTTGTCAGGGGGGAACCTTTTTGTTTGTTTGCTTTTTGTCATGTGGTTTGTGGAAACTACCTGGACCCCAAAAAACTACCCGCGAAATGGTGTGTTGCCCCAAAACTACGGGGCAAATTCCTTTTTTATGGCCAGTTTCTTGGATTTCCCACACCTGCAAAAGGCGGTTCCTCCGGCTCGTGGGCTGTTCGCCGCAGAGTTCACGGGATCTTGGCTCTCTCTCTCTCTCTCTCTCTCTCTCTCTCTCTCTCTCTCTCTCTCTCTCTCCGATTTCCGACACTTTCTCGCTCCCGGAGCCGATGGACTTTAAACTTTTGGGGTTTGGCGAACGAATCCACACAGGAAGAGGAGTTCCTATGAACTTTGGGGGAAGACCTTTTTAAAGCGGCAGATTCAAAGCGAGGCGTTGTCATTTTTGCGAATCCACTGAAGAGGAGGAGTTCCTACACTTTTCACTGGTTGGGAAGATCTCTTTAGTGTCAAGGAGTTCTACAGAACTTGTGTCAGGATGACTCCCCCCCACCTACTACGCAACCGGATGTGATAAATCCTGGGCTACTCAGATTACCCTTCAGCCCACGTTGCCATGGGACTCACCAGAAAAATGTGTTTAGAGACAGATGGTCAAGGAGCCCACAGGTTTCATGTAGCTTGATGGTTTGCCCCCCAAAAGGCCGCAAATAAGTAGCCACGCTAAAATGAGTGTGGACACTCTCAAAAGGAACCACACACTTCATGTAGATGTGCCCTTTGGTGTTTTAGGCTTCCATGGTTTTTGTGGGGGTTGTTTTCTTGCGATCCTGACTAAATATGTTTACTTGGTCCCCCTTAGTTGTCTAGGTCTTTGGGGTTTAGTGGGGGGGTTCCGTTTAATCCCTGAAAAAAGTTAACCTGTTTGCAGGGGGTCTGAAAACGGTGCAGGTTGGCCCTTTGTTGCCAAGTGCTTCGGGCAAGTGATTCGGGTCCTTTTGGCTTGCATAGAGATGATGATCAGCAGAAGAAGAAGAAGACGAAGAAGAAGAAGAAGAAGAAGAGCACATATATATATATATATATATATACATATAAATAGAGTGGGTTTGTGCCAAATGAAAAACTGCACACCTTGAGATTCCCCTTAAAAGCATGCCAACTCCAAACAAGCGAGGCACTGAGTGTTTCCCAAGATGGTGGACCCCTTTTGGTACGGGAAACCAAGAGAATACCAACCGCTTTAGGGGACCAGGGGATTGATTCGAATGTCTTCACTCGTGCTCCTAAAATGCGTCGCATAAGATGCCCCCAACATCGGGTTGCACTCGCCGTGTGTCTCACTGGCCTCGGTTGAAATGAAAACCCAAAGGATACCAACTGGGGTCACGAGGACTACGATGAGAAACCGCCGAAGGAGTGTGGTTCCTTTTGATGGAGCCAGTTTCGTAGTGGTTCTCCTGCTCGTGTTTTACGAGGAATCGATTTCACTCCTAGGAAATATGATATTTTTTCCAGGGTTTAAGAAAATGGAAGGTCTTGGATGGGAAACCATTTTAAGCCAGCCAGTTTGAGGGCTTGTTCGTGTTTTTTTTTAGAACCGCCAAATTGGTTTGTGCTTGTGTGCTCAATTCGCCAAGTTAGTACGTGGTTAGTAACCTGGGTTGTCACCTACTTACCATTGGCCCAACTCACCAAGTAGGTTGTACCCCAGGTGAGCCAGAATCAAAACCCGCGTGGAAGAAGGTTAGTAAGGGGCAGTCCCAGCCGGAAATAGTTGCGGTCGCCTTCAAATTCTTTAAATGGTTCTGGGTTCACCATTTTTGTACCGGGTTTTGATTGTGACTCAGGTTGCAATCCCCACTTACTAACTTAGGGAATCAAACATCCAAGCTTGGTGGCTCCCAGCCATCCCCTTAGCCTTTTAGCCTTTTAGCCTTTTAGTGTTTAGTGGCAGTTTCCATCTAGCCCACTAAAAGGACTAATAGTTAATTTTTTAGCGGGGATCTGAGGGCAGCCCGGCAAGTACGGCGCTTGGCTAGGAAGCTACGACTACATCATCGTGGGCGCTGGCTCTGCTGGCGCCACCATCGCTCATCGCCTGGTGAAAGATGCCGGCGCAAACGCACCTCGACAGACGCGAAGGTCTGCACCCGGAGTTTCCGTGCCCCTTCAAAAATGGGGGTCATGACCTCATGATTTTGGGGAATGACCCCATTTTTAAGGGGTCATGGAGACTCCAGGCAGATACCCCAGCTAGCAACTGTGTCCTTTTTGGTTGTTTTGGCCTGTCACAGATGGCCATTACTGGTCGACCTCAGGACATTTTCGGTTGTGCTTATGGCAGGAAGTGTGCCCTTCCTCCTTCCTCCAACTGGCCCCTGGCAGTGGTTCCCTCCAGATGACCCAGCACAGGTGTTTCTGTAGATGGACGAAAACAATTTTTTGAACCACTTTGAAACCATGGTTGAAACCATTGTTTGTTGGTATTTACAGGGGAATCGAATCATTCCAGGGTTTCTTAGGTGGTGCGAACCGGATTTCATTCATCCACAGTATGTTGGCCACGAAATCGAAACGGTGGAAGGAGATGGTTTGACTCACTTTGTGTCAGCATGCAATGGGGGGGGCCTTAAAGTGCCGGCATGTGCCGGCTACTTTCACTCACTTCAATTGAAACATCCACTGAGCAAGTGGGTTCACCCAACCCTTCTCCCTGAATCCACGACAGTGGGCATAGACTAGACTGATGGTTCTTCGTTTTGAGTTGGGTTTCTTTTTCGCGTTTGTGTTTCATAAGGAAACCCATGTGAAGGAAAGCAAGAACTAGGCTCATTTTGGGAAACTAGAAGCAAACCCACTTGTTGCTAAAGAACTATGTTTCTTGGAACAACACCAACATTCCGTGGAGTCACCCCCACAGCTTTCACCACCCTACGCCCCTCAGATTCTCAGATCGGAGGTTCTGCTCATTGAGAACGGCAGAAGCCACGTGGGCAGCTGGGACTGGTGGAAGATCAACATGCCGGCAGCGCTGACCTACAACCTGGCCGATGCCGGGCTCCCAGGGGTCAGAGAGAGAGCTGACCAAAGCACCACCTGCAGTGCAGTCTCCGGATCTGAGCCCTTAAAAATGGTTTCAGAGAGCTGACCACGCCAAAGCACCACTGACCCCTTAAAAATGGTTGGTCACACCACTTTGAGTGACCAACCATTTTTAAGGGGTCAGATCCGGAGACTCCAGGTAGAGCTTTCCTGACGTTTGGAGACTCCCGAATCAGGGGTCTCATGAACTCAGATTCATTAGATGGGGTTTGGAACCAAGTTTCGACCAGGCCAACCAATGCTCCATTTGGGTCAAGTTTTGAGGATACCTTCTTGGTGGCGCTCTAAAGGGAACCAACCGGATAACCGAAGCCTCATTTATTTTTGGAGGGGGAATCCTCTATTTGAGGACACACCCATTTTTAGAATCTCTGTTCCAAGACAAAGCCCAGTTGCCAACGGCGCCCTTTTCTTCTTCTCTTTTTGGAAGGGTTCGGTTTGAAACTCAGCTATCTCAAAAAGGATGCCGATCCTTTTTCCCATGGAACTCCACTGGGCATCTGAGAAGCCAATTTTGAGAAGCTGGTCCATTTGGGTACCCTCTTGCTGGACACCAGGCAAAAATCGACGCCATTTTTTGGGTGTGTGCCAATTTTTAAGCTAAGCCCACGAGAAGCTCCGGGCATAAGCCGCCATTTTGGGGGGGGGTTTGCCTATTTGGAGACAAGCCCACGGGGTTCCCCTGTAACCTCAACAAACTAAAAACGGATGCCCTTTTTCCCATGGAAATCCACTGGACATCTGAGAAACTCGTTTTGAGAAGCTCCGGCTTCGTTTAGGCCAAGTACAACTGGGACTTCTACACGGTGCCCCAGAAGCACATGGACGGCCGGCGGCTGCACCAGCCGCGGGGCCGCGCGCTGGGCGGGTCCTCTAGCCTGAATGCCATGGCCTACGTGCACCTCGGAGGGATGGGCTCGAAAAACTCGGGACTCGGGACGTGCAGGGGGAGTTGGTTTCTTCGGGCTGAGTTGTGGTCTTCCCATGTAGTCAAGGTGTTTTTGGTGTCAACCCTGTGAGGGGGTCCTGGTTTTGCCATGTAGTCAAGATCTATACCGCGGTTTTTGCTGTAGTGAAACGTTCGCGTGGCTGGGCGCGTCCGGTTGGGGCAAAGGGAAGAAACGTTCTAGAACTGTTCACAGCCTTGGCAAAAGCCAATTGCTGGTACGAAGGTTGAGAGAAAATGGTTTGAAATGGTTTGGCGGTCTGTGTGTCTGTTTGTTTCTTTGTTTGCTTGCTTGCTTGCTTGTTTGTTTCGTTGGTTGGTTGTTTTGTTTGTTTGTTTGTTTGTTTGCTTGCTTGCTTGCTTGCTTGTTTGTTTGTTTGTCATGTTTGTTTGTGTGTGTGTTTTTGTTTGTTTGTTTGTTTGTTTGTTTGTTTGTTTGTTTGTTTGTTTGTTTGTTTGTTTGTTTGGCTTGCTTGCTTGCTTGCTTGCTGGTTTGGTTGGCCTAGGGATCTTGAGTGTCGTCTGTGCAACAAACCAGCCGAGGCAATTTACCCCCAACGCACACCAACACCGAACAACACAACACAACTACAAACAAACTAGCAAACAACCAGCCAAACAAACAACCAAGCAAACAAGCAAACCAAGCCAAGCCAAACCAAACCAAACCAAGCCAACAAACAGACAGACAAGCAGACAAACAAACTTTTTCGGGAAATATAAGGAACCCTGTGAAAACCGGCAGGGGTGGAATCCAAGCTCCATATGTTCGGCCAAGTTAGTAAGTGGTCATTGCCATTTGGGGTACAAACCCTTATAACAAGTTGTGAACCCCACTGAACGGGGGACTCGACAAAGGGTGACTTCCGAGTGGAAGTTAGTAAGTGGTGATCGCCATTTGGGGTAAAGGTGAGTTAGGAGGTGATCACCATTTCGGGTATACCCCCCTTGTAGCAAGGTTTGCCCCACTTAAAGGGACTCCACACAGGGTGCCCTAAGTGGCTTGTAGCCCGGGTTTCCATTGCAATCCGCGACTCGGCGACTCGGCCGAAGGTTTCGGCTCCGAGGCGAGGCCACGCCTTGGACTACGAGCGCTGGGCGCAGGAGATCGGCCCCGGCGGGGAGGCGTGGTCCTACAGGCGCGCGCGCCTCCGCGTTCCGCGCGCGCTCGGCGGTTTTTGGGGGAAGCCCGGGGGGTGGGGAGGGGGTGCGAAACCGGCTTTGGGAGGCTGCGTGGAGCTTTGAGTGTCCAAGGGCAACTTCTAAACCCGCATTTTTTCGGGGTTAGAAAGGATGCTTTGTTGGGCTCGTGCCATTTTCGGGGCATGTGCCAAGGTGTTGGTGCCCGAAAATTGGCTGTTCTGCCTGCCTCACTTCCTGAGTTCCTGCACTTTGCGCTTTATGAGAAGACCATGTTAGTGGCAAAAGAAATGTTTGGACCTTTTTGGCCCATGCACTCAGGAAGTGAGCTATAGCTTCTCCTTCAAACCACCTTGTGAAAATCGCACTGAGCCTCAAAAAAACGCACCCAAGTGGCAACCATTAAGCTATTCTCGTAAAGGTACCGCTTTTGGGTTGGATCTTTAGACTTTAACTTGTTGGATTCCCTTCATAATTCCTTTTAACCAGCAACAAGTTAAAACAATTGCTGGGGGGTTTACAGCACCCAAGATGAAATATGAAATAGCCATGAGTTCCTGGTCCTGGCATATCAGGATAATGATGCTTCGGGGTTGGACACCACAGGTGCAACTCTTAGGGTGACCCTCAAGATGTTTTTCTAGGGGTAGCTTCCCCATTCTTTCCAGGGATCCTTCTTTCTAGACAACCACCAAAAACCCCGGGGAAATGGTTTTGACCGTAGAGTCATTGGAGAAATATGGGGCGAGTGTTAGTTTTTGAGGCGTGTCAGTTTTTGAGGCTGTCCCTTTATTTGTGGCGTAAAGAAAACCAACAGGAAAACCATCATTTTGGGGTGTCCAGAATCTTAGTTGTAGTTTCCCTCAAAACCCAGTGAATCCCAGTTACACCGTTTCTGGTAAGTAACCAACTTTCCCTTTCAGTTTCAAAGGGTGGTTCCCTTGGCTACCTACAGGTAAATGGACTCGCTGGGAAAAAAACAGCATCCCACTTTTGCCCTGCAAACAGTTGGACACCCATAAGGTTGTCTGCCCAAGCCCGCAGGATTCCTGGGACCGAAAGCATGAGAGTCTTGTATTAAGTTGAGGGCATGGTTAGCTTCGAATGGGTTCGAAGGGAACACAATGCCAATCAGTTCAGGAGTCATGTTTGTTTCGGGCTGTTCTTCCGAGGGCACAAAACGTGCTAGGCGTGTTTTTTTCATGTGCCCCAACAGATGCTTTATAGGGTTCAACCCGTAAGGACCCGCCATTTCAAAGAAAGGCCTTATTTTTGGGTGTTTTGATAGGTCACCAACCATTTCCAGGGTGCGAAATGAGACCAACCCTCCAACGACTCCTTTGTGGAGGTTCTTTTCCCACTTGCAAGCGCTGAAGGGATATCTGTTTGGCATGTCCTTTGTCACTGGTTCGACTCGCGGGACAAGGCTGCGGAAGCCAGGAGCAATTGGCATGGTACCCTTTTTTGTTGGCGTCGAGCAGACTCCGTGCAGGGTCCCATAAACGGATGAAGTTTTGGGCAGTTTGGCTTTTTGAACATGGGAAGGAGCAGCAGGAGGATGGTGTGTAAAAATCCCATGTATTCAGTTTTTTAGTGGTGCCCCACGGAGCTTGTGTGGGCCCTATGTTTTACCTGTCCAACGCACAACCCAGACCCTGCCCTGAACAATAACTTGTTTGAAGGCTCCGCCAGATGCGGAAGGGGAAAACCTGTTGTTTTTGTGGTGTGGTTATCGTTTCGTTTTTTGTTGTTGTTGTTGTTGTTGTTGTTATTGTGTTTGTGTTTGGGTGTGTTTGTTGTTTTTGGGGCGAACAACACCCAATGGAGCAATCGAGAGGCACGTGCTGCCCTACTACAAGAAGGCCCAGCGCCACTCTGAGGGAGAGTCTACCTACCGAGGAGGCGGGTGGAAACGTCGTGGGTTAGATCGGGCTTTCTATTTTTGAGCTTCCGCAAAAAAACAGTCTATCGTCAATTTGCGGGGTGGAGCCTCACTTTTCCGCATAAGAAACAGGGGACATGAACCTCACCCCGTCCTCTTGGGGAAGCAGGTTGTAAGGAAATTATGCAGGTCCGGCGAAGAACGCGGCGAAAAACCAGCCAAGTTGATTGTACTATGGGCTGACGTGGGAGAGGCCTATTGTCATCGTGTACACTACTCCTGGGCATTGCTGCCATGGCCCTCTGGGCACATACTCGGCGCCGGCAGGTTCCCTTCATCGTTTGAAACTCCACTGGCTCTCCACGGCAAACTTCACCGTGCTGAGTCGCCCGGCTCCAGCAGAGCCTTGCGATCGAAAATCCGCAACTTGTGGCACTCAAGCCTACACGTTCTAAGCTTCTTGTGGAAAGACTGGAGACAAGGGGTCCAGGCAAGGTCTTTGCCCAAATCTGCGCGCTGGCATGCGCATCGCCCTGCGATGCGGTAAGTTTGCACGACCGCCTTTGCCGTGGCATCCTTACTCATGATTACAGCGCACCCAGATGGCAACTAGGACTGCATTAGGCGAACGCGACTGTTTCATATCTGACCATGGAGCGGTGCTCGGGTCGACGGTTTGGCTTTGCTTGCTGTTTTGCCGAAAACCAAGGGAACCCCCATCCATGTTGGAGGGTCCAAATCCGAACAAGGAACAGACCCGAAGACCCTGGGTCCAATTTCAGACCCCCCCCTCCCTGAGCCACAATGCCAACCTGGGTAGACGAAGGTTAGTCAGAACAGAATCCCAACCACATTATATACTTAGATGCGGCTGCCTAAGCTTAAGTTTTGACAGACGGTTTTTGGGTACTCCACTCTCGGTTTAATGCTCCCGGTCAAAATATTTATAGCTTTATTAGACAAACCTAAACTTTTTAATGCTCCCGGTTTTGTCCTCACGGCATCCAACTTCGCAGGCTCCGGCCCCTTGGCGGTGACGCGGCAGCGGTCTCCGGCCGTGCGCGCCATCAACGACGCCTTCGTGGCCGCCGGAGAGGAGGCGGCGCACGCACGGGGACGCACGGGGACGGACTTGGAGAGGCGATGCGGTGGATGGTTGAACGAAATCCATTTGGGGTCACTGACCAGGGTTGATTTTGGTACCCTTTTTTTTTTGAGTCACAGCCATTTTGCACCACTTTGAATCAACTATGGGAAACCGTTCCTTCCAGGGGTTCACTTTGGCATGTTGTTTCTTGATTAATTATGTTTGATGCAGAACACAGTATACTTTACATGTGTTCAGAGGATATGATATTTATCCTAAAACAGACAGCAGGCACCCGCACATGTCAAGCAAATATAATTTATAATGAACATAATTTAAAAAGCGAGTCAAACAAACATTAATGGAATTTGCAAGGATATGTTTTCTCCAAATGGTTGTGTGGGGCTTCCTTTAAATATGGATTGGTTTCCTCCGGTTTCCTCCTAAGCATGTATGGGTATCCTCTCAAAATGGATGTTTCCTCTCAACAGCAGTATTATTGGTTGGGTGAAAGAGTGGGCATCTTTTCTCTTCACAATGTTTTTTTGTGTTTTTTTTTTAGTGAGTCTATGTGGTTGGAAGGACATGAAGAACAGAAGCAAGGAATAGAAAGAGATGACAGATGTGGAAAGGCATTCCTGTAACTCATGTTTGGGAGAAGAGACCTTGAAGAACTGGAGATAGAAGCATTGCAGTTTGCAAGGTACGCGTTTTTTGTTTGTTTTTTACATCCGGATCTGGAAGCTCATACGTCATGTGTGAAGTCCATTTGGGTATGGGTCAAAAAATCGCCAGGAATTGGACCGCAGGTTTGAGTCCCTGTTTCCATTTACCAGGGTTCCATTTTGGGTACATATGTTTGACCCACAGCCATTTGGGACAGGTGGTCAAACCGCCCTATTTGTTGGCTTCCCCGGTCAAAAACATGTGACACCGTAGAAACGCACGTCGAGCCGTTCTATCTGGTTTGAATCGTTTTTTGTTCTATTCTAAGTGAGCACAGGTCAGTATGGGGCATCCTTTGGTGGGCATCATTTTGGGGATCCATGTCCACCAACCACTTGTCGGTTCCCATGCCATATTTCAGGGCGGACTACATATCTTGCATGCTTCAGGGGGCCAAGGTATGGGTATGAGTGGGAAACCCAAAATGGGCTGGAGTGTCCTCTGGTTTCCTTTTAAACCGGCCTTCAAGAAATATCCATGGGAACCACCCTGAAAAAGGCAACTTGGAGGGGGGGTCTACTCTACTTAAGTCATTGAGTTGTTGGTTTGTTGCTAACCTAGGTTGTAAACCACTTGTCAGTCCCCAAAGTGGAGTCAACCCTGTTATTTGTGGGTTAGAACCCAAGTGGCCAACCACTTGTTCCCTACCTTTTTTCTTGGCTAGTTTGCCCAGACAACTCGACTAAGACTGATTCCCAAGATACGCCAAGTAAAATGGTGGGTGTCTCTGCTCTGAGTTTACCTTTTCCCAATACATGCTGTGTAATAAGAAATCCCTTTTCACTGTCGAGATTGTTGGGGGGCTCCGAGACTCTGGGAAATTGACTTGCCGGCCAAGCAAGCGTTTTTTGTTTCTTGTTTCATAAGGTTTCAAAACCTCACTCCCTGCGTTCATGGAACTTAAACTTTCTGGAAAGACAATTTTGCTGGCAAATATCAAGTTTGGACTTTTTGTTTTGGCCAGTCCCCTCAATCGGAAGCGAGTAACACACTGAACGCCTGGGAGGGCTTGACTGCTATTGGGTTGGATTTTTTAGACTTTAACTTTTGGGAAATAAAGGTCTTTTCCACTAAGCCCCCCAAAAGTTAGGGGGCAACCAAGAAGATGAGAGTCAGTCTTGGTCTCCGCAGCTCCAGGCTGGCTATCCTAGGACCGCTCGGGCGTGGCATCCGATCGCTGGCCCAAGGGGTGTGCCTGGTTTTGAGGGGACCCTTTTGTGTGGGTTCGAAGGGAAGCCAACCAGAAAACCACAGGTTTTGGGGTGTGCTAAGAACAAGACGAGCCACATATAGATATATATATATATAGTGTTTGTGGGATGACTAGATATGCAACAGAAGCTGAATCTATTTTGTCTGAACCCAGGTTTGTGGCCGAGGAAACGTCCACCAATGCTTGGTTTAGTTGGATGTTGTAAAACAGATCCCACAGGCCTTTAACGCCACGACAGACCCAAATGGCCTTTAAGTCTCAGAACAACTTGGAGGCACAACAGGCTTCCCCTGGTAAATTATTGTGTTGTATTCAAAGGTTAACAACACCTTGGACAAAACCGCGGGTCGGAGTGGTTGAGCGGTCCCCGGTTCGGAGCAAATCAATAATTTTTCCCGTGGCTTTTAGGCCGTAGGCCCAACAAAAGGCGTAGGCAGCCCGCTCCCTGAGTTGCTGGAGTTTAAGCTTTTTGGGAAACACATTCTACCTGGAGTCTCCTTCTGACCCTTTAAAAATGGGGTCATTACCCAAAATTAAGGGGTTATGACCCCTTTTGCTGGGGGTCATGGAAACTCTGTATGGGCGTTTTCTTGGCCAGTCCACTCCGGAAGTGAAGCAAGAGTATACGCACATGCTTGGCTGTGACGGTTCTCTCCGCGGAAAAACAAGTACAAAACACGTGTTGGCCATGCGCAATTTGTCGCATATCTACCAGGTTTCAAGGATTGACTTTGAATTAGGTGATCTCTTGGGTCTTGGAGGTGTTTCTTCTCCGGGAAATCTTGGAAGCGCCGAGGCTATAGTGGCCCTTTGTTGGATCTTTGTCCTTTGCCTTTAGCTTGTTGGTGGAATTTGGTGAAACGAGCCTCTCTTGTCTGACAACACCACTGACCTTGAGAAGAGGTTTGGTGATTTTCCCACCTCGCAAAGTATGAGTTCACCACGAAGTGTTGGAGGCGTTGGTTTTCGCACGCGTTCGCCGCAATCCCCCAATCTGGACAGATCTGGATCGAGCCTTCAGGGATTCTGGCCAGAGAATCAACTGGGTGTTTCTCAAAATATGAAATTATGTGGAAGCCATTTGTGTGTGTTGGTATTTTCAGGGGAATCGAATCCTTCCAGGGTTTCTTAGGTGCGAAATGGATTTTGTCCATCCATTGGCCACTTCCCCACTGGTTCTCCGCGGGTCTGCAAATCGGCAAGGACGGAGGACATGAACGGCTTCCAGCAGGAGGGCTTTGGAGCGATGGACATGACCGTAACGCCGGGGGCCTGAGTTGTCGAGGCGAGAGTTTTGTCGAGGCAGCCCGGGGACCCGGTTGGTCTGGTGGCCCCTTTTCTTTTTGGTCGGGAAACCAACACCCGGAAGTCCGGTGCGGTGTTTTTCTTTCCATTTGTTGAGTCGGCTGGCCCATTTCAAGTTCAAAGAAACAGGTGGCCGAGTTTCGGTTGCTTTGCCATGGAAGTCCACTGGGCTGGTGAACAAGTGCAATCAACAGCCTGAGAAGCCCGGGGATAGCAGCTCTCATCTAATACTCCAATCCGGGTTGGGTTTCCAGTCGGCTGATTTTCGTCAGGGCTATGGTGTTGAGGGTATTGGGAGATTACGGGGTAGCAACATTAGCAGGGCCCCTTAAAAGATACATTTTGCAACCATTTGAAACATGTGTTTTTTGTTTAACCAAAATAAAGGGAAACCACCATTTACAAGTTGCAATGTTCAGGTGTATAATGCATCCGAATCCCTGATTAGGGCGAATCACTCGACCGCGGATCACTGGACCTGATGGAAGCTTCCGGTTCGCCGAATTGGGACACCCATTCCCGATCAGTAAAATCAGACGGGCCGCTTCTTCATCCTGCCACTTTTCTGCCACGAACAAAGGGGGATCCGTACAAAAACGCACGAATTCGTCCTGTTGATTTTTCCGTTTTAAACGAGCCCAAACAGCGTAGCCACCGAAAAAACCGCAACAGATCCGAGGTCTCCACCAAGCCGCTTATCTTTTCGGGCGAGACTGAACTTGGAACAGAATCACAAGGGATCCGAGGGATCCAGAAGGCCAGTCGCTGTCGCGTTTGACACAGACTGAGCTCTTGATGCAACATGGCATCCGGTGCTTTGTCTCCGACGAAGCCTTCATGAGCCCCGACTGGGTGGGGAACTACTACATCATCCATGAGTTCCACACCAAACGCAACGAGTTCCTCCACTTTAACCTTTAGCTTTATCCTGAAATACGGAAAGCTATCAGGCCACGCTCCACACCGCCCTTCCTCCGGATAAACAGGTACGCTCACTTGTCCAAACCCGACCTTTTGACCTTTTGGTTTCCCTTGTTGTGGTCCATAGTCTAGGTTCCAAAGGGTGATCACTTTTTATTTCTGACTCCTGTGGGCAACTGAGTCCCTTTTTTTTTCAGGGCTTTGTGCTCACTCCCTGAGTTGCCGGACTTTAATCATGTTAGTGGCACATAAGAAGTCACTAAGCGCGGACTTGTTTGAGACCAAATAAACAGTTGAAGATTCAATCGACTTGTTGTGGCCCAATCCACTCGATCGGAAAAGATGCGGCGTCCCTCTTGTTTTCGGGAGAAGAAACCTCCGCTCCGCCGGTGATTCCACCGCGCCGAAGGCCGGAGGGCGTGCGCGCGAGTACCTGGGAGTGCTACTTGAAGCCTTTGCTGCACCCAAAGACCCCAGAGGACCCCGGGGCGGAGGGCACTTTCGGGGGGTCGCGCCTTTCTTCAAAGCCCAGCACAACATGTCCGAGTTTGAGTTGGATTTGTTGAGATCCTATGCGAAATCTGGACGTGTCCTGGGAATTCTACAAGACGCCTTAGTAATTGCTATTTGGCGAAGTTCCTGAGATGGGTTTGTTGGCTGTTTGCCGAATCTCGAATCAATAAATTACTCCGAAATGGGTGTTGGGCTTGCAAGCGTTCGCAAAGCCTTGTTGAGTCCACACACGTTTGGCGCCCCAATGGCAACAGCGACATTAGGAGAGTCCGGCCTTTGCGGTTCGATCGCTACAGGTCCATTCCAGTTGTGCAAGTCCAAAGCCTTGAACGGATCTGGGGTGCCCGCGAGTCAAGTTCTTCCTGGGTTCAACATGAGTATGATGAATGCTTAGTCTCTGACTGTGCTCGCCGTATTGTGTCTCTCATTCCTTATTTTGTTTTTGCACAGGAAAGCCCCCTCATTAACCACTGCATGCCGGCATATCCAAATGCATATAGCGCGTGCCGGGCATGGTCTGGACGTGCTCCTTGCAAAGTGCTGGAGAGGCGCACGCAAGATTGATTCAGCATGGCACAGAGCAGGCGGTGAAGGTACCTGGACTTGAAAGGACTACCCATCAAAAAGGAACCTCACCAACCACAATTCTGGGGCAACAACCAAGTTTTGTGGGTAGTTTGAGGGTCCAGCTACCCCGTGTTGTTGGTGAGTTACAGGGAAACCAAAAGGGAAAGCCGCGATCCTTCCCCGAAATGCATGCAAGGCAGTCGAGTTTCTCCAAACATAGCTGACGGGTAAGTCATGCGAGGAGGGTCGGAAGAGGGCGGCTGAAGAGTTGTGACTACCTTCGTATACTCCAAAGACACGGCGCTTTCTTTTTTTGGAACCTGGTTTTCCAGGGTAAATATCTTCTTTTTATAGTCGAGGGCCAACAAATCATACCCCATCATGCCCTGAAACAGTGAGTATTGGGTGTTGGCGTGTGGGGTGTGTGGATAGTTCCAGTATGTTGGTGCGGACGCATTTCTTCAGAATAATTTGCCATGGGGAGGTTGCGAGGAGGAACCGGACAAAAGTTCTGCAAACATGCACGGTGCCACTTCAGGAGGTGAGACGAGATCTGGAAAGCTGGAAGGAAGCCATGACCGACTGGTGGGTAGATCATTATAGTAGGTTCAAATGGTGACATGCGAATCTTCTCAAAATGGTGCACCCTAAGGATCTTGGGCTTGGTATGCAGAGCCCGAGAAGCTCCGTATCACACCCCGAGTTGCTTGAAGGTCTCAAAACACGGAATTTTGGAGCACCAACATCCATCATGAAGGAACACCAACAGGAAGCCCACAAAGTTGGCACGACGAAAACGGCCATTTGTTCGTAGCCGTTTGAGGCTTCAGGCCGTTTGAGGCTTCAGGCCCGCAATTTTTTTTCGGCGACCAAATTTCAGCAGGAGCTGACCATGGACATCGCCGTTTTTTTTTTTGAAAACATACCTTGATTAGCCCTGCAAACAAAGCCGTTGGAGCTTTTGGGGCGTATGTTGAGAACCCCTCCCCATTGGATTCGGGCACGCAGCTCCTTGGTAAGCGCCTTGTTAGGACGAGGAGGCCAGCAAGCGGTTCCAGGCACGCATCGCTCCGGGAAGCGTTTGTGGGTTGGTTTCTTTTACCCAGAGGCTCCAATTCGATTGAAGGGCCTTCAAAGAACCAACTATGGATGGGTCGGGTTTTCCATTGAAAGCCCCAGGAGCCTCTGGGTACCAACAAAATCGGGGGGGGGCAGACCAAATGGCCCGGTGGATCCTTTGAGTTCTAACCGCCCCAACACATGGTATCAACAAAGGACACGCCCAGGATGCCTCCAACTTTCTTTTGGGCCTGGCTGACGATCTTCAGCTTTTTCTTTTCGCCAGCTTCGGGGCTCCGGATTTCTCCCTAGGAGTCATCCTCAAAACTAGTGGTTGTCCTGTTATTTCCTTTTCCAACCATCCCAAAAAGGGTACCACCTCAAACAAAGACATCCAGATAGGTCTCCAACCATCCCAAAAAGGGTACGAGCTCAAAGAAAGACACCCAGTGGATTTCTCCTTTCGGGTGACAGCATCCACCTTTCGGTTGCCGCCCTGCGACTGTTTTCTGAAACGGCCGTCGTCAGAGGCTGCTGCTTGGTTGCCAGCATGCTCTGTTTTCTCTTGGTGCGGTGGTTGTTTTGGCCGTGCCATGTCCTTGGAATCCTGTGGAGACTTGCAGCTACATATTGTTCCGTTCAAAGGTGCCAACCTACTTGGAGTCAACCCCAAAAGTGTTCCCTGTTCTGCCAGGGTTACTGAACAATCATAGTTTGATATTCCCCGTTTGCGGAAGGATACACTCCTGCAGTTTCATGGCCGTTCAATGGTGCTGTCTGAGTGGAAAATGACCCCTGCGACAAGGCCTTTTACAAGGTTGGACCCTCCCAAAATGAAGGAACGGTTTCCCTTTTGGTTTCCCGATAAAACCAGGAAAGATGGAAACCGGCCCATATCTCAGTTGTTCAAAGCCGTCCTTTTGACCTTTCGGTTTTCCCTTTTTTGTCCATTTTTAGTTGAGGTCCCAAAAGGTCAACCTTTTATTTCCAGGCCCTTTGGGCAAGGAAGATCGAAGGTTCCGTCTTTGGAACAACATGCGGATCCGACCCTCTAGACTGAGGGCAGATGTGGCGGTGTTTCGCAATCATGTGTTGCAGAGGTACAAATTTGGGGCTGGTTCCTACCCTAAGGAGATCTAAGTCTGGTCAAGATCTCAGGTAACACTGAATTGATGGTTCTGATTGGATGGGGATTTGAACCGTCTTGGTCGAAATCAGTTTGTAAGGTAGCCCTAACCTCCACACCAAACCAGGGGAAACCTGATTCTGCGTGTATCATACGTATGGTCGTGACTTGTTGATCTGTGCGCGCCCCTGCAACTGCCATGAAACTCGATCCTCAACATAAGTTCGGAGCCAGAAAGCCATAAGTCATGGGATTTCAAAGCTTGCGCCGATGGGCACGCACCTCTGACGTCCATTTGGGATGGAAGAACATACATTGACCGTGACTCCCTGGTTCTCAAACATTTGTGTGGGGACGGTCAAAGGAAGGCTTGTCAAACTTCTGTACATGCTGTGACAAATCTGTGTGTTAACGTTCTTGAAAGCCCCTCTAAGGGATGTCAACTTTGGTTGTTGGCAATACTGAAGCAAGAACTTGCGAGCATTTGGCGTACTATGGATAGTTGGGCCTCACAAATTAGTGGTGTTCCTTTTGGTTTCCCCGCGGAAAAAAAAGGTTTCGTAAAACAAGACAGATCCATATAGATGGCCATCCATCAAGATCCTAAGATCCCCAGAGTTGTTGCAGGAAAAGCCCCTTCCTTCCTTTCAATTGAAGACGCGAGTCCTTTCTTCCCAGGAGGGTTCCGAGGCTGTTGGGGACATCACCTGGGCTGTTCTTCAGAACCTTCCAAGTTATTCAATGGAAGCAGATTGCAGAGGCTTTCCCTAGGAGAACTGAGGGCCGGTTCTCAGAACGCCGACTTCGAGCAACTTCGAAAGTGGTCTGACAATATTGGCCGTGGCTCAAAAAACCGGTGCCAAGCTGGAACCCTGGTAAGTGGAAACATGGACCAAAACCTGCGTAACCCCTCCTGTTTAATTTTGAGCCACACCCACAATCACGAACTGGGACCCAGGTCAACTGAAGTTGGTTAGCAGCGGACGCCCACAAGACGCGCATTGAGCGACCTGCCATCAAGCACTGGCGGTCCACAACTAGGTCCCTCTAAGTTGTGCCAAGTTCTCTCCCCTTTTTTGGTTGGGAAGTTGGGAGGGTTCCCCTACTAAAATAGACAAGAAAGTAAAAATCCTCGGGTACCCTTATTCTAACTCCTCTCTACTGGAGGACCTAGACAAGGTTCCCAAAATTCCTGAACCCCCAAAAGTGGGGTCTTTTGGCTGGGCAAGCTCGTGCTTTCAGTTGGCCTGTGCAGGGGCAGGGGTGGTTTTCCTTGTGCTGGAGCCTAGCCTGCGAAATTGCTTGCACTTGTACAGCATCTAAAAAGGCAAGGTGAGGTGATATGTGGCTCAATAGTAGCCGACTGAATCCCAATTGTCAGGCCGGTTTGGACATTGATTCAACGCCCAATAGTAAAAAGCACCTTGCAAAAGAACATTGTTTGATGAGGTGAGCCGTTTCAGTTCCAGATGATTCTTCAGGGCTCCCTCGACCCGTTTAAAACACGGGGCTTGTGAGGTGAGCCACACTCAAAACGGTAGAAAGGTTAGCAGGGACACTCCCAACCACTGGTGCAGAATTCCGCCTTGGCAACTTTTTAACCCTGGTTTTGGGCGCAGCATTTGTGTACCGATCGGGTTTTGATTGTGACTCAGGTGCCCGGAGTGTAAAATCAGTTCCTCGGGAAGGAACATTGTTTCATTAAGTGAACCCCCTGTTCCGGATGACCCGGGCTCTCTTGACCCGACCCGTTGATTCCTTCTCGGCGGGGGTTCTCGTCAGGTGCTGACGGGCCAGATGGCCGTGCGCCTGCTCTTTGAAAACGACAAGGCGGTCGGCGTGGAGACCATCCCGTCCCCCAAGCCGAAGAAAGGCGCCCGCGATTCGGATGCGATGCGGTTGGATGCGAGTCGAGGCTCCTGGTGTCGGTGTCGGTGACGGGACCCTGAGATTTTGTTGGTTTCCTGGGCGGTTTCCATTTGAAGCAGCTTGAAAAGGGGTATGGGAAAGCACGCAAAGAAACAAACACACAAACACAACCGCACCCGCACACACACACACCCATTTGCCTGGATTTTGCCAAGATCACTCATGAAAGTCTTCAACGGATAAAAAAGTATGACAGAAGAATGAAAGGCCTCACACATTCAGGTGTTCAGGTGCGAGAAGAGACGGGATGTGCCTCCACACTGTCGAGCTCGGATTTTCCTGGGATTCACTGTCAAACATACTCGGTCCCTGACGCCGTGTGGCGTTGGTTTACCCGGTGGATTCAAGTTACTCCCGTGGGGATTTAATTAAAGCAATGGTTCGGTTCATATTACCAGTGTTTACCTAAGGATCATCATCCACATCGGGTCAACCATTCCTTTGGGTTGAAGCCTAGAGCGTTTTTGTTGTAGGTAACCCTTCGCCATTGTCCTTTTGTTTTTGTAAGAAGGGTGGTCTGGGATGGTTTGGTCTTTGTCATCTCGTTGCCACTTCCTGAGTGCCTGGACATGCAAAACTCAAAGCTCTTCGGAAGGTGAACAGCCTTAAAGCAGCTGCCATTTCTGGGTCCCAGGTATACTGAGGGTAGGTGCGCATTGCATGTGCATTTGCAGCAGACACCAAATCGTTTTGTGCTGTTGTTTTTCCCCCCGAGCTTTTTGGGGGCCATTGGAAGTGAGGCGTTCTGAACATTTGTTCGGGATTTGCTACGATTGGGTGCGCAGAGGGTGTGTTAAGAGCTCGACTTTCGCCAGCTTCAGGAGGATCCGAGTAAGCAGGTGGTTTTTGCTTTGTACTATATAAGGGGCATAGGTACGCTTCTTCCGTGATGCCTAAATTTGGGTTACAATATTAGGGGCCTTTAGCGTTGTTGTAGTGAATTGAGGGAGAACTGATGAACAAACCCAGGGTGCCCCAGCAGTAGCACTTGTTTTTTCCCCAGAACAAGCCAGACATAGATGCCACTTGAGCTACGTGTTCACTTAAGGTTGAACAGTCAGTTCGTTTACTGGGGCTGTAGGGTAACTCCCGTATCCTTACGGGACTTAGGAGGAGGCTCCAAATGGTTACATATTAATATGTTGTGTACCCCAGATCTGGTGATGTCAAAATAGGGAACCTCCTCAAAGGTGGTTGGTAACCACACTAACTCATGCCCACCCGAGGGTCAAGTGGGAGGAATAGGAAACCCCCCCTGGACCTCCAAACCAATCCCAGCTTTTTCGAGGGCTGATGTTGGGTGCTCGTACCTGGAGTCCCCATGACCCTTTAAAAATGGGGTCAAGACCAAAAAATATTGGGTTCGCGGAGACTAGGTAGGGATGTAGCCTGCTTAAAATGGGTTTGAGTATGGTTGGGACCCAGAAGCCTATGGGAGGCACCTGTTTGAACCACAAGGAGTGTTTTCTTTGCGACCAGCGGGACCCGTTGAAACCTGCCCTTTCACATGGGCTTCAAATTTGGAGGATCCCCTTGTAGAGTAACCTGCTGATGAGCAAAATCCGTTCGCAGCTCCTGAGAAGGCCTGTTATGATTCGATTCCCCTGCTAGTTCTCATTGGCTTAAAGTGGTGCGAACGGATTTCGTCACGCAGAAAATGGCCATGGTTTTAATGAGTTGAAGCCCAGGGAAAAATGGTGGTGTTCCATTTGGTTTCCATTTAAAAGCCAACAAAACTCAGGCTGGTTGTACCACCTTAACAGACTAGGTTTTGCAGTAGTGCCAACTTTTACCCCTTTTTTGGGGGAGGGTTCCCGTACTAAAAAATAGACTCCAGAAAAAAAAGGGCACCCTGATTCTAACCTCTCTACTGGAGGACCTAGCAGATGTTTATTGAGCACCCAGCTTGGGCTTCAAGTTAGATCCCCTGGTCTTGGAGGCGGGGGCTTCCATCGTGAGAGCTCCGGCACCACGGAGAAGCACTTCGCCAAAGCGGAGGTCATCCTTTGCGCAGGCGGACAAAATCGATGCGCCGATGCGTGGCTTTTTGGACGGGCGAAGGATTGAATCGGTCGAAGGATCCCAAAACGAAAAATGTTTTAGGGTAGACAAAATTCGGTGGATGGGTCCTCGAAATCCATTTCGCACCACCTACGAAGCCATGGAAACCATTGTTTGTGGGTATTTACAGGGTAATCATCCTTCCAGGGTTTCTTCTTTAGGGTACCTGGAGTCTCCGTGACCCTTAAAAGCTGGGGTCATGTCCCCATTGTTGTGGGTAATGACCAACCATTTTTAAGGGATCATGGAGACTCCAGGTAGACGAAATATGGTTGCCAGAGTCAGACAATATGCGTGGCGGTTCCGTGCTGTCCGTAGGTTTTTGGTCTTTAAGGGTTTAGTGAGGGATTTGACTCCCCACTTCAAGTCAAGCTGTTAGCAGTTGATCTCATGTTCAGTGTGCCCCTTTTGCCAAGGTTGCCAGTGCTTCCAACAGGGGTCGCTAGAATCACTTGTCGCCTGCGACAAGGTGGGTTTCGTCAGCGAAAATCGTGTTGAAGGTTCGAAAGTTTTGGGGGTGCTAAGAGTTGAGCATGGTTGTCGTTGGGAAACATTTTGTCATTTTGCTTATTGTGGATTGGTGTTTGAAATCCCCACTAAACTGCTAAAATGTAATTTTTTGCTCCCAAACCCAACGTCAACCAAGAGAGGGCTGGTTGAAATGAAAGGCTTGAGGCTAAGAGTCTCGAAGCTTGGGGGAGTCAAATGCGTGGCTGACCTGATTGCGGCGTTCTCTTGGATTCCCGGTTGACCACTTTGGGGCGAGGTCACGAGGTCAATGTGCGTGTGTCCCCTGAATTTACTCGGCTGCAGATCAACGCCATGGAACCCCAAAAGCTACTGTGGATGGACAAAATCCTGCACCACCGAAGAAAGCCTGGAATGATGATTCCCCTGTAAATACCAGCAAACAATGGTTTACCATGGTTTCACAGTGGTGCGAAATGGATTTCGTCCACCCACAGTATCATGTCAAGAGGAGACTCCTTTTGGGGGACCTTTTCGGCTTCCATGTTGATTTGGGATCCCATTTTGTTTCGTGTGCCATGTTCCGTTTGGAAACGAGTCCAAAGGGGCGAGGACCGGCAACACATACATGGACCCCTACTGCAGGCAGCATGTTGTTCGTTCCTGAAGCCAGAATCAGCGAGTCAACTCTTCACTGCTGGATCATGTTTTGAGTTGTTTCTTAGGTTGTTGGTGCTGTTCAATTTTAGGGACTGCCAGAAAACTTTTTTTTTCATGGGTTGGAAAGAACTCCCATATTTCTAAGCATCCCTGATGCTTCATGGGCGCGACGGGGGGGACGGTGAGATATCCCAAAGACCCTCAGATTTGAGCTGGTAGCGCTTTTGTAAAGACAACCCGGAAAACAAGGTGGTTTGGATTGGTGGTTGTGTAGGGCAACCGGGATCACCACCCCTTAGCCGCTAAGCCACTAATCCAAACCATAGTGGGAAACTGAATTGGTTTCCGAGCAAAGACGCCTTTGCCCCCCTTTTCAAAAGGGTTCGATCCCAACATCGGCTTATGAATTGCTTGTGTTTTTTTCGTGGAAGGTTCAACTTTCGCCCTCTCTTTTTTTGGAGTGCCTTTTTTGGGGTGGGCGGGGTGCCGCTGAAAAAGTCCGCTGACTCCTTCAAGGGTCCCACTCGTTGATCCCGTTTGATCCGTTCAGGCGCCGTGGGGTCCCCTCAGTTGCTCATGCTGAGCGGCATCGGCCCTGCCAAGGAGAGAATTTCCGGGGCCCCGGGCAGGCGCGCCTTGAAGCCCTTGGCGGAAAAAAGGGGGATTCGTATCTTGGTTTGTTCCCAGCCGTAGGATTCCCGGTTCAAAGTTGGGTTTTCAGTGGTTTTGAGGTGGTTTAGTGGTTGATTCCCATTCAACCCTTAAAAGTTCGTCACTTTCAGCAGACAAATCAGATCACGGAGGTGAATTTGGGTCATCTAGACCCTTTGTTTGCGGTGGGTTTTGCAAAAGGAAAATCATTAATTCGCCCTCGAAAAGCGACACGCCCAAACAGATCTGCTCGCGGGCGAAAACGAGTCCAGTGTTCCTTGTGTCTATGATGAAAGTCCTCGGGGCTGTTTCCCTTTCGCCCACCACTTGAGAGCCTGTAGCTCTTGCAATCAATGCATCAAGGCCGGGGCAAAAAATCCCGTTGCTTGAACAGCACCCCGCGACGGGTTTGGTGTTCAACCATTATTTCCCTTCAGAAATTTCCCCAAAACGAGGTTTCGCGCAAAGCAGCATGCTAAATGGAGGTGTTCCACTGAAAAGCACAACCCTAAAAGGGCGGATTGTTCCACGTGAAAGTCCACTCGGAAAAGCCGACCAAAAGGTGACAGGCATCAACTACACTGCAAGAACACCATAGCGCTCATCCTGTTTAAAGCAGCGTATCTTAAAGAATAATATGTATATATATATGTCATAATATATATATATATATATATATGTATATATATATATATATATATATGTGTTTGACCAATATGTTCCTGTCATTCTTTTTTGACCATGTGTCACCATGTGTTTTTTCCTGAGTCCCGAGTCCCAAGTCCTCCAGCCATCCGGTTCCTTAGGTTTTCAGTGGTTCAGCAAACGGACAGCGCAGACAAGCAGAAAGTTTACCCCCTACTCAAAATACCCGCTTTGTTCAGGGTATTTTTGGGGAAAACCTGGTTTTCCATGGTAAATACCTTCTTTTTTAGTAGAGGGTCGACATGATACCCTGAAAAAAGATGGTATTTGGAGTAGGGGGTACATGGACCCTCAAACTACCCAAAAGAAAGGGGGCACTCACCAACCATATCTTTTAGGTTTAAATTATCCGTGTTTGATGTGGAACTTTCAGGGCCCAAGTAGACTTTTTCTGGCCAATCCACTCGATCGGATATGAGCACTGTTCAAAGCTACAGGAGGTTCTTGTGAACATTACCCCCGCCCGCCCCTCCACCAAACGCCGTTTGGTCTGCCCAAACGCTCATGGACCCGTTTCCGTTGTTGAACACCCCAGAAAACCTCAAAGAGGCCTCGTTTGAAAGCCCGGGCAGTATGCGTGAGCCTATTCGTGGTTGGGCTGCACACGTACACGTCTTTTTTGGCCACATGGGTGTGATCTTGTTGGGGGCCCTTGTTGGACATCATTCCGGCGGGGCCTTCATGTCCACCAACCACTTCTGAGGTTTTTTTCCAGTTCCCCTCCCCACCAACTGGAGCCTCTGAAAGGAAAATGGTCCAAACCCGGACCCCCCCTCGAAGGGCTGCATAGGGTCAATCTCGCGGCCTGGCCCACGAGGAGTTGGAGCGCCTGGGCGTGCCGGTGCGCCTGGACCAGACGCTGGTGGGGGAAAATCTCCAGGAGCCTCAACCAAAATTCCAGAACTGTGGATGGTTGCGAAACCCATTTCTCACCGCCATCCAGAAACCCAACGGAATGAGGATTCCCCTGTAGATGCCAACGGCTTCCTATTGTTTCATTTCGTGCGAACGGATTTCGCAACCATGCGCTGTATGTCACAGTTTTCTGACGTGGGCCTTGTCCAAACAGAAACCGAGGACACCCGACGGCTCTCTCGAGCCCATGTCCTCATGACCCACGTGGGTGTGTCTGTTTTAGACCCCACAAATACTGGTTTTCTTTTTGGTTTGGCTTTTTTTCCACCCAAATTCCATCAACAAACAAGACACGCACGGGTTTAGTCCGAAAAGCAGCCCTTGGTTTTGGAAGGGGCTGGTGTTATTTTTGTTCAGGACCACTTGGAGTTCTACGTGCAGTACTTGCCTGGGTCTCAGCTCGGGGCAACCAGAGAGTCCATCTCCTTGGTTTCGGTCGATGTCGGTACGCTTTAGTTTGGTAAACCCACAGAAAGCCAAACCGCCGGTTTTAGGGCTTTCCAAAGAAAAGTCTGTCAAACAAAAAGAGTCAAACCTACAAAAATCGCTTCTTCAGCTCAAGGATGATCAGCAAGCTAGTACGTGGTTGATCATATTTGTCAGCTTGAGGGGGTTACACGCAGGCCAACTCCTAGTCGACTTTTTGAGGGTCAACTGATCGAGGGTCATGCCCTAAAAATGGGCCCCACATGTTTGTTTGCAAGTCTCTCTCCATGAGCCCATGGACTGTGGTATCTCTGGGTGGAAAATGTCATGACTGTCCCAAATGTGCGTGTTCTCCGTTTTCTGGACCTTCAAGCTGTCTCAGTGAATCCTGGGAAGCCACGAGATTACCACTTTTGAGGAGGAAATCCCAATATCCCCTTCGGAGGTCTACTTTGCGATCACTCCCACAAGGGCTAGATGCAGCCTCTACAGACTCCACTTATTCACAAGAAAGGACACCAACAAGAAACGCCCAGCATGAGGGGTGGTCAAGGCTGAAGCCCTTTTGGATCCTAACTTGGCAACTCCTAGGGCCTGGTATCATTAGAACCCAGCGGGGTGCTGTCTGCCGTCATATCCGCCAACCTTCCCGACTCCTGCCCAAAAATTCCCCCAAACCCACTGCCAAAACTCCAAGAGTTAGCCTACACACCTCGACTATACCTCTGAATTACGAAGGACCAAATGTGCTGTTTGCGTGCTTCATTTTTCGAGATTTGGCATGGCGCGTGTTTAACAATAATTTGACAAATACAACTTATCTTTTAAAGGTAGAATTGAGAGAAGCGGGCTTTCCATGTTCAAGACTCCCTCTTTTGTCAACAGATGCCGTACGACACCCTCTACTTTAAATACGCTCTTGGTTTCAGTTTGCTTTGAAACGCCAGGTTTCATTCAAGGATCGACATCATACCCCGAACAATCTAATAAAATGTGCTGTGTGTCGGGCGGGAAGGGGTTCCTGAAACCTCAGGAGCGACAAGAACTGCTCGCTGTACCCCTACGCCGCCACGTTTCCGGGACTCGGCCTGCTGTCCCGCTACTTGGAGAAATTTGATGGACCTCCGGTGGTGCCTTAACTTTTTGTTGAGGGTTCCTTTGCAAAAACCAACTACCCACTCCCCGCAAAAAAAAAACTAGACCACGGTTGGCCCGAAAGCAGAACATCGCAAGCGAGGTCGGCCCAACGCTGCAGGATGCGTTCTTTTTCCCTACACGAAGCATTTGTGAAGCAAGCGCGAGACAGCACCAGGCAAGGTGCTCTGCGCAAACTGGTCGGTGCAAGTTGGTCTGCGCAAGTTGCTCTACGCAAGTTGCACTGTGCAAGTTGCTCTGCGCAAGTTGCTCCGCGCAAGTTGCTCCGGCAAGTTGGTCCCTGCAAGTGGCTCCCTGCAAGTTGCTCTGTGCAAATTGCGCTCCCTGCAAGTTGCTCTGTGCAAGCTGCTCTGTGCAAGTTGCTCTGTGCAAGTTGCTCTGCGTAAGTTGCTCTGCGCAAGTTGCTCTAGGCAAGGCGCTCTGCGCAAACTGGTCGGTGCAAGTTGGTCTGCGCAAGTTGCTCTGTGCAACTTGCTCTGCGCAAGTTGCTCTGCGCAAGTTGCTTTAAAATGCAAGTTGCATCTTGCGACGCCCGCCCGCGGACCAGGGAGGAATCGAACCCGCGACCCGCCGGTTCCGGGAGCAGGCGCGCGAACCACGAGACAACTCCCGAGGACCAGTTCGAACAACAAAAGTCGCAAAAAACCTCGAGTTTTTGCACCTCGACCACGCCGATTCCCGCAGAGGGTTGCGCGAGCACCGCAGAAATCGCAAAAAACCTCGAGTTTTTGCACCTCGACCACGCCGATCCCCGCAGAGGGTCGCGCGAGCAGGTTAGAAATCGCAAAAAACCATGGGTTTTTGCACCTCGACCACGCCGATTCCCGCAGAGGGTCGCGCGAGCAGGTTAAACATCGCAAAAAACCATGGGTTTTTGCACCTCGACCACGCCGATCCCCGCAGAGGGTCGCGCGGGAACTTTAGAAATCGCAAAAAACCATGGGTTTTTGCACCTCGACCACGCCGATCCCCGCAGAGGGTCGCGCGGGCACCGCAGAAATCGCAAAAAACCATGGGTTTTTGCACCTCGACCACGCCGATCCCCGCAGAGGGTCGCGCGAGCAGGTTAGAAATCGCAAAAAACCATGGGTTTTTGCACCTCGACCACGCCGATCCCCGCAGAGGGTCGATTTTCGTGTAGTGTCGTCGGCACTACCCCGCCGCCCTAAGAAGAGATTTTAACTCCTCGCAAGTCAATTGCACTTGACTCCTTGCACTTGCAACTTGCACTTGACTCCTTGCTTCAAGGAGTCATTGCAAGGAGTCATTGCAATTGGAGTCATTGCAAGGAGTCATTGCAGGAGTCATTGCAAGGAGTCATTGCAAGGAGTCATTGCAAGGAGTCATGGCAAGGAGTCATTGCAAGGAGTCATTGCAAGGAGTCATTGCAAGGAGTCATTGCAAGGAGTCATTGCAAGGAGTCATTGCAAGGAGTCATTGCAAGGAGTCATGAGAGCCATTGCAAGTTGCAAGGAGCCAAGTGCATGGAGTCAAGTGCAAGTCGCAAGTGCACGGAGTTAAGTGCAAGTTGCAAGTGCAAGGGGCCAAGTGCAAGGAGCCAAGTGCAAGGAGCCAAGTGCATGGAGTCAAGTGCAAGTTGCAAGTGCATGGAGTCAAGTGCAAGTTGCAAGTGCAAGGAGTCAAGTGCAAGTTGCAAGTGCAAGGAGTCAAGTGCAAGTTGCAATCCTTGCCATGACTCCTTGCAATGACTCCTTGCAATGACTCCTTGCAATGACTCCTTGCAATGACTCCTTGCAATGACTCCTTGCAATGACTCCTTGCAATGAATGACTCCTTGCAATGACTCCTTGCAATGACTCCTTGCAATGACTCCTTGCAATGACTCCTTGCCATGACTCCTTGCCATGACTCCTTGCAATGACTCCTTGCCATGACTCCTTGCAATGACTCCTTGCAATGACTCCTTGCAATGACTCCTTGCAATGACTTTCATGATGATGATTCCTTGCAATGACACTTTGTAATGACTCTCATGAGAACAACTCAAGTGAACCCAGCGGAAGAACCCTTCGCCATGCTTTCGGGAAAACAAGTAAAGTAAAATAATAACAATAAAAATCAACAACGACGAGTGGCCTTTCCCGAAAGGCGACTGTGCTTCTCAAGATTAGGAACCAAATGCTACATGTTGGTTTCTTTTTGGTTTCCATTTAACACCATCCAAAAACTGATCCCCTAGTTTGCGACAGACCCATTTGACATCCACCTTCAACTGCCCTGCAGGGTTGCTCTGAACCCCAATGAACACACTACCAGATCATCAGGGTCGCAAATTAGTATTAGGTCCTTCTGTTTTAGCTGTCCTGGGATAAATACTGTGGATGGACGAAATCCATTTCGTACCACCTAAGAAACCCTCGAATGAGTGGATCGGCCTACAAATACAAACAAACAATCTTTGGTGCATTTTGCTTGGATGTTAGGACTTTAACTTTTTGCCAATTAATGGGTTTTCCGTATTAAACCACTAAAAGTTATTCACTTTTCGCAGGGCTTCGCAGAAAGCAACCGAGCAATGGTTTCCCTTGGTTTCATTTCGTGGTGCGAAATGTATTTCGCAACCATCCACGGTATGTTACCCTTGTGACCAGGACTTTGGAGCATCCCTCGAAAGAAATCTTCAGAGAGAAGGGTTTCTGTATGGGTCAAAATTAAACCACCAGGAATTGGACCGCAGGTTTAGTTGGCAAGCCATGTACCAGGGCAACCCATTTGACTATCCCTTTTTGACCCACAGCCAGATACCACTTCGATAAGGGGTGCATACCGCTTTACCAGCTGATATTGTCAAACTTCAGGATCCATAGCTCCAAACGTTTTTTCCTGGACCTTATAGGCACTTCAGGTATCAACAGGTGCTGAGAACCAAGAAAAGACAGGGTCGAATGCAGCCAGAATGATTGCCAACCGACACCTGGAGTCTCCCATGTTTCATGGGTTCATCTATACAAAAGAAGAGGTCGTGACCCCATTTTTAAGTGGTCATCGAGACTCCAACAACAAACACATTGTTTCCAACTAACTGAGCAATCATCGTTCCAATCACTAACCCGCAAGAAGATGCTTCAACCCCACCTTTCTATTCAACAAAGGTCAGAGACATGGCTATGGACCCCCGCCCCCAAAAAAAGACAAAGCAAAAAAAATGGGCGATGCTCAGGTTTTGTCCCGAAAGCCCTTTGCTTCAAGCTGTCAAAAGTCCAGTACTCTTTTTTGCGCCGCCCTTTTTCCCGGCGAATTTGTTGTCCAAACCCATCACACGGATCATAACTCGGCTGGTCAGGCTTTCCACGGTCACTAGATTTCCTCTCAAGATGTATTCTATATATATATATGTATGATCTGCTAGTGGGTTGATGTGAAAGTGCCACTTGCGGTCCAAACAATTTGGTGCGTTCATACTAGCCGGCACAGGAAGATGCTTAACCAGCAGCATAGGTGTCGACCTAATTTGGGACCCAAATGCCCAACCGAGAAACAAGCCAAGGGTCCCCCCCATTTTGTTTGTTTTGAAATGGGTACGTGTTTTTTTTGGTACCCTTTTGGGGTTGGTTTATTAAAGGGAAGCCACAAGTGAAACCGAACTCCATGTCTGGATTCCAACTCCCTTGACCGCCCAATCGTTTCCCTTCCACAAGCCCTTGAAACCGCCGCCGCCTTCCTCCGGTCAGTGGCTGAGGCTACGCCTACCGCCAGCCCTGGAAAGCCATCCACGCTGGGGTCCTGTGGATGCTGCAAGGTGCCGGCGTCGGTGCCTCCAACCACTTCGAGGCAAGCAAGTCTTTCCGTTTTTTTTTAGATTCCGGTGTCGATTTGCTTTGGGGGGGGGGGGGGGGGGGGGGGCGTTTTTTTTGTTTTGTTTTCTTCCGGAGATTCCGGTGTGTCGATTTGCTTTGGGGGCGTGTTTTTTTTTCTTCGGAGATCCGGTTCGATTTGTTTTGGGGGGGGGGGGGTTTTTTTTGTTTTGTTTTCCCCGTTTTTTTTCTTCCGGAGATTCCGGGGTCGATGTTGTTTTCTTCTTTTTATTCCGGAGATTCCGGTGTCGATTTGCTTTGGGGGGACGTTTCTTTTTTTGTTTTGTTTTTTCTTCCGGAGATTCCGGTGTCGATTTGCTTTGGGGGGCGTTTTTTTTTGTTTGCGTTGTTTTTTTCTTCCGGAGATTCGAATCCACTAAAAGTGGAGAGTCGGGTGTCGACTTGTTTTTGATTTTGTTTATTTTTTTGTGGGGGGGGGCTCAACTGTTGGTTTCCTTGGCGGCCTTGGCGGCAAGCCCAGCCATCCGGTTCCTTAGGTTTTTAGGGTCTAGTGGTAGTGGTAGTTTCCAGTAAACCACTAAAAAATAGACTTTTAGCAGGGGATCTGGGGACAGCAGAGTTTCAGGCTTCCTTCTAATTGGTGGTTTGGTGTGGTGGTTTGGATGTTAGGTACCAAAACCCCATTTGTCACCGTTCCTTTAGCCGAGTGTACGTCCAAACCACAAATCCAAGCCAAGAGGGAAGCTGGCTCTTGGAATTGGTGTTAAAGGGAGATGAAAGGGAAACCGAAGCCCATGTTTGCGGGGTTCCCCTATGAGACAAACTTCGAGTCTCGATGGGACCCGGGACGCAGGTGTCCCTCAAATTCCGTTCCGTTTGGACCGAAAATGGGTTGGTCTTTTTTAGGACCTCCGCAACGGTGGTTTTCCTGTTGACTTCCCTGTAAAACCACAAGCAAAGTGTATAGGACAGACCCAAGTGGCAATTTTTGGTTGGAACCCACCCAGGTCAACATTTTGAAGCACAAAACCAGTGACTGGCCATAGACTGCCCGTTGTCGTGGCTTTCAAGCATCACCTGGTCCAACTGTAGGTGGGGTGATGTTTTCAGGGTAAGTTGGGGAGCCCTGTTTTCAGCAAGGGGAACCTGGGATTGGCCAACCTTTGACTGATTTAATTTGGGGGTTAAGTTGTCTCCAATTTTCATTATGGCGGACTCCGGATCACTTTTGCGGGAATCACCCCCCTGGGTTGACAAATCCAGGCTCGGCATCATGATATCAACCTCTCACCAAATAAAACATTGGAGTCCGTGACCCCTTAAAAATGGGTCATGACCCCATGATTTTTTGGGTGATGACCAACCATTTTTAAGGGGTCAGAAGGAGACTCCAGGTATTTCGATAATGGAAAGAGGGTTCAATCTTCGCTCGAAACCAAATTGGTCAGTTCGAGGATTCCGTGGGAACTGCCGATTTCCTGGGAGTCAGTGGACCATTGCCACAGGTTTGGAGATCCGGCCTTTACATTCTTTGTAGATGCTTAACGGGTGTAAAGTGGCATGAATAAATAAGCTCTGATATCCCCAACAGCATGCGGTGCTCTTTTTAGTGCTCGCACCACCCAGCGCAGAACTTCGTGGAACCCTGATGGAACCCTGATGGAACCCTGGTGGAAGCCTGGTGGAACCCTCTTGGAACCGTACCTCAGGGCCGGCCCGGACCGGTTGGGGAAACATACCCTCCAAATAGTAGCTTAAAGGGACTCCAAGAGACGCCCCCCAAACAAGAACCACTAATTTTGAGAACCCCTCAAAAGGTTGACTTTAAGGGGCCCAGGTTTTGATTAAGACTCAGCTGGGTACCGGAGAGTAGAGATTTCAATTTCACTGACTCCTCTTCACAAACATATCGAGGTGTCTTTTGTTTGGGGACCCCGCCCAAGAAAAAAAGTGATGCCCCCTTAAAACCACAAAGAATGTAGCCTCCAAAAAAGACACACCCATGTTGTCGACATTTTAGGGTAGACCAAATTCTGTGGATGGACGACATCCTCCACCACTTTGAATCCATGGGAAACCATTGTTTGTTGGTATTTGTAGGGGAATCCTCATTCTAGGGTTTTGAAGGTGGTGCAAAATGGATTTTGTCCATCCAGTATGAACGAGAATCTGAACACATTCTCACGCGTCCAAATTTGGTCCACATTTAGTCAAGGTTCCAAAATTGACCACCTTTGATTTCTGGGTCCTGTGGGCAACTGAGTATCATTTCGGGTGTTGTCCAACCTTTGGGTGGGGAGAAAGTTAGGACATCGGCCAATTCACTCAAGTGAGGGTTCTCACACCCAGCATGGAATGTATGGAGGGACACACTTGAGATCAGTGGTGATGGTATGTGATGGTTGAGCCTTCAAGCGATTTAGACGCCAATCGACTATCTCTGCAAGAGCTTCGCGGAGTTTTCCCAAATCATGGCAGCAGGCAATGCCAAGAGAGCCTGCGCCTCAAAAAGCAACACACGCCTCAGACTTGAGACACTGGCCGGAATGGTCAGCTTTCAGCTACAAGACGGCAGTGAAGAACCGCCCAGCACGTGGGATGACACTCTGAGGGTGACAAAGGTGGTGGGCGATTTCCGGGAAGCGAAGTGTGTTTGGGGTAAGATTTGCTCAGCACTTGTCCGTTTATTGCCGCAAACTACCCCCTTATATATACACACTTGTCCCAACCGGTCACGGGGTCGTTTGTGCATTCAATCCTTGTGTCGTTTCTGCATTCAATCCTGGCGTCGGCTGTGCATTCAATGCTTTTTGGGGCTCACGGGCATGATAATGGACTTGATGATTTAGGTGATCGGGGCTGACAGCTTGTGCTCCTCCCCTAAAGAACAGAAAGGCTGAACTATCCATATTGGCCTGTGCGATTAAGAGGTATTGATGGGTCAGTGAACTCCCCCACCCCCAACGCCTGGCCTCCTCCCCGCCACCCAGCAGACTGCACGTGTCATGTGCAACATGCCCGGCCCACTTCCCCCCCCGCCAGCTCACGTACCACCCCCCTCCCCCCCGCCCAGCCAAAAAAGAGAGACAAAAAGACTGCACGTGTCATGTGCGACGCGCCCGGCCCACTTCCCACGCCTCTCCCCCCAACCCAGCAGACTGCACGTGTCATGTGCAACATGCCCGGCCCACTTCCCCCCCCGCCCACCCAGCACAGCTCACGTACCACTCCCCTCCCCCCCGCCCAGCCAAAAAAGAGAGACAAAAAGACTGCACGTGTCATGTGCGACGCGCCCGGCCCACTTCCCACCCCTCTCCCCCCAACCCAGCAGACTGCTGTGGTCATGTGCAAAATGCCCGGCCACTTCCCCCCCCCGCCCACCCAGCACAGCTCACGTACCACTCCCCTCCCCCCCGCCCAGCCAAAAAAGAGAGACAAAAAGACTGCACGTGTCATGTGCGACGCGCCCGGCCCACTTCCCACCCCTCTCCCCCCAACCCAGCAGACTGCACGTGTCATGTGCAACATGCCCCCCGCCCACCCAGCACAGCTCACGTACCACTCCCCTCCCCCCCGCCCAGCCAAAAAAGGAGAGACAAAAAGACTGCACGTGTCATGTGCGACGCGCCCGGCCCACTTCCCACCCCTCTCCCCCCAACCCAGCAGACTGCACGTGTCATGTGCAACATGCCCGGCCCACTTCCCCCCCCGCCCACCCAGCACAGCTCACGTACCACTCCCCTCCCCCCCGCCCAGCCAAAAAAGAGAGACAAAAAGACTGCACGTGTCATGTGCGACGCGCCCGGCCCACTTCCCACCCCTCTCCCCCCAACCCAGCAGACTGCACGTGTCATGTGCAACACGCCCGGCCCACTTCCCCCCCCGCCCACCCAGCACAGCTCACGTACCACTCCCCTCCCCCCCGCCCAGCCAAAAAAGAGACAAAAAGACTGCACGTGTCATGTGCGACGCGCCCGGCCCACTTCCCCCCAACCCAGCAGACTGCACGTGTCATGTGCAACATGCCCGGCCCACTTCCCCCCCCCGGCCCACCCAGCACAGCTCACGTACCACTCCCCTCCCCCCCGCCCAGCCAAAAAAGAGAGACAAAAAGACTATAAAAGACTGCACGTGTCATGTGCGACGCGCCCGGCCCACTTCCCACCCCTCTCCCCCCAACCCAGCAGACTGCACGTGTCATGTGCAACATGCCCGGCCCACTTCCCCCCCCGCCCACCCAGCACAGCTCACGTACCACTCCCCTCCCCCCCGCCCAGCCAAAAAAGAGAGACAAAAAGACTGCACGTGTCATGTGCGACGCGTGCCCGGCCACTTCCCAACCCTCTCCCAAACCCCAGCAGACCTTGCACGTGTCATGTGCCAATGCCCAGGCGCCACTTCCCCCCCGCCACCCCCACCAGCAAGCTCACGTACCACTCCCCATCCCCTCCCGCCAGCCAAAAAAGAGAGACAAATAAGACTGCACGGTCGTCTCTGCGACGCGCCCCGGCCCCCCGTCCCACCCCTCTCCCCCAACCTAGCAGGACTGACACGTAGTTCATAGTGCAAACATGCCCGGCCCACTTCCCCCCCGCCCACCCAGCACAGCGCACGTACACTCCCCTCCCCACGCCAGCCAAACTAAGAGAGAGACAAACAGACTGCACGTGTCATGGCGACGCGCCCGGCCCACTTCCCACCCCTCTCCCTCCCCCCCCCTCCCCCGACTCCTCCCCACCCCCCCTACCTGCAGACTTGCACGTGTTCATGTGCAACATGCCGGCCCACTTCCCCCCCCGCCCACCCAGCACAGCTCACGTACCACTCCCCTCCCCCCCGCCCAGCCAAAAAAGAGAGACAAAAAGACTGCACGTGTCATGTGCGACGCGCCCGGCCCACTTCCCACCCCTCTCCCCCCAACCCAGCAGACTGCACGTGTCATGTGCAACATGCCCGGCCCACTTCCCCCCGCCCACCCAGCACAGCTCACGTACCACTCCCCTCCCCCCCGCCCAGCCAAAAAAGAGAGACAAAAAGACTGCACGTGTCATGTGCGACGCGCCCAGCAGACTGCTGTCATGTGCAACATGCCCGGCCCACTTCCCCCCCCGCCCACCCAGCACAGCTCACGTACCACTCCCCTCCCCCCGCCCAGCCAAAAAAGAGAGACAAAAAGACTGCACGTGTCATGTGCGACGCGCCCGGCCCACTTCCCACCCCTCTCCCCCCAACCCAGCAAACTGCACGTGTCATGTGCAACACGCCCGGCCCACTTCCCCCCGCCCACCCAGCACAGCTCACGTACCACTCCCCTCCCCCCCGCCCAGCCAAAAAAAAAGAGAGACAAAAAGACTGCACGTGTCATGTGCGACGCGCCCGGCCCACGCCCGGCCCACTTCCCCCCGCCCACCGAGCACAGCGCACGTGCCACCCCCCTCCCCCCAACCCAGCAGACTGCACGTGTCATGTGCAACATGCCCGGCCCACTTCCCCCCGCCCACCCAGCACAGCTCACGTACCACTCCCCTCCCCCCCGCCCAGCCAAAAAAGAGAGACAAAAAGACTGCACGTGTCATGTGCGACGCGCCCGGCCCACTTCCCACCCCTCTCCCCCCAACCCAGCAGACTGCACATGACACGTGCTCCTTTTTTGCTGGGCGGGGGGGAGGGGGGTGGTACGTGCGCTGTGCTGGGGAAGTGGGCCGGGCATGTTGCACATGACACGTGCAGTCTGCTGGGTTGGGGGGAGGGGGGTGGCACGTGCGCTGTGCTCGGTGGGCGGGGGGAAGTGGGCCGGGCGTGTTGCCCACGACACGTGCAGTCTGCTGGGTTGGGGGGAGGGGGGTGGCACGTGCGCTGTGCTCGGTGGGCGGGGGGAAGTGGGCCGGGCGTGTTGCACATGACACGTGCAGTCTGCTGGGTTGGGGGGAGGGGCGCTGTGCTGGGTGGGCGGGGGGAAGTGGGCCGGGCGTGTTGCACATGACACGTGCAGTCTGCTGGGTTGGGGGGCGAGAGGTGGGAAGTGGGCCGGGCGCGTCGCACATGACACGTGCAGTCTTTTTGTCTCTCCTTTTTGGCTGGGCGGGGGGGAGGGGAGTGGTATGTGAGCTGTGCTGGGTGGGCGGGGGGAAGTGGGCCTCGCATGTTGCACATGACACGTGCAGTCTGCTGGGTTGGGGGGAGGGGCGCTGTGCTGGGTGGGCGGGGGGGGTGGGGCCGGGCGTGTTGCACATGACACAACGCGCCGGCCCACTTTCCCCCGCCCCCCCGCGCAGCGCAGTACACCCCCCCTCCCACGTGTCATGTGCAACATGCGAGGCCCACTTCCCCCCGCCCACCAGCACAGCTCACGTACCACTCCCCTCCCCCGCCCAGCCAAAAAAGAGAGACAAAAAGACTGCACGTGTCATGTGCGCGCGCCCGGCCCACTTCCCACCCCTCTCCCCCCAACCCAGCAGACTGCACGTGTCATGTGCAACACGCCCGGCCCACTTCCCCCCGCCCACCCAGCACAGCGCCCCTCCCCCCAACCCAGCAGACTGCACGTGTCATGTGCAACATGCCCGGCCCACTTCCCCCCCCGCCCACCCAGCACAGCGCACGTGCCTCCCCTCCCACTTTGTCCCGTGCAGCACGCCTCTTCTCCCAAGTGTCCCTCCCAGCCTGGCGCACGCGCGCCCTTTGCTGGGGTGGACACTTCCGGCCGTGAATGCGCGAATGACCCCAACATCGCGTGCGCAAATGACCCGGTGGCATTGAATGCGCGAATGACTCCCAGATTGTGTGCGGAGATGACTCTGCCACCGTCCCAACCGACCTTTCATATTTTGCTGTTCCCATCTCGGTTCATGGAAGTTGGTGAGGCAACCAGGGGGTGTCCAAATAATGGGGGAGCCTGAAGACAACCATCGCAAGGAATTGTTGGCTTTCTTTGGTTTTCGTTTACTCTCACTTCCTGAGTTCCTGGACAGTGTGTGTTTTTTTTCTTAGCTGGCCATCCACTCAAAGAGCGAGTGAAACCCCACAGAGCTTTCCTTTTCGCACACAAAGTATTAGAACAACCTAACTTGGATATGCTTCAAGGGCACTTGTCCCTTTGGGAACTAGAATACTTGGAATAAGTGAGGTACAACGAATGGATCTGGTACATCAGGCAGGTTTGGCCCTGCACGAAGCGCCGGCTTTCCGTCAGGTGGGCGGCTTCATACGCTCCAAGGCCAACTTGGCGCACCCAGACCTGCAGCGTCTCGCCGAAAAGTGGGCGATGTGTTGATCGGGGTAGGGGTGTTTTCAAGGTTGGTGTTTGGTTGCTGTTGTCAGGCTCGGTATTTCTTTGGGGTTGGTTTAAGGGGATTGGTTTGAGGCTAGGTTTCAAAAGGACTACTACTCAGGTTTCCCTCAATTGGTGGTTTGGATTGGTGGCTTGGGGATTGGAATCCCTGCTTCTTGTGAAGCTACATGTCCATCCCTTTTCGGAACTCTGTGGAACCCATCTACCCGCCCAATAACAGACATAGAACCCCCACTGGGGTTCCTGGAAGACCGTTCCCGTTTTCTCTAGGTTCCTTGGAGGCTACCTGGAGTCCCCCTGGCTTGAAGACTGGGTCACGACGAGCGGATTCTAAACGGGTTCCAGCTTGCACCAGAGGACTTTTAGCATTTGTTCATCCGAAAGGAACCGATTTGGAAACCGGTCAATGGGTTAAATGACCAGGTTTCCAGTGGGTTCACTCTTGGTTTGCCTTGGTGTCCCTTGGTTTCCTGCGACATGAGAGTGTCTTTTTAGGGGGGAAATAGCGCAACGGTTAAACTGCTGGCTTTCTTTAAACAAAATAACAACCAAAACGGGCACCCTCAAGAACAGACACCCCCATTTGCCTTGTGCCGCATGCATTGAAATGATTCGCCCAGACGGTCTGAGACGTACGGACCAAATTGGATAGAGCTGCATTCAGCTAGCTGGTTGGTGAACAGACATTCGGTTGCGACCCTGCCCTTTTCGGCCCTGTAGGCGGGGGTGACCCTTGACAACCACCGGGCTACTGCTCTTTGCAGCCATTGTTGTTTCCAAACACTCGCCGGAAAACCCCCCCCGACACCAGGGGGTCATGTCCAAAATCCCCTTGGTGTCCAGCAAGCAGAACTCACATATATGGTGGCCCCCAGCCGTCCCCTTAGCCTTTTAGGCTTTTAGGGTTTAGTGGTAGCTTCCTTTTAACCCACTAAAAAAATTGCACTTTTAGCAGGGGATCTGGAAACGGGCAGCCTCGTATATATATATATATACATATATATATATATATGGCTGCGGCGCAAGATTTGAGGTCCAGATCAAGGGCCAACACCCACAGGCGACCCAGACCCAGAGCGCAGGTGATCCAGACCGATCCAAACGTCCACCACGGAACGATCCATACCAAAACGTTATTTGAGCCATATATATATAATATATAGGACTCATATATATATATATATACATATATATATATATGTATGTATATCCCTTCAACTAGACGAGAGGAAAGGTAGGCCCTGCGGGGGTGGTGAATATATAGGGAACCCTGTACCAAAGGGCTGGGGTTGTCGGAGGTACCACTTCATCCCTGGCATCGTAGTGGGGCAGCTCGACTTCCTGGCTGCGCACGGGTACCAGGCGCTTGCCAAATTTAGGGCCCGAACCCCAAAAAGGCAATTTTAGTGTGCGTACTTGGTGGTTCCCAGCCATCCCCTTAGACCCCTCAAGCTTTTAGTTGTTTGTTTAAGTTTAGCCGCAGTCTTCACTTAACCCACTAAAAGTTCGACTTTTAGCAGAGGACAGCAAAGGTTATACTGCCTGGCTTCACGAGGTTGATGCAAGTCCTACATGGAATTGTGTTTGCCTGATGGTACCCCTTTTTTGGTGGGTTGTAAAGGGAAACCAAAAGGACGCCGGCCATTTTTGGGGATCATCTGTTGTGAGACAAGCCAATATAAACCCTGCCATGTTGGTAGAACCCAATGTCAATGCGTTTTGGTCTCTGCTCAATTGTGCGTGCCCATTTTTAAGTGCTAAATACCATCCAGGTGTTCCTCGAGATAGGGGTGATGTAAGGAGCTCATTTAGACTGGACTTGTGGTGTGCTAATTAAACACAGCTTAAGTCATGATTGTAGAAGATTGTGTACTCCTTCGCCCTAAAATGTGTAGTTCCGGTTTTCTGTTGATTTCGCTCACTTCGGAAAGCTTCAAATACTCCGCCTGTTTCCAGTTGGTACGTTTTGCGGAGCTGAGTTTTCCGCGGCAGGTATGCTTCCAACTATGTGATCAGAGGCCAAACAAAGGGCCAAGCGACGCTGGCAGATCCTAAGGGGTCCCCTGAAAATGTTGTATGGGATTGGCATATTTCTTTGAGGCTACCCCTTTTCTGGGTTGGCTTAAAGGGAAGCCAGAAGGAAACCAACCTCTTGTTGTTTTGGAGGGTTCCCCTGCTTTGAGACAAACTCAACTACGAAACCCTTGAGACAGGGTCCCGGAAATCAGTGGTACATGGGTTATACAGGCTATCTCAAAAGGTACCTTCGTATATTGTAATTGGCCTATAGGTGCCTGGAGCCCCGAAACGCAACTTGTGTTGGGTCAAAAGGCGTATTTGGTCCCCGTTTTTACCCATAAGGGTTGTTTTTTTTCGCGCAACGTCATTTGTCCAAGAGCAGTGTTTTGGGGCTCCAGGTGCGGTCTCCTTTTTTAGGGGTAGCTTCCATTTCCATTCTTTCCAGGGGCCCTTCCTTCCAGAAAGCCACCCAAATCCCTGTGGACACAGATCCGTTTTTGAAAAGAACGAGAGTTAAAAAGCAGGGAGACGCGGAATCAACCCCTAGCTAGAGTCTTCTTGACCCCTAGAAAAAGGGGTCAGACCCCCCTCAGTTTTGGCTCAACCCCTCAGCAGGTAGACATGAATTCCCAACTCCGCCAACAATTGCCCTGCATTTCTGAAACTGCAGACAAACCGTGGATGGACGAAATCCTGCACCACCTAAAAACAAGTGGACTGATGATTCCCCTGTAAATGCCAACGAACAGTGGTTTCCCAAGGTTTCATAGTGGTGCGAAATGGATTTCGCAACCATCCGCAGTATCTCCGCATGTGCCACCAATTTCCTGTTTCGGTCGCTTTCCTTCGCACGCTTCGCGTTTCGCTGGTTTCGCCGCAGGCCCACTGCGGCACCATGCGCCCCACGAGCAGGGGCTCAGTAAAGCTGGCCTCGGGGGATATCCTCGAGGCGCCCGTCGTTTTGAGCGGGCGCCACGTGTTTTCTCTCTCTTTGTTCTTCGTTTTTTTTTTGTGGTGTGAATCCCCGACTTTCATGGCTCAAGAAAAAGGAACCGTGCGGTTTAGCACTTGTAGGTTATGAGCCCAACGCTGCTCGGGTAGGCCCCGCAATGGACCCTGGCAGGAGGAGAAGGAGGGCCAGGTCGTTGGATGCGGGGGACGAGGGCATCATGGTCGCCGAGCCCAACGGAGAGGGTGAGGCGGAGAGTGGTGGTCATGGGGGTGCGGTGCCGGTGAACCCGTTTTGGAGCGAGAAGGCAAGGGCGGAGGCGGAGCTGCAGGCGCTTCGGCCCAAGGACCTGCCGAGGGTTCCGGAGGGGGAGATGGCAGAAGCACACCGGGGAGAACCACATGGACACGATCGCGATCAAGAAGGGTGGCATAAAGCGGACACAAGGAGCAGCAGCAGGTCAGAGTTCTGGAGCGATGTGAAGCGGAGCTTGCAGGAGGACCTGGAAAGGGAGAACTGGCCAAAGGGCGAAGCGGAAAGGGGAGGAGGAAGCGGTAGCGATGGCCATCGTGGACATCCTGGAGGGTGGCCTCCTGAAGCTCGACATGGGGATCATCCAGGAGGGCATCGTGGGTGGGGTCGAGAACATGGTGGAGAACATCCTCGGGAGTATCCGGGACGGGGGCAAGCTGAACACCGTGTTCAAGGGGAAGGTCATCATTGGGGAGAATATGAAGGCAATCCTCGGGGAGAATATGAAGGGAGGCCCACAGAACGTGCTGAAGGGGGTCTTGCGGGTGCTCATGGAGGTAGACCGGCGAGCGTGGGGCCACATCCGGGAGACCGGGAAAGTGGTCAGGACGGTCGTGAAGGCAAAGGTGTTGGGCATCGCGGAAGACATCCTATCTATGGAAGGGGTTATGCTACTAGGGGAAGCACGGGGCATTCTCGAGAAAGGAAGGAAGAAGGTCGAACTGAAGCAGGTCGTGATCTTCCTGGTGATTCAGTTCCTGCCGGAGGCAAAGGTCCGGAACCTCGTCGTGATCTTCCTGGCGATTCAGTTCCTGCTGGAGGCAAAGGTCCGGAACCCCGAGAAGGTAAAGGACATGGGGCAAAGGACGGGAGAAGACCGCAGCCGAGGGAATTGGAGGTGACGAGGGATGAGGCAAGAGCGGCAACGAGAGCGGGGTTCAGGCCAATGGAGCTTCACATGGTTTGGAATCCGGCAACGAAGACGTGGATTCCAGAAGGAAACCTACCAGCTGGCCTGCGATATGATGATGAGGAACTCGTGCCGGACTATGACGACGGCATGATCGACATTCAAGCGGCCATGGAGAAGCAACTCATGCTGGCGTGTCGGATGATTCGAGGCATGGAGCAAGAACGGGACCATCTCAAGGGGAAGATGGCGGAGCAGGGCGGATTGCTGGAGAGGAGGAACAGCACGATCAATCGGCTGTTGGAGCAGGTCCGGGAAACTCAGGGTCAACTGAGGGAAGCCCAGGACCAGTTGGCGGACTGGAGGTCATGGTGGGATCGCTGGGAGTGGGATGGAACCCGGCGGAGGAGAGTTGAGGAGGAAGAGGAGGAGATCTTCCAGACACCTGCAGAGCCGGGGAGAGGACATGGAAACGGGGAACGGCGAGATCGAACAAGATCCCCACAGCCACCCCCGTATCCTCCGAGGCCAAGGACGCCGCAACATCGAAGGACCCCAGGAGGGACGGAAGTCCCGAGGGGAACGCCACCCCGCTCTGAGAGAGGAAAGGGTGGTCTTCGTCTAGAAGGAGGAGGAGGTCACTCTAGAAGGGAGGAGCCGAGAGAAGGAGAGCTCTACACCTGGACCAAGGACTATGAGTCGGGGGGCCTGAAGATGGTACCGGCGCAGATGACCAGAAATGAGTGGGCGCTGACGTGGGAACGGGCAGATGCAATGGTGGATGAAGCTCCGGCACCGCCTCCAGGATTGGAGGCCAAGGCAGACTTGGACCCGGAAGTGGTGGTGAGCGAGATCGGATGTCTGGCCAGAGGATGTGAAGGCAATGCTAGCAGCGGGACAGTTTCGGGAAGAGGCGATCAGGGCTGCGGAGTTGCCAAAGCTGCCGGAATTGGGGGCAAAGGAAGCAGGGCCGCTGGCAGCGGGAGACTGGTTGGCGGAAATCAAGCCGATCATGATGGACCTCAGCACTAGCGCAGCGGTCTGGTGGGAACACATCATGAGCAATGCGGAGAGGGCCTATCAGAAATGGCTGGACATGCGGCCGGTGGATCGGCTGAATGTGGCGCCGGAGGAACCCGGGTGGCTGGGGAAGTACCCGTTTTCCCGGGTGGAGCAACGTGGCGCTGGTCTTCTACTCAGGGCGTTGCCTCAGGGACTGAGACAGGAGGTGGTGTCAAGAAGGACGTTGTCAGCGGCAGGCATGGTCTTCAAGGTGCTCACAATGTATCAGCCAGGGGGGCCAGCAGAGAGGCAGAGCCTCCTCAACTACCTGGTTGAGCCAAAGGTGAACGGGAACACGGTGCCGGCGGAGGTTTTGGCAGCAGTGCGGCAATGGCGGAGGTGGTACATTCGTACAATAGAGCTGAAGCTGGCGATGCCGGATCCCTCGCTGCTGCTGAGAGCGTTGGATAGCATGACCAACGGGATCGCAAAGGAAGGAAGTCAGGTCCATTTCAGGCTTAGTCTCTTGAGAAATAGCCTGGGGGTGGATGTCGCACCGACGCAAGACAGCATCATCCAGCTGGCGGAGTTTATCCAAGCGGAGGTGGAAGTGATGGTGGCCTCAAAGGCGGACGAGAAGGTGGTGAAGGTCAAAAGCATGAAGCCGACAGAGCAGTCTGGGCAGCGCAGGGAGGGAGAGAAGAAGCTCTGCGTGTACTTTGCAGGAGAACGAGGATGCCGAATGGGCCGGAACTGCAATTATAGCCATGACTGGTCGGTGGTGGAGAAGAAGGCAGATCGGTGCTGGATCTGTGGGTCGCTACAGCACCGAAAGGGGGAATGCCCGGTGAAGCATGAGGCGGCCGGCAGGAATGGGTTCAGACAGCAGCAGGCGCAGGGCGAGTCGCAGCAGCAGAACAAGTCGCAGCAGCCAGTCAAGCCGAAGGTTGCAGCGGAAAAGGGGGTAGCAGAGGACGCAAAGGAGGCGTCTGGGTCCGGGGGAGCTGGACGGCAAGGCAAAAATGTTCAGGAGCTGCTGACGGAAGCGACAGGGCTGTTGAAATCGCTGAGCATAGTCAAGGTCATCAGAGTTCGGTCGGTGAAAGTGGAAGAGGAGTTCTATGGTCTGCTGGATGGAGGAGCCACCCATGCTCTTCGCCAAGCCAGAGAAGGGGAACTAAAGGGCAAAGAGGTGAAGGAGGTGACAGTGGAGCTGGCGGCGGGTACAGCACGGCTTTGGCAACACAAGAACACAAGGACGCTGCTGTCAGCGGAGAAGGTGGAGCCGATTGTACCACTGGCGGGTCTGGTGGAGATGGGCTATGGCATATCCTGGAATAACAAGGGATGTGTGGTGAAGCACCCGGTGAAGGGGGACATCAAGGTGGAGATGAAGAATGGGTGTCCAATGGTGCCGGGGAAGGAGGCGCTTCGACTCATCGGAGACCTGGAGCAGTTCCACTTGAACAGAGCGAAGATTTGCAGGTTGTCCTCGGCAGAATCAATGATGATGGAGAAGTGGAGGGCGAGATGGCCGGAGGTTCCGGTGGCGGTTTGGGAAATCATGGGAAGTGGCCTGGAGATGGTGGACATGAAGGGCGCCTTCAAACAGGACTTCCACAAGGTTCTTCCGTGGAACCGCAGGGCGAGGAGAAGGGTGGAACAGGCTCGTGGTGTGGTTCTGCACTTGTTCTCCGGAAAGGACCAGAGCTTTTGGCAGGATGCTGGTGAGGTGGTGCTGTGCCTGGATTTGCAGAAGGGCCAGGATGCTCTCAACCCGGCGGTGAAGGCCTATTTGTTCCAGCTCTGCATGGAGGGCAAGGTAACGGGAGTGGTCGGAGGACCGCCGTGCCGGTCGGTGTCAGTGTGCCGATATCAGCGTCCGGGACCGGAACCGCTTCGGAGCCGTGGCGGAGGAGAGCGCTTCGGATTGAAGGGGCTAGCTGCGGAGGCACAGATGAAGACCCACCAGGATTCAGCGCTGTGGTTGTTGCCCATGGTGCTGTTTGAGGTGACAAGGAGCGTGAGGGAAGAGAGGGGCTGGACTGGCCCGGCCTTCGTGCAGGAGAATCCCCGAGATCCCGATGAGTGGCTAGGTGCGGGGGAGGCCGAAGGGAGGCTGAATACGCCGTCGGGGGGCTATGCTTCGTTTTGGGCGTGGCCGGAGACACAGGAGTTTGTGAAGAAGAATGGCATGGGCATGGCAAAGTTTGATCAAGGTCCTCTGGGGCATGAAAGGCGAAAACCCACCACGGTCATGACCAATGTGACGGAGGTTCTGGCACTTCATGGAAGATGTGGCCCGGGTGATGTGGTGGGAAGGAGCGGAAGCACGGAGGGACGGATCAAGGAATCGGCATCATGGGCGGCGTGGGCACCGGAGCTCAAGCAAGCGGTGAAGATGGGGCTTCAGCGGGTGAACCACGAGGTGATGGCGGAGATGAGGATCAAAGCGGCGAGGCTCCCGGCAAAAGAGGAACAATGGAGAAGGCATGTGGAGAACGAGCACGTACCACATCGACGAGACTGCCGGGTATGTATGGAGGCTGCGGGAAGAGCGGGGGGTCATCGAAGGATCCGGGCTCCCAACTCCTTCGTGATGTCGGTCGACATTCTGGGACCCACCAAGGAGGGTGTGGACCAGGATGGAGCCAAGGCGAGATATGCGGTGGTGACGGTCCTGACGGTTCCGGTGAGGAAGTCCACAGGGGAGCCACTGGTTGCTTTGGGAGAGGACGACATGGAAGTGGAGGATCAGGGAGAGGCTCTATGCGGCAGAGGGGATGAGGGTCGCGCTGATCCAGGACTTGCTGACGGGGGTGAACTACCGGAGGTG